CCCACATAGACAAGACGGTGACATCTGCTATATTCCCCTTTCGTTCTCGCTTCCGTGTTGTGCTGGCGCTGACTTGCAGCCTTTAGGGCACTTCGTTTCTACCAGGGATACCCTTGCCGGCCAGTATTATATGCTGGGCATCTGGTTCGCTGTGTGACAGCGGGGACATTATAACGCTATCTCACTGGTTTATCTACGTTCTAGACGGCTAGAGCTATCGGAAGGTTACTGCTTATTGCTTAGCTGTGATGAGCGATGCTAGCAAATGTACTCCGTAGTACAATATCCACCAGCATCAGGACCAACGAGAGCCAGCCAGGCGTGAAACCAAGGCCAGCGAAGACTGCCATCGGTGCTGCTTCAATCCGTGGCGATCACACTGAGGCGGATAAATAGTACGGGTAGCAGCATGGACTAACCCGCTTCTTGCATATACATCCTGCATCCGTGGTGCAAGCGAGCGATTCACTAATGCTGCTGCGCCCTTTTTGAAAGGGAAACAAAAATTTTGGGTTGGACCATGTCAAACGCTGCATGTAGATTCCAACTGACACGTAGACTGTGTCATGGGCCTGGATACATAAGTCGCGCTTCTCTTATGCATCCCTTGCCCTTCCCTCCCCCCCCTTTCCTACCATTAAAGATGGTGTTGTGGAGATGATAATATCCGGAATGCGTGGAATCCCGTCTATCGATCGTGGGGTTAGTTCTTCCGTTGGTTGGTGACGGGCCTTTTGGGGAACCATGACATCCTTCTATCCTACTGGCTGGACCTGTGTACCATTGCCGGGGATGTGCGGATGGCCAGGCGGGTTCTTTCTTGTTGCCAAACTTCGAACTCCATACAACGACAGACACCAAAAAGGTCTGGCCTTGTATCCGTTTTCTGCATCTCTTCTATTGGGTCAACGTTCCGTTTGGATGGGGGTGGGAAGAAAAAGGAACTACCTTATGTTCTCCAGCTAACTAGGGTGATCCTTATCTGTGGCATTAAGGTACCAGAGATCCGGTTGGCGTGAGCTGATATTGTCAATTGGGCACGACAGGCTGAAAATGATTCATTTAATTCGAGGCCTTGTGAGCGGTGAATATGGTGAGACGACCGGGCGAACCTGGTTGAGACGAGAATTATTGACTGTTGAGGTGCTACGGGGAGTGGATCGTACTTTCACATCTAATCGATAGTCTCTATTGGAGTCATCGAGATGCACACGCAGGACCTAAGGAGATACATACATCATTGAACAAGCGTTAACAATATCATAAATTAAATTAGATTAGTTTGAAATGAGTGAGAGTTCTTTTGGTTTTTTTGGTCTTTTTTTCTTTTCGTCTCCAGCCACCAAATAGGAAAAAAGGGAAGAGAGGAATAGGATGAAGAGGAACTACATCCGGTTAACAAAACAGCTGGAGGAAATAAATGCAAAAAGTATAACGACACTCAACCCATGGATGATCTGCCCGGAAGGCCGTAAAGGTAGTTTGTTTGGTGGCTCGGGTGGTTTGAGTAACTTTGGTCGTATGAGATGCTATGGTGGTGGTGGTAATCATACGGAAGATGGCTGCCAGGCCTGAAGATCTCTTCTCCGTACCGCTCCCGGTATGCTTCAGCAAGCAGCTCCATAGTCTGACCATCCGGAACCATATCAAAAGTACTCAGGTTCAGGGTGCGAATGAACTCTCTCTCCAGCTGCTTATCGTCTCTCTCGCGAATCCACTTCATTATAGCGAGCGCGTCGGCAACATCGGGTTCCTTTTTATCAAGTTTACCAGACGCATATATTCGTCTAATCTTGCGTTCGAGCGCCCATTCCATTGGTGCGCCATAAATGACAACGTTCTCGCCGCGGAAAAGAACGATGCCTTGCTTCTTTGCACATTCTAAAAGGCGAGCGCGCGAGGCTCTGGTCACGAAGAGGCCCATATCTTCGTTAAGCCATTCTTGATCGTAGCCTAACCGCTGGGTGATGGTGGCCATGGAGGCATAGAGAGGTGTCTTGATGTCTTCATCTTTAGACCATTCAGGGTCGAGGAGAAAATCGAGTTCGAATGCGGTGTTACGGCATTTGAGATATTTGAGACAAAGGAACTCGCCTGAGCATAGTAGTTGGATGGGAGCGAAGGCAGTGATGAATGCGTCTTTGCTCAGTTCTTCGTCGAGAGCTTCCAGGGCTAAAAAAAATTGTTAAAAAACTTATTTCAAGAGTAAAGCAAAAGAATACAAGGCCGCAGCGGCAAGAAAATTGTATGCTCAGCGTAGAATACAAGAGTACATATATGCGGAAGACAAAAAGGACTTGGGTGGAACGGAGTAAGGCAAACCTGTTTCGAAACCCTCAAGGTCTATTTTGGTTCGATCTTTCTCCTCCACATAACGTCTAGGCTCAGACAACATGCCGCAGCGCAGAATAATAATTTGGTTGTCGAACCCGGTGTCAACTTTTCTTGTCAAGACGGACTAAAATGAGTCTTGTATGGCGCAGATGGTGTAGTCATACTAGACGGAGCAAGTAGAGGGTGAAAGGAAGGACCAAGGCGATGAGAGCCGCAGGAATATAGTTGAACGATGAGGTAGAGATAAAGTAGCGACGGGAGCGAGAGTGATATAGAAATCAGGGCGAGGCGGAACCAGGCCCCCCGGCCAGAAGTGACAGCAGATTGGCAGATTGCATTTTTAATGGAGCGTGCTATTATTGCTGTTATTATTTATGGCGATAAACCCGTTTCCCGCCATAAATACAGCATGTAACTTAGCCCCAGCCAGTCGAGATGCAGCAGGCTAACGCACCAAGAGACGGAAGGGAGGGGGGCCAGACAAGGTGTCCCCCCGGTGTGTCCCATTTGCCATCAGCCAGTCGTTATGCCGGGCGATTTTGATGTCTGCAGCCGCGAGACACAAGGCGAAGACATGCACCCTGCATCCAGCCATACAGGAGACAGAGCGGCAGACGGCACGCCAGACAGGGAGTTGCGTCGACAGGTATACATGCACACATGTACGAGCAATTCATGTACCAGGCCCTTGTCAATTCGAGCGAGAGGAGTGAAAACCAAAAAAAAAAACCGAGAACTGGGAAAAGAAAGGAGGAAGAACCTGGGGGATCCACCTCCATCCGCCGAACCCTTTCGAAGACAGTTAGAGTAACGGAGTTATCTGTAGCTAGCTCGATGTATTATTGCATCATGCTGGATCTGCTCTCGAGAGCAATCTAGGCGTGGGTCCTTTTAATAAGAAGAGACAAATGTCCTGTTGAGTTCTCAACAGGCAGAGTTTTCTTCCTCTTCCCCCTTTCTTTCCCATGCCTTTGTTTGATGCGGCCACAAAGAATATGTATGAACCATGGCATACCCGGTACGTACGGGCGAGAATGCAACGATGACAAGAAACGTATCAGTACGGATCCTTTAATCGATCGTTGAATAAGGCCTTTCTGGAATCCTCGCAATCACTCCACTACTGGCCATGCATTGCCTATCGGAAATGCCCTAATCCACGGGCCAAAACTCCGATGAGCAATGCCACCAGCCCATGTATGGAGGCCTTCGACAAGTTTCCCTCCCAGAACCGTAAGCTTTGGCAGCCCTTTGCATTCAGTTCATTCATCCATCCAGAAGTATCAAATTCCAGATGAGGGGAATCGAATCCTTGAGTTCGAGCTGGATTTCACTCCCTGTTGATTGGCTCTTGGAACGGATGTGATAGGCAATACCGAGGGAAATATGAGCAGCATCTCCATGTTGTTTGTGCGCTTTTTCTCCATGTGACTGAGCACCCTGTCTCGCATCCATAGTGCAGCCCGTATCTTGCGTTCTGACCCCCCCTCCCAAAAAAAAAAAAGTACACACGGTCCGCTGGCGGTTAGTCACCATAACCAGTCGATATCACCATGTTTCACAACTGCCTCGACATGGTAATTAGCTTTTGGGGGGCTTGGGAAGAGGAGTTTTCATGTCATTTTGGATCCATGGTCCCGTTGTACCTTATATCCTTATCCTCCAGCGGCTCTAAAAGTTAGGACCATGATGGGCGGGCAGGCAAATGGGCATCTAAACCATGGCCAGGCGGCAGGACGGATCATGCATGATATGCCCGTTTTCTCTCTTTAAGAAACTGGCTGAAGACTTGTCCTGTACTCCTGTCGAGAAGAGTGATCTCAGGGACTGAACAGCCCCCACGTTTGCCTCCTCTCTTAGATGCGGTACAGCATCCCTGGGCGCTTCCTATATGTACTTATCCATCAGCCTGGGATTCCTGCTTGATGTGTAGTTATACCGTCGGTGACACCGCCGAGTATCCGTGTGACTGATAGTCTGGTCTCCCTGAGTTTTAATGCTTGCAAGCTGGAAACATCCTTGGTGTGTTATACGGCAACGTATACGGTTGTATACATCAGTTGCCTTTTTATATCTAAAAACACGAGAAAACGGCTTGCATTGAGTGCTCCACCAAAGTCTCCACGGACTGCTGCAGCCTTAATTAACTCTTGCGGAGGACATCTTGCTTTTGGAAAGAGGAGCTGGGGTGCATATTGCATATATTCCTTGCTCCAACTTCAGCTCCAGCTCCAGAACCATGCAATGCTTATCCACCAGCTGGCGAACAGGCCTCTTACGGAGTCTTCTCTTGTCTAGAACGCGTTCCACCAGCAGTATCAGTCTGATGAAAATGTCGTGTTTGGCCATGTATGGTTTGATATTGATGATTTTGTCCAACGGTTCGCCTATAGACTGGTGAGATAAGATCATAGAAACGGGATAAATCAAGAAATATTAAACTAGAATACCTTTAATGGGCTTTCTGCTCCTTTTAACGACGGAGTACTTGATGATTCCAAGTACTGAAAGTGGTGTTAGAGCATTAAGTATGATACTGATGTTGATGCTGATTGCAATGCTAGAACCGCCTCCGCCTGTTATGAAGGACGGTTTCTCTATACCAGCATATATCATATCTTAGTCTCATCAGTAGATTACCACAATGTCTTATCTCGTTTTGTCGGAATATTCCATCACACAGTCTTAGACTGAAAATTTGGTATATAAATTGTTGTTGTTTCTTCCAACTTCAACTTCACCCACAAACCTCCACACACACACACTTCTACACAATTTGATGAAGTGACACCCTGCAAAAACTCGTACGTCTTGAGCAAGATATTTGGTAAGTTTTTCTATATAAGTTCCCTCTCTGAACCCGGCTGTTTTTGGTTTATTGAGAGCTCAAAACTCTCCTAAGAGTATACTAAACTTGGATCGATACCAGTTACTCCTACAAGGATGGCGAAAAAGAAATCCGCAAAGTACGGATACTACAAGCAAGCGGCTGGGCAAACAACCGAAGCATTGTAAGAGGCCAAAGTTTCAAAAGTTTTAATTTTGCTACACTGGAGACTGATTGACTGATTTTCCTGGCCATCAAAGTCGCGCCGGACAAGACCAACTACTTGGACCAACTTCCAGTCTTTCACCCGAGGAATGGCTGAAATACAATTTTCGTGTTTACTCTGTCGCAAAAGAGTATGGGATCTCCGATCTGGAAGTTGATGCAAAAACACATATAGAGAGTTGCTACAGATCTGTTCCCCTCACCACCTTACTGGAACTCACAAAGGGGCAAATGGATCTCTTTAAATATGACAAGCTCTGGATCTGCAAGAACATGGCAATTGCGTTGGACAAAGCGTACCAGGACGATCGTTTGATTTTTAGCAACGAGGAGTTCCTAAGCCATATTGGAAACTCCCCAGAATTCGATAGATTGATGATTCAAGCTATGGGTCAAAATTACATGGCCAACACTGGAGACACTGGAGACAATGATAGTTATGCAGATGGCTGGGCTGCCTTGGGGGCATGATAATCATTTGGGAGCCTCCAAGCACAAAAGTATTGCATTATATTTCATTTGGCAACCCAAGCTGTACCTTAGGCATTTTCCATATTGTCTACGAAAGAGGATAATTCACCAGTCCATGCCGATAGAGGAAATATCTGTTCTATGAGCCCTAATATTTAGCCTCGCTTTCATTTCACTTTTCATATATTGAGCAGCCTTGCTTTCACTTTGGGTGTTCATCCTCAACAAACTCTTTGAGACTAAAGGAGAGCTTTATAATAAACCAGATAGCTCACTGTCAGCCTTTCACGTTTCGCATCTGGCTCCTCTGTTCTTTCTCCTATACCAAAAGGTATTACTGCCCGAAATACAGGTGAATACAAGTCAATCTATCTTTATAGCTCTCTGCGAAGCAGAAAGCTGTTTGCACTACCTTATACCCAGAAGCACCAATACACAGCCATCCCACGATATACTACATCAAGTGAACGAAACATGGCCAAATCAACACCCGATTCTAAGACGAAAATCTGGTAGGAATGCAGCCCTCATGCTTGTGAACCACGTAGGTTAACCTCCTTGGACATGAGTACTGATGTTTCTGGTAACCAAAGGCCATATTCTACTCCTTTATGTACCCTCTTCTTTGGAGCCAGCAAGATCGGGCGTTCAGTCCCTACCCACTCCATCAAAGACTCCGACCCTTTGATGAAGCCATTTCACCAGGGCCAAGGGTACATCTGGCTTAGCGATGTTGATGAAGCGATCACGGACAGGTTTATGCATTATTTGTATACTAAAGAGTATAAACATACCCTGGAAATCGACTTAGAGGCGGCGACTCTTGGGGAGTTTGAAAACGCCATCCGTCTCATGTTTGCTGCAGAAACTTACGGCTTACCAACTCTAAAAGCCCATGCAGAGATAGAAGTGAACTATCTTAAGTACAAACTGGGGCCTCTCGAGTTGTTCTCCGTCATCAGGAAAATGCATCCGTACTTTCAAGGCCGGGAATGGTTTCACTCGATAATAATGGCTGAAATACAGAGTGTTGAAGAAGATGACTTGGGTTGGCCCTTTTTACTGGAATGCATACATAAAGGTACCGGACAGGATGTAGCGTTGGACAAGTTGATTATTCGGTGCTTATTGGAAGCATTGGCTGGGACACCCATTGACTACTAAAACCAGCAGTGATACTGGGAAATATGAGTTGACAAGAGAGTAAACGGCTTGGATGCTGGAGAATTGAGGGCTTAACGGAGAGGCGACGAGGGGAATTGACAGTTGTCTCTATGATCCATGTCACCCAGCTTCCAAATAGCAAAGTTTGGAAGCGGGAGGGTGTCGATACTCGGTAAGCATCTTTAAGATCTTGTAGCAAAAGGCAAAAAAATGCTTTCGCCCACATAGAGGCTCGAACTCTGGACATATCGGTCAACTGGTATACAACTAGTAAAAGCCGATCACTCTACCGACTGAGTTACGCGGGCTGCGCGGCGGTTAGACAATTTACGACTGAAGAACCGGCGGCTGCTGGAGAGTCATCGAATTAGGGGTATATCCAACTAATATTGACCATCAATAGTGAGTGTCCCTGTCTTGGTAATCATGTACTCAGCGACAGCAACATCCTTTCCGCTCTCCTTGCCGTATCCCGACTCCTTTATGCCACCAAACGGTGATTCTGCGGCAGATGAATTGCCTGTATCATGAAGTCATTAGAGACACTTTAACAGAGAAACAGTCAAAGGGGATCCCATACCTGTGTTGAGCCCAATCATGCCAGCTTCTAGATTCTCCAGCATTCTCCATATCCGGTCGACGTTCTTAGTGAATGCATAGCTAGCCAACCCCATACTTGTATCGTTGGCACATTTCACCGCCTCCTCTTCAGTCTCAAACTTGTACAATGCTGCAATGGGAGCAAACGTTTCTTCTCTGGAGATAAGCATCTCCGGCTTCATGTCGGTGATGATGGTTGGCTCGAAGAAGTAGCCACCACAGCCAGTCATAGGTTTACCGCCTAAGATGACATTCCCGCCCAGCTTCTTAGCATCCTCGACCTGGCTCAGCGCCTTGTCAAGACCTCGAGGTGTAGTTACTGGCCCCATCGTAGTTCCTTCTTTTGCGCCATGACCAACGACCAACGCTGAGGTTCTCTCTTTGAACATTTGAGCAAATTTATCGTATACGCCGCTCTGAACGTAGACTCTGTTCGCTGTGATACATGCCTGTCCGGCATGGCGCCATTTCAGCGCCATGAGCTGGGTAAGAGCTTGCTCAAGGTCGGCATCATCAAAGACAATGAACGGACAGTTCCCACCAAGCTCAAGGGTGACTTTCTTCAGACCCTCTGCGCAGTGTGCGGCGACCAGCTTGCCTACGCGTGTGGATCCTGTGAAAGTAACCTTCTTAACATGTGGATGTTTACAGAGAGCCTCGCTGAGAGAAGGGGTATTTTCAAGGTCGGTGGTAAGCACATTGAAGACACCAGGCTCGTAACCTGCCCTCTGCGCGAGAAGTGCAAGCGCTAAGGTTGTGATAGGTGTCTCTGGGCTAGGTTTGACAATCATGGTGCATCCAGCAGCGAAAGCGGCTCCGGCCTTTCGAAGGATCATTGCAATAGGGAAGTTCCATGGGACCAACGCTGCCACAACGCCAATTGGCTGCTTGACGGTGAAGACTCTTCGATTCGGTGTAGCAGGAACAGCGATGGTGCCGTGTATTCTCTCTGCTTCTCCGGCAAACCACCAAGTGAAGCCGAGGGCATAGTCGATCTCACACAACGACTCTGCGATTGGCTTGCCGGTTTCGTGAGTCAAGATCTTTGCCAGATCCGATCGAGCTTCACGAATAAGCCCATCCCATTTCATGAGTAGCTGGGCTCGGGTACGCGGGTTGACTTTCTTGAACTTTTCAAAGGCAGCATGGGCGGCTTCTACAGTAGCCGGGACATCTTTTGTAGTGTTTGTTGGGCAGCTCGCCCACGGCTTTCCACTGCCCGGATCTATAATACATGTCAACCACTGTCACGAAGCAGACCATGTCAGTGAATTAGTATTTACCTAGCACTTCGAATCTGCCTCCATCCTTAGCAGCCACCCATTCGTTATTCACGAAGGACTCGAACTGGAGCAGACTTGGGTCGTCCAACTAGATAACGTTAACATATACTACGTGACTGCCATCTTCTGAAACACTCACTTTGAATGGAACCTGGTACTCCTTTGCCATCGTGACGATGTACTGTTCTTCTCAACTATAATGATGGTGTTCATCATCTTCGATGCCATCCATGCATGTTTCTTCCCCGCAAGCCTTTTTATCCGGGAAATCCCCGAGATCCGGTACTCCCCGCTAAGTCCGGACAAAAACGTCAAACATCGTATAAAGTAGAACTTCCAAGTAAAACTTCTTCCATTTCACATTTATAGTCTTCATAGATGATAAGGTCTTAATCGCAGGCGTTGATGTACAGGTGCTGTGTCTGGAGTACTTGAGATGGAAGTACCAACCGGGGACGACCTGTTAGAGCTATCGACGCCAGGATAGTTATATTTGGCTGTCAGCTTGGGTAGAAAGACTAGGTTATCGAGTTGATCCGCGAAGTTAGTATTTTTCCTGAGCTCTGCGCGCTCGGCTATGGTTAATATAAGACCTGCTTACACCCCTGGAGATGCGCTGGGTGGCCGTTCAGGGGTAGACGAGACATGACTCGGTTCATCGCTCGACGGGTTCCCTTCTCCTACTGCTGTGTATCATGAGCCCAGATACAGTTGATCGAATGTAAAATCCAGATCGAAGGTGATCTATCTCGCGTGCGAATGTAATAACTAGTCGATCGCCACTTTGGGCAAAAAGAACAACAGATCTCGCGAACTTGCTTCGATGCAAAGCGTTCCGCAAAGCTGGTCTCAAACGGACTTTTGTCCTACCTGGCTGTGTCTTAGCCAATGATACCAGCCCTGCCTCCATCCAACCAGTTAGCTATTGGTGGATGTAGATATCCCCTCCACGGAATATGTATAACATGCACACTTTCGACGGGGTTGTTGACCGCAAAGGGGAAATACAGTGTAGCCCTCTCTTGGCCATGGCTGTATATATATAAGGGGTAAAAATGTATGCCAACGTTCATATAACATGGGCCAACCGCTTCAATGGGAGAAAGAAGAGAGGGCCTATGTACTGAACTAGTCGATGTTCGAGCCTTTTATTAAAGGGTTATTTCTGTGAAAAGTCGATCTCCGAATATTCTGCTGTTGCGGCGATCACTGGGCAGAAAATAGTGTGTGCTTCGGTGGCTTGGGCGCATCCAAACTAGTTACAGGCAGGACATCAAACATCAGATCTGCCAAGTAGTATGTTGATATATTATATCTGCTTGACTCTGCACATTTTCTTCATAGCCATCTCGTCCCCCCTCGTCCTTTGATCTATGAATGTCGATATCTTCTCGATAAAGTAACTTACCGATATTCTCAAACAGCGCATACCTCATCATACGCTGCGATGCAAAACTCATCCACCCAAAGTCTCGCCCCTGTTCCCACTCCCACCGGCGCAGCCTATACCACCACGATAGAAGAAGAGAATGCCCACAAGCGAAGGCTTCTCGTCTCGGTGCTTGGTCCGTTCTTTGGCATTTGCCTGCTCATCATCGCCATGTCTCTGGCCATCCGATACTGGAAAGAGAAACAAAAACAGAATAAGGTGAAATCGGCCACTGAGATGGTTCAATGTCCAGACGACGCTAGTTCGGTTCCGTATTCACCTACACTCAGCAAATATTCAAGAGACATAGAGGCGTCGCCTTGGAAGCTCAAACCCGCACACGAAACGAGTTAGCTATGTCAAATGATTGGTCTTCTTTGGCGATGATGATGAAACTAGGTTAAAATAGGCACTTGGACGGCGCTGGAATCGGAACTGTCATTATATGAGCTGTATGATTGGTTCATGGGTGATTGCATGCGATTTGCCCTGGAGTTCTTTTGAATGCTTTTGCTCTGTCTTTCAGCCTGGAGTTTTTGGAGGGATTGGGTCACGGAAACGGGTTTCAGGGCACTTTTTTTACTGTTCAGTCATTTCATCTTTTCTTTCTCTTCCTCTTTCTTCATGTTTATAGCCGACTTAGCGACATCTTCATCTTTATCTTCGTTGTCTGATGTTGATTCTTCGTCTTTTTTGCCTGCAGTTTTGATTACTTAAGCAGAATCGGAGAAACTATAACCCGCCACCTTTTTCTCTCCGACTTCAACTGCAACAAATTGAGGATGTCGACGACGTTGACGTTGATGTATTATTCTTCTATGTAAGAGTATATGATAGATCTCTTAATACGATCGAGACGCCCCTCGTAGAAGAGCTGCCAAGTCTAAGGATTCAACATGACTGATACCCTAACATTCTACCACTTCAACGATGTCGTGAGTTGGTTCTACTACTGTAGGACCAGCAATTTGAATATCTAGTTTGCTGATGAAACACATAGTATCACATATCAAACACAGACCTCATAGCAAAGTTTGCTCATGTCATTACCCAGTCCAAGCAAAGCAGCGGCAGTCTAGATATTCCGCCCTTGACCATCTTCAGCGGGGATGTCTTCTCTCCGTCTACTGAATCGTCCGTATTAAAGGGCGAGCATATGGTCCCTATTCTCAATCATCTTGGTATCGATCTTGCTTGCTACGGGAATCATGGTATGAGCCGGCTAACTACTTTAATTTTCTTATACCATACAATCTGCAAGCAGTTACTCGAAGTCTTTCAAATTAAGAGTGTTAACGCCACTTCTAGACTTCGATTTTGGTGAAGACCGACTCATAGAGCTGTCAAGAAAGACGAACTTCCCCTGGTTACTATCAAATGTAGTACATTCAGCCTCTCATGCTAACCTGAATTCCCATGTGAAAGGTAATCTCCTCGCTCTTGCGCAGGAGTATGTTATTAAAATGATGGGGCAATACAAACTTGGATTCATCGGCCTAGCTGGGACGTAAGTTTGATGTCTCGATTCAACTAGCTTCTGTGTTCTTTGCGGTCAAAGTGGTGCCGATGGCCTGATACTTTTGCACTAGGGATTGGCCATCCAACTGTCAACATTTACCACCAGCTCTTTTTCTTTCCCCAAAAGAAGTAGCTCGAAGGCTAGCCAAGCATCTACGCACTGTGGAGGGGTGCGATTTCGTCATCGCTGTTACACATATGCGCCTTACCGAAGACCTCTACGTAGCAAACACTACTTTGGACGGAGAAGAACGTATCGATCTATTACTGGGCGGACATGACCATGAAGTTCTTTGTCGATCTCTGGGCGACATTGACGACAACCCAGGTTCAATCCTCCAAGGGATAACGGATAGTGAATCCAGAATACGAGATGGAGAGACGGTACATGTGGAAGGTAGCATACGAATTGTCAAGAGCGGAACAGATTGGAGATCCTACTCTGTCGTACAACTGAAGGTTCGGAGAGAGAATGATGGCAAAGCCTATCTTGACAATATTGAAGGTACAAAGTCACGAGTTCCTTTTACCTTTGTTACTATAGGAGAACAAACTGAAACAGATGCTGACCACAAACCTAGTGACTCAATTCCTGGACATTACCCGGATGCAGTCATACCACATGATGCCAAAATGCGCTGAAACCCCATCAATTCTTAGGTCCGTTCATGACCAGATAATGGATGCCGTCCGACATCCGCTATTCCACACGCGTGTGTCTCTCGATGGCCGTTCGACCGTTATTCGTAGCGAAGAAACCAATTTAGGGAACATGTTGGCAGATGCAGTCAGAGCATTCTATGATACCGACATTGCATTTATAAACAGCGGAGGAGTCAGATGTGACAGGATAATCGAACAGACTAATGAACATAACGCACTAAAAATCAAGGATATCATAGGTAAGTACCGTGGCATACCATGTCTGAGTAAAAGCTAGGTTCATGTCTTTGAAACCCAGATATCATGCCTTTCGACAATGCATTCGTTGTTAAGAGAATTTGGGGCGCTACGCTGCTCTCTGCCCTGGAGAATTCTGTCAGTGATTCTCACACAGATGGCCGCTTCCTTCAGGTCTCTGGCATGCGCTTCACAGCTAGCTGGCAGAGGCCAGAAGGAAGTCGTGTTCTCGAGGCATACTTTGAACCAAAGCCCGGTGTACTAGAGAAGATTAATCCAGAGCGGGCGTATACTATTGCGATGGTCTCATTCATCGCTACAGGTTTTGATGGATACGGCTGCTTCAAGGCTGAAGAGACACTGGTCGATGCAGAGGGTGCAATGACGGATACCAGCCTGATGCTGCAGGTTTTCAGACATTCCAGAAAGCCCGACAATGATGCACATGACTATAAGGCCGACGGAAAACCGGAAGACGGTAACGAGGCGGAGGCAGATGACAGGACAGAAAAGGGAGTCAAACGTGCAATGGAGGCGATTATCACTGGATATGATGACATGGATGGTTTACCGGTCGTTAGTCCTACTATCGATGGACGGTTGACATTCGTGTAGATACCTCTACACCAGCCCTCTGATAAAATCCCGAAGTTGAAGATAAGCCAGCTTGTGTTTGACGAATCATTTCCAGTGCATCCAGGTCGAAATTTATACCCTTGCAATGACAAGAGATCTCGAACACTTTAAATGTCTAATCCTCGACGTTCATCAGTTACGCGAGCACCCATGTCGAGAACCTCTGCTGGCCCTGGTAAACAAATCATACTATGAGGGAGGGCAGGCGGTGTCCAGCAGCACACCAACCGTTTCGGGGACCTGGAATAGTTACTCGGTTCGATGGGTGACTATGGAAGATGCTGCATCCTTTTCCGCAAATCCTCCCTGCAGATGACGATGACGAAGAGCGTATCTTGTTCAGCATCTTGATCGTTAAAGGCATAGATGGTATCCTTGGGTAGAGCTGTCTCCTTATGCATCTAGCCTGGACATGCTCCAGCGGTCAATGTTATTGTTGGTGGCGCATCCAGTATGCATGAACGGCGGCTATATGCATATTCTATTTATATTCGCTTATACTGTTTTTATTGTAAACATCAAGTAATTGAATATGAAGATAGTATTTTAATCTGTATATATGTGGCCAATTTGCTAGAACATCCGCTCGTCCGCCATCCATCATGTATAAAGAACCAAAGTTGATGCCATAAAAATCGCCCAAACAACCATCCCTGCCGCCGCATCAATGGTATTCATGGGCTGACCTCTTAGCTGTGTCTTAGCTGCAGCTTAATGCGCCATCGGCGGGCGCCAGAAGATCCTCCCCGGCCGCGATGGGGGCGCAAAGTCATACAGGAGTCATGCAGCGCTTGCGACGAGGCCACCAGACTCGCTCCAGTGACCGATTGATCGACGAAGAAGAGCGGCTGGACGGGCTGACCGTCGACGGCGCGTAAACGAGAGGAAACGTATATAAACACGCCCTGTCGTCCTGGCTTTCGACGCATCTACAGCCTTGTCATCGCGATAGTTTTGCTAGTTGACAGACAGCTACAGCTACAGATATACAGCTTCAGACTGTACGGATGCCGCTGGAACCTCCTTTTCCTCCTCTCTACAAGCAGTCTGCCGTCAAGACGCCCGAAGATGGGACGGACGACGGGAAGAAGACACAGGCTGGACCGTCCAGCGGACAGCTGCGTATCAAGCTGGATCCCATCGGTACGCTGCCCACGATTGCTCGCGTGAAGGAGCCCTATACCAGTCGAGAGAGCGGACATGGCAACCACGCCGTATACCTGGTCGAAGACGAAGGGATAGACAGGTTCGTCGAGGGGGACTTGAGCGTCCAGCGGCTGAACGACATCCACGGCCTGCTCTGGATGGCTGGACGTCCTCTCAACGCCCGAAAGCTGCAGCGATATAAGATGATTGGCTTCGATTTCCTGCCTACGGAGCAGGCAGACCTTCACCTCATCCACTTCTCGAACAAGATCTACCTCAAGACGCTGCCGGACTACATTCTCGACTACGATTTCTGGGAGAAATACCTGTGCAAGAACGAGGAGCTGCACAAGCTGGCCTGCGGCTTCTTGCTCTCGTGGGTATGGCTGATCTGCTCGCCCATCGACCTCCAGCTGGCGAAGGACGCTCATCTGCTCTCGCCACAGATCACCTGGGCCTGGTGGAAGCAGTTCGTCAGAGACTTCAACAAGCATGTCGATTTCAACGCGCTCGACAAGGTGAATAAACGGTATCACTTTGGCGAGCTCCGTCTTGGACGCATCAACACCATCTTCCGCATTCGCTTCTTCCACTCCCATTTCATACGTGGCTATCTCTACAGCTATAACCGCTACCAAGTCTTCTTCGAACGCAACTTTGGCTGGCTCATCGGGGCATTTGTGTACATCTCTGTTGTCCTCTCGGCCATGCAGGTCGGTACTGCCATCCCTCCGCTGAACAATAATCAGGCTTTCCAGAAGGCCTCGTACGGTGTAGTCGTCATGTCTATCGTGGCAGTGGCGGCCTGTCTGGCCTTTGTGGTTATTCTCTTCTCGTGGATTTACCTTTATAACATGGTGGCTGCCATATGGCACTCCCGCAGCGAGAGGCAGAAGAGGAGGAAACTTGCTGTCGAGCTTGCAGAAAAGGCAGAGTTTGCTGATAGGACGTCTTGAGAAGAAAAGCCCGTTCTTTACGCTGGATGAGATTGTATGATCATTGTTTATTCATGGCTGATGGTGTTATTATGGTGACATGAGTATATTATCTGTTTATCCTTCTGCTATGGCTATGTCTCCCGGGCTTCGGGTCTGTCATGGAAATACTACTGTGTTGATAGCGTTATGCAGGGTTAAATATCGGAGTAGCGGCCTTCCCTTGTTGTCCATTTTAAAATTCTATATATTTCGATTTGCTACCCCAAAGTCTCGAGTATTCCAGTAGTCTCGAATATTCTCGTAGCCTCAAGTATTCTAGCTAGTAGGAAATATCAGTAACAAGATCCTCAGCAAGACAGGAAAAAGGCAGCCTTGGTTGGAAGCTCGTTGTCGATGATCTAACTTTGAAGGTCATTGAGAGATTCAGTAAGGATTTGAATCATGTTTAGCAGTTCATTCCTGCGGTCTGCTCGATCTGCTGGTTCGCCTGCAATACGCGCGACATCTTGATCAGACATCTTCAGGACAGATGTAGGGGGAAAGATCGCTGGAAGTTTGGAGATAAGGTGTCGTTCAATGACCTGGCGGCATATGTTGTCGACAAAGGTCTTCATCGCAACCTGTTAGAGTCGAATTCAAGTTAGCTCCTGGGTAAATAAGTATAAAAGTATAAGTATACCGCCATCAGAATTGATTTAACCTTGTAGTAAGCATTGAGGGCAATCTTCGCTTCCTCACATGCACGTCGGTCCATGTTGACAATCACTTTTTTTTCCAAAGCCTCCTCTAGTAGACGCCGATAGGCTTTGCTTTGTTTCTTTTGGCTGACAGCTTCGCTATTCAGATCCGTGTTGGCGGCATCGATAGCTTTCCGAAAGGCATCCTTCATCCCCTCCTGAGAGGCTTTGTCAATGTTGTCAGTGTAGTAGTGATTGTAAGTTATCGGAGGCATCTTCTCATCCTCACAGATGGTTTGAAGTTCATTAACAGCCGCGGCCAAGTTCTTTTGAAGCGACGCTCTCATGTAAAGCCATAGTTCATTGCGGACCTGCTCCTCTTTGACAGTATAAGCAAGGGACTGTTCGACGAAGATGCATATCAAATCATGGATTCTGTTAATGTGTCCACTGGCTATGCCACTCCAGCGGCTTGATTGAGTGTGGAAGAGCTCCATGAGAAGCATGTATCCATATGTTCCATTTAGTTCCAAACCTCGAGTGTTCCTGTAAGTCTAAAGAGTATATGTTAGTCTATATACTCAAGCAATTAACTGAGCGTGCAATAATAGTGTTTAAATAAGGTAAAGGTGTTACCGTTAGAATCCAATTATCAACCCTGTGAGCGAACGCCTCGGGGTGTCCCCATTCCCGTGGAAAGGCTACATCATCGTCATTGTCGTCGTCGTCTTCATTGTCGTTCTCGTCTTCATCGTCGTAGTCGTCTTCATCGTCGTCATAGTCGTCATCATCATCATCATCGTCACCATCGTCATCGTCATCATCGTCATCGTCATCATCGTCATCGTCGTCATTTCCATGTCGCTCTAAATCATATTTATGAGCTTTTGAACACATAAAATCGGCAAATTCGTTGTTCAAATGGTGAACTCTGGCTCGAATTCGATTGGTAAAGATACTTTCAGTTTCCCTGTTAAAAAATTCCGAGAACCTGCCATGGTAAGTGCCTCCGGTTGCAGCCTGTATAAGGCTGCAGAATTCCATGCTTAGCCTTGATAGGAAGAGCCTTTGGCTTTGGATACTGGTTCTCTCTTCACCGAGCTCATTTATCTCGTTCTGCGCACCTTCTAGCAGTTTTGATATTTCCGAACAAACTTTGGGTAGCTCACGTTCAATATGCCGTGCAAGAAGGACTTCGAGCGAAGATTTGAGTGCATCGATACCAACTCTATTTGAGTTGAGGTGTTGATTCTTCCAGCCAGGATTTTGAAACCACTCAAGCTCCTTTCTCTTTCTCTTTCTCTCTATAGAGGCCATTCCCGCTTCTATTTCCTTTTGAGACGGATTCTTGAGCAGGTAATATCCTAACTTGAGCTTGATAGGTCCCTGATTCCGTATGACCGCAGCGATTCTTCCCTCGGTTCCATCGTTAATAAGGTCAGTTTTGGTGATGATACCTATGGTTCTCACACCTTCTGTATCAAACTGCCGTGCTGCTCGAATAATTGGCTGAGTTTCCACATCGTTTATTGCTGGGATGACGGCAAGAATGATGGTACGCGAATTTTCAAGATAGGAGTTAACCAAGCCCTCCACGACAGAGCTATCATCACTTTCAGCACCAGATATCAACCCTGGTAAGTCAACGATGGTAAGGTGAAGCCCAGTTTCACCAATAACTTCGATTCGCAACACATCCAAAGCGAATGGAGGTGAGTCTTTCTGATCGGTAAAGCCCTTCAGCCCCATGAGAGCTCCTACGGTTTCAATAACATCGGGCAATTCATCGTACCCGAGGAGATTTTTTTGGTAGTTCCGGAGGCGAGTTGCTGTCACCTCATCTCGCGAAGAGTGGGGAATAATGGTTGCAGTAATGGCTTGTTTACCAGGAGAATGGCGGAGGACTATCTCAGTAGCAAACCTGGTACACAAGCCAGCCTTTCGAGGGAATGGGATGCCAGTGATGCCTTCAAGAACCGAACTCTTTCCAGCTGACTGGTCACCGCAGACGACTAATTGCGGAAGAGAGATATGGTCTCCAGCCCCGCGGGCTCTGGCTTTGTCGACCAGGTTCAGTTTCGACTTGATCAGCTCTGATTCAAGCATGGCGCTGAAATCTTGTGTTGAGAAATCCGGTAGAGAGTTGGTGGGCTGTTTACGGGGTAGGGATAGTAAATAGTTGACAATGATATTGTGCGGATTTTATAGGGCAAAAAAAAAAGTGAAGAATAGGTGGAAAGTTCCTTTGTGTCCTTAGAGAAGAGTCTAGCGCCCCGGAATTAGCTTCTCTTTATTCTAAGGACATGGACGGTGATATATAGCAAAAGCAGTGTAGACTTAATGATGGTACCAATAATAAGAATATTGCTCTGATTGCTCATCTTCGGATAGGATATAACAATTCCGTAGAACTTCAATATTTCAAATAAAGCAACCACTTTGTAATACATAGTATACTACAAGATGGATAGCAAACCAGCCTATGTATCATCTACGTAGGCTTATGCATCCCTATGGCAGAGGATGTGCCGAAATAGTGGTATCAATGCGGATTTTTGTATAGAGCTGTCTTCGTGCATCTTTTATGATCCTCCATAACTCTCTATCAAGAATGGATGGCAGGGCTCTTTGATGAATTTGTTTAATAGAAGAAGACGGAGAAGAAGACGAACGAAAAGACGTTGAAACGAAGTTATGCGCCTCGTCCCAATCCGGTTAGTTTGCTCTCCCTTTGTTTATCGTTGATCTTAACCTATCCAAATCTAAACAGCATTAATCCAAGTCAAAATACGAAGTACACTTCTGCATACTGGACCACTGTGTGGTGTGGTTGAAAATCCATGCGTGGTCCCAACCAGTCGGTTTAAATAACCAGTGATGATCCCAGCCCAATTGCCAATTTGTCCGCTGGAAGTACGGAGCAGTACGACAATATTTATGCCGGCTCTCCCCGATGGGATTCTAGCTGATTTTCGCTTTAATTTATTTTTTCAGATGCTAATTCGGAGAGGATAAAGCATGCAACTCGTATGTGACATTCCCGTTTCGACCATGCACAGAAATTGGCCCCCTCTGGGCGCTATATATATGGTGGTGGACCACTGGCAATCTTTTAGTCAACTTTATATTTGCACAGCAATAACCATCATAATGGTCCTCGTTGCCTTCTCAGCTAACGCTGGAGCAGGTCGTCACAGCATTAGCACTAGTATCGGTTGGATTCTTGCTCATCTCGGCAGCGCGGTATATCAACGTCTAATAATGAAGCTTATAACGGCCCACCCACTTCGGAAGGACTATAAACCCTACAAAGGGATGATTCTCTGGCATTTGAATATAGATTAGTAGACATAATAGAGAGATATAAGTCTAGTTGGCTAGCCATGCGAGCATTCGAACGGGGTATAAGTTGGAAAAAACGAAATGAAACCAGCAAGAAATGTAAAGAATGCCGTATTCAGAACGTGATGTCCATGGCACGTAAGACATTATATGGTATATAAGGAACAATCAGCGTAACATTATAGTAAGCAAAATTCATATCATGAGATCATCCTCCACGGACAAGGAGGTTCTCCTCTGGCTCATCAATCAAAATGACTGCTGGCAGCTTCTTCTCAGTACCAGGCAAATATATTTCACCCGAGCTAAACAGCTCGCTGTCCGCGTATCGGGAGCGTCGTTTGGTATTTGATGAGTCAACGACCTTCCACAGTGCAACAGCTATCTCAACAACGACAGCTGAGACAAAAAAGACGATAATCAGCACTGCGACAATGAGTGTCCAGGCCATGATAGGCCGCGCAGAAAGCCAGTCGAGAAAAGCGGGTAAATCACGGCTGGCGACTATGTCTTCGAGGCGGATCCTATTCGCATATGCAGATATTACCATCGACGATGCTGGTGATGTTGTCGATGTAGAAGTAGATGCTGGACGCGCGCCTAGTTGCTTTCCAGGCGCGGATGTCGGCAAACGGTCGGGTAAAATTAGAGGCTTGAAGCTGACACGCTCTGCGGTTGTTGATAGCGAGGAAGCAGAAAAAGACAGCCATCGGTCAGCAAGATATGCATACTTCTCGAGTAGCATTTTGTCGCATTCTATGAGCAGCTGGCGCATCCTACTATCGGCGACGAAGGCGAAGATCGCACTACAAGGCTGCGAGCCGATGGCTGGTCGAGAGCTGTCCCTGATGCCATCTACGACTAAGATGGGGGCAGAGAGAACAAGCGACAGAGCAAAGCCACAGAGCACCAAGAATGCCTTCATTCTGCAACAAACCCCCAGCAGTTGGGTTTGAACTAGCGATACGATCAAGAGGCGGATTTCGCTTTTTGAGGTTGAGATCGTATCGATTCGCTATTTTAGAGCCACCCTTGCGAGAACTTGACTAGAGGTCGATTACTCGTCGATAAGAGTGCCTGGATACGATAGGATCCGCGAATAAAGCTCTACACCCGAATCATCATGGGCTCACAGTGTAGGGCGTGAAGATAATAATACTCAAGCATCGACATCATTTCAGACTCGGAGATGGAAGAAAAACGAAGAATGAAAAGAAAACAGCGGGCTACAACGGTGTAGATATACTTTCTTTTTTTGCTTTTTACGTTTTCTCCCTCATCTTGCAGAGTTAACACGATTCTCGATAGTGCACGCTAGGTGAGCTTGTTGTCGCTTCTGGGCTCCCGTTTGGATGGAAGATACCGCGAAGAACTACGGGGTGCATCGTACGTGGAGAGGGGTTTTCGTGTGGCGCACCACCTGATCCCCGCGACGGCGAGACAAGAATGGAGTTTCTCCATGTGCCTGGGGGGGCAAGCTCGAGTGGACAGGCGGATAGTTTAGGCGGCCAGGGGTGGCTTCGGGGCTTCAGGGGCAATCCACAGGCCCAAAGTCTGGAGTTTTGCAAGATGGTTCACGGCGTAGCAACGTTAGCAAGGCGATCGCTGGTGTTTAGTTATCGAACGCGGAGAGGAAACCGGCCAAGGGAAGACGTTACAGAGTACTCCATGCTGATGTCAAACAGAGCCACTTTTCTGTTTGTCTTACTCTGCTTCATCTTGATGCCGTTTCAACTCCTCGAAAACTGTTTGCTTCAATTATATTAGCCCCCATATTACCTAATATATGACATATAGTATAGTCAGCTGCTATCGCCCTTTCTTGTTGGTGTACATTCAAGTAAGAGAATATAAACATATCAGGTGACCTGCATCAAAATATTTTGTGTTATGTAAGAAGAAGAAATGAAGGAAAAATGTGGAACCTGCAAGCAACAATAATGTATGAGAATATGATAGTAAGAAGAAAGAGAAGAGGCACGAGTGATTATTCTGCTCGATCCAGCTTGACTTCATGGATGGAGATCACGTTTGGCCCGGCGTAATTCTTCCGGCGGAAGAGGTACCACCCGATCACAAACATCGTCAGAGCTCCGGTCATCAAGGAGGCGTAGTTCATCGAACTGGCAGCCACGGGCATGTTGAAGGGGAAACAGAAGATGACAACGAAGATAACAATGTACAAGCAGCTGATCGTGTTCACCACATAGCCAACCCAGCCTTTCATGAAGAAGGGGCCTGGGGTGATGCCCTTGCGGCCTCTCAGGAGATGAGGCAGGATGGCTGCCAGATACGAGAGGGTGGACAGCTGTACGTAGCATCCCACGAAGGCGTTAAAAGCGGTGGTCGAGCCGACATAGATGATACCAAGTATCGTGACTATGATAACGCAGACACCAGTGGCATTGAATGGATTGTGGTACACAGGGTGCACCTGGCCGAGGAAGCTGGAGAAAGGGGTAGCGTTGTCGCGGGCGAGAGTCCAGAGGACACGGCCAGCGGTGATGTAGCAGCCTACACAGGTGATGAATGTAGGAAGGAAGGTGATAATGAGCAGCCCTAGCGCTCCAGCCTTGGTTCCGGTAGCCTGGTGGTAGATGGTTGCCAAGGGAAAGGTGGTGAAGGTGGCTAGTACAGCATCTAGATCATTGATGGAGTAGAAAAGGGTAATCATGTATGGAACTGCAGTGATGAAGCCGGTGACGGTCTGCGCCAGGATTGCCCGCGGAATATTCTTGCTTGGGCTAAGGCGCCATGCATTAGCTCTCTCCTTCTCTTCTACTTAAAATTAGGAACTAGAGCACACTTACTTTGGTATCTCCTCGGCCATATGTGAGGTCAAATCACTCGTTCCGACGCTGTATGCGCCATTGAGCATTCCGAGCAAGAATACGAGGCCGTCGCTCTTATATCCGGTGGTATTAGACCAGTTCTTCCAGACAAATTCGCTCGAGGCGTATCCTAGACCGTTAAAGTGCGGCATAACGGCGCATACTACGATAGTAACGAATACGCCTGCGAGGATAAGGAACATGCCAATATTTGAAATTAGTGGCAAAGCCCTGTTGGCAAAAAGCACTGTGAAACAGCACATCCAGGTACAAAGCAGGTAGCAGATGAACACCTGCCACGCCTTGGTTTGGTGTGCTGGATGGAATACCAGGTACATCGATACTACCTGGTTTCCCAGGATAGACGATATCGACGCCGCGCCAAAGAGCCACGCTAGGGCATTCCAGTATCCCGCAAACCAACCAACAGGGCGGCCATAACGGCCTGCAGTGGCAGTGGCCCAGTGATATACTACAGGAAAAGCATAATCAGTCATATGTGAACTATCGGTTGGTTGCGAACTAGATATGGCTTATAACTTACCACCAGCAGCAGACGGAATAGCAGAAGCCAACTCAGCAATGGAAGCCGAGATGAACCAGTAGAAGAAGGAGACAACAATACTATCGAAAATGTTAGCATGTTTTCGCTTATCCGCGCCTACAGCGTAACCACCTACTACTCGTAGATAACTCCTGGAGGGCCACCGTTGTATATAGCCGTTGTCTAGGCGCATGGGTAGTGTATCAGCAACCGATATAATTTTGCATGTCTCAAGGCTTGGATATCAATGGCCAGGTAGGGCATGCAAACGCTTCCAGGTAGGGACTTACAACACTCCCGCCCATGGCAATCCAAGTGTTTCCCGCCGTGACGCCAATAGCGCACATACTGATGAGGCTAAAGTTGCGATCAAGCTCTTGCCGATGGCCTGATGAGTTTAACATTGGATCCATGGCTGGAGATGCTAACGACTCGGTTGCTGTAACGGTAGCGCCAACCTCTTTCATCTTTGCCTGTGGCATTGACGGCGACGACTCGATCTGTTTCTCGGATTCAGTCATTGTCGACGTCCAAGGCCAAGCTTGCGAATAAAAGCCACAGAAATCTCCCTCCCGTCTTCGATTCTAACGATAAGGCTAGAAAGTTTGAGAGGCTTCGAACGGTGCAGAAAAACCTGCGAACAGACAGCAACGGAAGAATGGAAAGGAAAGGTCGCGATGGGGAAAAAAAGAAAATAATAATAATAGATAGACGCAGAAGTAAAGAAGTATAGAATACGCTGATGAATAGTTTCGTTAAGAGGACGGATAAAAGGTAGTTGAGAGTAGGGAGCAGATCAAGATAGAAGCTGGATGATGATGCCACCACCAGTTGACTAAGGACTCAAAACTCGACCTGGTCACTCCTCGGATTTTGACGAGGATGAATGAATAAATGTTTTTCTCGCGGTCAAAAAAGACCCAAAAACGTGGCGCTGGCTTCTAGAAGGCAAGGCAATGCCCCGAATTAAAGAAAAGGAATAGCAGGGAGCGCGCCTGGATCAAGGTCGAATGAAACCTCAGGAGACTCCGAGAGCCCACTGTAAACAATAGCCTTTTTCCCTGATAGAGAAGTAAACCCGCTATCCTGGGATGCCTGTATATGCAGCCACACCAGGCCAGAGTAGACAACAAAACAAGTCCGTCTTCATAGGAAACCTGGGCAATGCAAGGACGGGCGAGCAGCATTCAAGCATTATCGGCTCGTCGGTCTTAGTGGAATTAATACGCCCGCTAGCATGGGGGTTAGAATGTCCCCTCGCCTCCACAAGCATGGATACCTACACAGTGGAGGAGGAGTGGCATGCTGCCACTACTGTCAAGAGTGGATGTAATCGGCGAGTTGACAACAAGACCCTCTACCTTGACATCTTCGTTATTTTAGTTCATTGACAAACACCCACAGCCTAGTAGATTTAAGGATTAGGCTGGTTCCATTTCGCGAGTGGACTTTTTGTGGGCAAAGTTCTCCTCCCGTCATCCACTCCTGGATCAACTGCGAGAGCAGGAAAAAGCAAAAAATCAGTATTCGTATATGCATGTGACTTGGAGCTAATAGACTTCTGGAGGCGCAAAAATATGATGAGCAAGCTTGAGGATGTTTGGTGGACTTAAAGTGCCATGCATGATGGCCATCTCCGGTTGTGGTTGTCGATGTGCAGATATGGATTATGCATGGTGGCCATATGCAGGGTTGCCATTTGCATGCCAACTGGTGAGACATACTTTTTGTTTCCTTCCTGTGAACTCCATCGGGATCTCATGTTCATTTCGGTGTCGACCTTGGTCTCGGTGTTTTTTCTATACTTTGGTGTTTTGTATGCCGTGCCGTGCAGCCTATACCACGCCATCCATATAATAATTATATGTTATACTTATGCTGTCAGGTGTGCGTAGTACTGCTTAAATACCCGATTCTAAGCAACGGCATGGCGCTCCACGAGATGCGTTTCAACCTTTAGATGGTCATGTCAAGCTATCTGGATGAAACATAAGCATCCGTCAACCCTTTCTGGCAATCTTCGACCTGGGTGAGTTTTCATTGTGTAAAAACTCTCAGAATTAGCCCCTTTTCTTTTCTTTTGAATCGTCAGCCATCGCGCGTAGAAGCTCCTGTTATCGTATAGACAGGGCGTCAGTCCAATGCAAGATAACCTCAGGTTCTGCCGAGATTTATCGGGTGGTAGCCCAGCACCTGCATGTATATTTATATACGGAGTGCGTATATATATCGAATGCACGGAGCAGACCGTGGATAAATTCTCCTCTTCCCGAAAATTTACCCTCAAACAACGTAGTATGTAACGAATATTCGGCGGAACGCAAATGCCACATCTTTAACTTCTTTAGGTGTCATGAAGAAGGAGGTGGATGTTCTGGCCGGCAGCCACCCGTATATCCGTTTTGCTGATGATTGTACAGAGTACACTATTGGATGTTATGATTTCGGGTTTCACGCCCGCTGGTCCACCCAGCGTTGTTCCGGAGGCGTGAGCTTGTTCTATATTTACAGAGCAGTGTAGATACTTTTTCTTTCGCCTCTTCTCGATCTCTCTGACCTTCAAGATGTGGCTTATCAAAGTTAGCGAGACTATTCTTCTAGAATAGAGCATATTAGTTAGCTAAATGATTTGTTCCGCGGACGACAAACGAAGGCGGCAGAGCAGGATTTTCGTACGTATACCCACGACAATAGCCCCTGAAAACTTATCAACCTCCCCCATCCTTCGCTTCCCTGTCGGCTCTGCAAAAGAACCTCCAGGCCATTATTGGTCCCTCAGGTGTCATCGAACCTTAACAGGAAACGATGCAAATCTTGTAGGCTCCGTCCACCCAATGTGGTGATGAACATTCTGAGCTTCTGCCTAGAACAAGAATATGGGGTGCATATATCGTAGAGAAAAAAAGCCACACTTTCGGCTGGAACTGGTGATTCATACAGCGTTCTCTGGTAACCTGGGAAAAAGCCATTTCTCGCGTTCCAAGATGGGCTAATGACTTGGTCCACCCAGGGCGTGAACGGCCAATCCCTACCCGACGGATGCTCTCGAGCTAGCACGTACGGGGTACTAGGAAGGGGGAAAGGGTCCAGGTTCAACGAAGATATGTACTTATATATTATATTGAAATCGCCCTGTCGCAGATATTACCCACATGCACAAAAATTCCAGAGGGCTGGGTTTGGTCAGAAACCTGACTTCCTTGTCCGACTATAGCAGCGAGATAATAGAGAGAGTGGATATTTAACATATCACCGTTGGCCTCTCCAACAAGTTCGATATATCACCTGCAACAATGGCTGCCCTGGATACCTCATATGCAGCGGGTTTCCAGAAGGAAACGTGGACCTTGTACGCTTTCGGGATCTTGGTCTTGGTCCTACGAACGTGAGATCTCCCCCATATTTGCAACCTTAGCATCAACTAACATTGTGTGATTTGCCTGCGATTGATAGGATTGCTCGAATAAGACGACTCGGGCTGCGCTCGCTACAATATGATGACTATCTCATGCTAACAGGCGGCATATGGTACACATTGCTATGCATCTCCTTGAACTCGGTTGTTGCTGTTGGGGGTTCGAATTTGATGGATGCGCAAGATATTGCGGAACTCACGCCAGCGATCAAGGTCGAGCGTGTCAAGGGCAGCAAATGGGTGTTTGTTTCCGAACATGCCTTTATAATGACCATATGGACATTAAAGGCATGCATGATCATACTATATCGCCGCATAATGTAAGCATCGAACTGCATTCCTGGACTGGGACTCGATTTGCTAACTGCTCGTTTGGTAGGGAGGGGTTGCGCCAACAGCGGCTGGTGAAGTATTTGACTATTTGGGTCTTCCTTGGATTCGTTGGCTCAGAGCTGGCGCTCTTCTTAATCTGCCGACCTTTATCCGATTACTGGGCTGTTCCCACCACCAACAGTGAGTTGAATCCCTGGCAATAAACCGTAGAGTGTTGTGTAAATGCTAATAATCCAACCAGCTCAATGTTCGACCTACCAATATTATGAGATAATTCAGGGGATACTTGCTATTTCAGCTGACATCCTCATGCTCCTTGTCGCCATCCCGCTTCTTATGGCAGTTCGACTGCCACAAAAGCAGAAAATGATTCTCATCATCATTTTTGGGCTGGGTATATTCATCATAATCGCGGCCATCTTGACGAAGTTGTACTGCCTGGTACCATCCCTGATTTCCTACGTATACCTGAACTGGTACTTCCGAGAAGCCACAGTCGCCATGCTTGTCACCTGTCTCCCAATGACATGGTCATTACTAAGAGATATTTTCCCCGCTCTGAAGAGTTGGACTGGCGGATCACGGCAATATGGGTCAGGAAAGGGTCCATCAGCACGCCGAACAGGCTCTCGCCCTCCTTTTCAATCAACAAAGAACCATTTGCAATTGAACTCTTTCAGCCGAGCCCACGCATCTCATGGAAAAGCCACGGAAAGCGATATGGGATACGAATCGAGCCACGGCTCGCCACGCGACCACAGTGACCGGTACAATGACAAGAATGATGTCAAGCAGTTGACATCGATACATGTACGCCAGGACGTTACCGTGACAGTACAGGATGATCGGGACAGTGAAGAAACCTTGTCCAACGGCTATACTAGACACCAACGTAAAGCCACTGGTTGGGAGGATATGGCCTGAAGCGGCGAATGTCTGATCTTAATACTGAACCGCGTCCCGGGCGGTTTACCGTGAACATATACCCTCATGGGAAGAAGAGTGTAACGGCGTTGGTCTTTTTTTCTTATGTATTTTTCGCTTCCTGGGTCGAGATGTTATCCTTGGGTTCATGATTCGGGCGGTTTCCCATTCTTGTGTTTGTAATAATGACGAATATACATCGAAAGGATGTTGATCGAGATCAAGATCTTTGCTGCATGTCTTGATAAAGATTGATGGACGTCTTGATATTACTCGAAAGGCTGGGATTTTTACGTGGTGTATCATGACTTACGGACAACTTGTGTATTATTTCACTTCTATTGGCTAAAATCTGTAATTATTGTATGTCATGAGATAATCATTAGTCATTTAGAAACACAGGGCACTAGACCAATATAGGAATAATTGTGCTTAGTCACATACATATAATCATATGACATGCATATAATGATGTTGACATCATGTGATTTACGTTTAGTCATAGCCAATAAGAGCTCAGTATCGAAATATCTACTTAACATGTTCAGGAGTTGACATCGTTGAGAGATTCAAATACTCCAAAGTACAGTATGTACAGAGTAGAAGCTTTAAAAACTAAGTATTCGCCATCAGTTGATAGAAGATTTTTCTTTGTGCCAATGTTTATTCATACCAGTACCTAACTGATATTCCAAATTGGATGGTTCGAGATGGATAGCTACAAGATTTTGTCAAATATGCCATTCGGCCAAAAAGGCGAGCCCGCGCTGATTGGAGGCAGAGAGACTTGTTATATTTTTGACACACCCCCCCAGCTTGATGAGGTACGAGGCAAGCTGAACTAGATATACGCAGAAAGATGATTGGTAGTGGCCGATGTTTGGCCGTATAGAGGGAACCGCTCGGCGCTCGCTGGCCGCTGATCTGGGCCGCTCTGGGTAATAAATGAATAATAAGGGCCGTACTAGGCTGCCTACTGGGCCGCTGACTGGCTACTTATATTGGTAATTGGATGGCCGTTATAGGCCGTAGAAAATCGATGGACGTACAGAGCTAGGTTCGGACGTAGAGCCTCGGGTGTTTGGCTTGGCGTAGAGGATGCAACGACCGGGCTCATAACTGTCAAATATGCCATTCGGCCAAAAAGGCGAGCCCGCGCTGATTGGAGGCAGAGAGACTTGTTATATTTTTGACAGATTTTTACCTGAATGAATCCTAAAGTGGCCATCTCACTGAAGAATATTAGCAGATCATCTTAATAGTCCGCTTAAGTCTGTGCCACCAGCAATGAAGACTGTCTTGCTAAGGCAGATTCATAACTATAGGGAAGGGAGGCTTGATATAGCTACAAGTAGCACCACTTGCTAGATCCATCGTCTCCTATTAGCTATCCAACAGACCGAAGTGTTTGCCAGGATAGTCGGAGAAGTCAGGATTATCCTCGAGGGGAGTACAGAGTAAGCGGATCGAACTGCTGGCCAAAGATGGCTAGATCAAATTATTCCTCCGCAGACAACGCAGATATGAGGAGCGATACCAATGAATATTGAATAGAGCGGTCCAGGCAAACGCAGGCCCTGCCTTTTCGGAGGTGCCTGGACAGAGTACATCTTCGATGATGCGAGAAGACACGGAAACAACAGAGAAACGCGGATCCTGAGGCCCCGAGTAAGATGCCTACTGGCTCATGATTCTGCGTTGACCCGCTGATGCCGACAAATGCATGACCCTGCTCACTCAATTCAACCTTGGCGGACAATATCCCTGCGCGGTAGGATGCATGGATTTTCCTGTACCGAGGCATTGTCGGGGACAACTCCTTTTTCCCCCTGATGAGAAAGTATCGATCACCTAGGGATACAGGTATTTCTTCTGGACTATCTCGAGAAAGGAGCGGGAGGATTATTCAAAGTAATCGCTGTGTTAGATCAGATGTAGATCATAATCAGGGAGGCCACAAAGGCCGCTTATATATGAAGATCACTGTTTTCCCCTTCTACTTGTTCCTCAATTGTTTCGACGATTGTTTGCTTGATACCCCCTTTCTGTCGCGTAGCCGCATACTCCTACCGGGCACAGAGTACACACTACTACCGCTATAAATATCTCGATATTATGGTCTCGGAAGATGTGACAGTCGGCTCGGATGCCCACAGTCCACTGGAGAGGCCCATTTTTTTTGTCTGTCCTCACCAGCCTTATCCTCTGGAGTCTATATTGCGATGGAAGTATAACTGATGGGACTCCTGGGGCAGTCCAATCTCCCCTGCATGAGAAAACCGGAGCATCTAACTACATGCGGGGCGTCAAGGATTGAGTTGTGCTTACTGCTGCTTGGGCAAGCGGCGATTTGCCTTGATATGGGAAGAAAGAAGAGAGGAAAAGATCAGAGAGAATAAGCGAGAAGAAAAGAAAAGAGACAAGAAAAAAGGAAGCGGCTCTGTGCAGTGCTTGGGCCACTCGGGTTAAGGTTGTTCCCTTCCTTCGCCCGAAAGAGGGTCCGACCACCTCGACATCCCTTTTCGGACTTTCAACTTCAAACATCAACATCAACAGCAGCAGACACAGCCGACAACAACAGCAACAGAGTCCATACCAACGGTAAATTGGAATCAGAGATGACGACAATGGCTGCTATTGACGTGGGTTGCTATTCTCGGACCAGTCTTGGCCCCTAACAGTTAATACCCTGGTCGTTACCAGACGGATGGAAATCCATCGATGAGCCTATCGCTCCATCGAAATCAAGCCATGGGCAAGCCTTGCATACAATACCCTGCCGTCCACTGTTATATGTATATACATGATCGTGTCTCGCCTGGAAAATATCGGAATGTCGCGTTCTAGTTGTTCCTGCAATGCAACCTCTTGCGCCTGACAGCATATACTTCCTTGCTGCTATCCGCACGATCTGGCTGTTGGAGTGGTGCATGGTGCCTGGTTCCTGGTGCCTGGCGATTGTTGATGGGATACGCTTAGAGCCTCGGCCAAGCAAATACGCGATGTTAATTTCGAGTCAGTTGGCTGTCTCGCTAAAGGCTCGAGTCTATACTATTGCATTGCACTTGGCGCACAGTTGCTTTGAGCATGTTGGAAGATATGATCTTCCCGTTGCATAGTGTTATACCCCACATTGTGGCCAACAGTCAACGATATGGTCTAGTGGCCCCGACGTATCACTGCCGCTTAGCCACTGCCGCCTCATGTGCGACCACAGCAGCATGGAAGCTCATGCGTGGAATGTTCAATTTTACGCCTACGTCGGGGGGCTCCCTTGAACGTGACGCCGTTCAATGTGGTGCTACCGGCTCTGTCCATGGTGCCCATGCCTGTGAGCACAATACCCATGTAATTATTCTCCTACTACTGATGGTATCACAATGGATACAATTGATCGGAGGCTGAATTGGAACAAAGTCTTACTTGGCTGCAATATAGAACTCTTTCCGCTTATTTTGCTTGGCTACCTTCTATATATGTAACATAGCCATCGCCTTGATTCACCTTCCAACGGTTTTCTGCCCTTCTGTTACTTTTGGCCCTCCCAACTGATTGCGGGCTTTAAGCTTGCATCCATTCATTGCAGTCAGTTCAGGCATCACACTCGTTGCATCGAGGCTGTGTACTCAGTGCCATTCTTTTCTCTGAACACAAGCGTTCAATCCTCAAGATATATATACCATCATTTATACCGTATAGACACTATCATTAACTATCATTCACAATTCAAATCACTCGCCCAACATGGCTTCCTCCAAGATTATCACGGCATTTATTGCCTTTCTATCGTTGCTTACTATGTCTGCTTTTGCTCTGGACGTAGCTTCTAGCACTAACTTGGTCACCTACTGGGTAAACTACACCCTTCTTTTCATTCCAGACTGGGAATAAGAATCTCTGCTAAACATCTATATATACAGGGCCAAGGCGATAACCAGGAGCGTCTATCTTACTTCTGCCAACAGACAGAACATGATATCATTGTCATTGGCTTCGTCAACGTCTTTCCCGACCAAGGCCTTGGTGGTTGGCCAGGAACCAACTTCGGAAACCAATGCGGCAACTCCACTTATGAAACCCTAGATGGCCAGGAAACTGAACTCCTGAGCGGATGCGATAATATTATAGAGGATCTGCCCATCTGCAGAGCTGCTGGAAAGACTATCTTGCTTTCTCTAGGTGGCGAGAGCATAAATGGGCCTTACACTTATAGTGTTAAGAGCAGAGAGTCAGCTGTTGAATTTGCAGATTTCCTCTGGGGTGCCTTTGGGCCACCTTCTCCTGGTTGGCATGGGCCTCGTCCGTTCGGTGATAATGCAGTGGACGGATTCGATTTTGATATCGAAGTTAACGGTGGTGCAAGTATGACTTACTATCTCTCTGCCTTCCGCCCTTTTCCCCCTTTCTAACTTTTGGCTAACTCGCCCATCGCAAGATTACCAATACATGGTCGAACGGTTACGAAGCCACTTCGACAAGGATCCATCCCGACGGTACTATATATCTGGCGCGCCCCAGTGCATTGTTCCCGACGAGCAGCTTGGTGACGCGATCACCAACTCGGTTTTCGACTTCATTTTCGTCCAACTATACAGCGCACCTGATTGTACAACCTACCTCTCGTCTGATTGTCCATCCTGCGGCTCGTCTGATTGTTTATTCTGCGGCTCATCTGAGAGTTCATACTACAACCCGTCTAAGAGCTCCGATAGTTCGAGGTCCGGGTTTTATATAGGCTTTGATATTGAAGGGTGGATCGATTTCATCCGCGAGAGCGCAAACCCCAATGTAAAGTTCTTCATTGGTCTTACTGCTAGGGAAAGGATCGGGCACCTCAGTCTTGGTGAAGTTGAGATATTCATCAGGGAATTTATCAACGAATTCGAGGATAACTTTGGGGGTGCGATGGTTTGGGATGCTCAATCCTCTGAGGAAAACCGAAGTGATGGGCGAAGCTATGCTGCGAACGTAAAGCGGTTACTACTCGACCACGGTCCTTCTCAGCCAACTACTACTTCAACAAGGCCAACGAGTACCTCTGAGTCAAAGACACAAGCCAGCTCGACATTCATCACCACTACGAGCATTTGGAGTTCTGGTGGCGGAATTCCAACCATCAGTACCACTCCAAAGTACCCAAACATCACCTCAACGTATATCCCGGTAGAAACTCCAACGACGTCCGATGTCACTATTACACTGACCGTCACGCCTTCTATGCACCAAAGCACAGATACAATAGCTCCTACTCCAAGCTATACGACCATGCCCATGATTCCGGCTTCATCCTCCCACCCCGGAGATCCCTCCACGACATCTGTGACCGCCACGTCATATACTACCGTCTATGCTACTGGAACCACCACAGTTACGACAACAACCTATACTACAGTCTACTACCCCGAGACAGGAGCGCCAACAACTTTGACTCTCACTTACCCAGTCACGGTTGTCGGCCCAACGGTGACTGTGATCCCCACGCCAGCACCAAGCGGCGAGCCTGAGAATCCAACCACTCTGACCAGTGTTGCTCTTCCGCCCAGTCCTAATGTATCGGTCCCACCTGAAGGTAGCGACACAGTGGCTAACCCCACGTCTACTGCGCCTTCGATGCCAGTTTACACCGGTGGAGCTTCGTTGCTATCATTCCCCATTGCGGCAATAGCTTTGGGTGTAGTCGCATCCTATGCAATGATGCTATGATTGAGCCGGTAATCACTTAATTAATTGATGGAATATAAGTGATGGGATCTAAATGTTTTTCTCTTTTCTTTCTTTTTCGGTTTTATGGATGTTGATGTTGATGAATTCTCTCTCATTGGATATGGCACTTAATTTCTACGTCAAGTTTGGGAAATAATAACTATAAACATCTTCTAATCTCCTTGGCCCCTTTACTCCTCGTTTCAGCTCTAAGAGTGCTTCTCTAGCTTATCATTAATCATCTTATATCTCTCCCTCCTTATCCATCGTGCCATACTCGCTTGACCATAACCTCCGCAGTCCAAGACGTGTTGAACCCATAAGCTACCGTCATCCATAAATCCTCTCCCCCACAACGTTAAGAATGGGGAAAGCCAATTTATATTCCACTATCGTCGGCCAATCACCCGTGCGGTTTAAGCTTATCTTCCTTTTGCCTCCCGTGGAACCCGTTGAAGTACCTGGCATGTACCTAGAGGGCAACTATGGGAAGGCGATAACCTTGTATCAAAGTTTTCTATCGCCGCCGGATGGTGTGACCATCTTCGATTCTACTGGTAGAGGAAAAGACACGGAAGAGAGTTGTCGTTGTATAAGAGGAGAAACTTGCCTTTGTAGGCCTTGGCTCGGCGAACTGAAGTTTTGTCTCTAGTTGACGCCGTTGGGTTTCGCCGGTGGGTTCGCCTAGTTTCTAGACCCCGTTCGTGCATCGAGCTTTGTGGGTCAGCTCTCTCGCAACGTGAAATATGTAGATGAAATGTCTCATTCACATGGAGATGCCAGAATAAGGAATAAAGGGGCTATTCCGTGTGCAAGTATCTCATGTCAGAAGGAGCTCTTCCTTTTACTCCAAATTATATAGGTACAAGTTTACTGCCAGGAACCAAAGTCAACCAGAGTCAAAAAGGTATCAAAATTTTGAGTGAAAGGAATGAGGAAGTAAACTATGTACAAAGATCTATTTCCCAGAAACAACCCAAAAGGCCACCTTCCAAAATCTCCGGAAGATATAAATTAAAGAGCGTGAGGGAAGGTGGAGGCCCGCTCAACATGGTTAAAAAAAATAAGATGATATATTTTCTCTTCTCCCGGCTCCTTTTCTACCTCGCATTCCTCCATTTGCAGCCTTTTTTTCTTTCCGGCGTGGTGTTAGCGGCGTGCGACCCCGGAAAGGACTAGTGGTTGAGCGGCATCATGTTTGGCAGAAGATAGATGTTGTCAAGGCGTTTAGATGAAAGGAGTTGGGATGGTGGTTGGCCAGTGGTAGGTGCCGGATGGAAAGGCAGTGTCAGTGACAGTGCCAGTTGGGTAAGGCAGGGTGCCAGTTCCAGTTGGGATTGGGATTCCGGTGCCGGTGCCGGTAGGAATGCCAGTGCCGGTTCCAGTGGGAATGATAGTGAATGTGGTGCCGGTTGGGATTGGGATTTCATCGGTAGTTGGGAGTGGCAGATCAATAAACTTGAACAGATCGGACCAGCTGAAAGGTCTGGCAGAGACGGCACTGGCGAGGCCAAGGAGGATGACGGCTGAGAACTGCATCTTGATTGAAAGAGTGGTAGGTTCTTTTTTGTATATGTATTTTTTTGGATGGTTGTTTCTGGATTTTTATTTCTCTGCACAAGAATAGAAAGGAGAAAGGAATGAATGTGTCTTCTGATGGAAGTGAAACCTGTTCAACTTATATCATCAAAAGTAAGGGAGTAGAGCAGTTCGAGGGGGGGGGGGGAAAGGGAGGGTATTATATAGACAAGATATTGCTTAGACCTCCCAGGAGGCAAGGGGGCGGTGGGTATAATGGTTCGTGGACCGTATACATATGCGTACCTGATATAAATCCAGGGCACATTGATCTGATAGGCCCTTGCATGTCGGTATGGGAGCACCACGGCGGCTGACTCGTCATGGCAAAGTCACTCAAAGAGCCGTGGTTATACTTAAAGTTGGGTGGGGGTACGGAACTTTTGACATGAACGCGCAGCCTCGACCTTGTCAGAGTATGTAACTCCGTCAAAGATTGCGAAGATCTCCTTATCGGGATTCAAATAAGAGGCCAGAAATTTGCTGTGTCTCTCTGGCTGTACTCCGGGTTCCTTGGGACCCACCGAGTAAGCAGGGCCGTGGGCCACTTTTTGATGGATATGTAATAACATGTCTAGAATAATCAAATCTCCCGTCCTGATGGTTTCTGGCATCTTTCTGGTCGAACAGGACAAGCCGACAAGGCGCAGGAGCCTGACACAGCATGCAAGGCCAACCATCAGTGGATGAGTCTATACTATGTAAGTATATGCTCGGTGACGCAGCCGACTCCGCACCACTACGGTCCCATCCCGGCGTATATACATCGAGAGTACAGAATTCTGCGGGCTGTATATTCATCATCGACCTTGGGCCTTGCGGAGTGCCCGTGTCTAAACAGGACACTGACAAGGTCATGGTCCTGGTCCAAGAGGCCGATCAGCCCGTCTTCCCTCTCGACTATACGGCGAGACTGGACGAACGAAGCTTTGGAAGGCCATGATCCTTGCTGTACGGCGGAAGATCTCTTGCTCTGGCGGGATTCCACGTCCACAACTCGTCCATTCAACGGGGGGGGAGGCCAGAGAGCAGCCAAACTCGCATGAAGAACCAGCAAAAGTCGTTGTTGTTGAGAAACGAAGATGAAACGAAAAGGGGGCGAAGGCGGTGGAGATTTTGGATGCTTGGCAGAATCTTCGACTTCGACTTCATATCATGACTTTACATACATACGGAGTACATCGTATGGCTTCTTGGAGGCGGACACTACGAAGTTCTCCATGCAGGTTGTGTGCATAGGGGACGTGGCTGACATCTCAGGCTAGGTGGAAGAGAGTCTGCTGTCTATGGCAAGGCGAACTGGATCGCGGTAGGCTTCGGAGGATAATCTCTGCGCAGGATGACTGCGAACCTCACAGCAAGCAGATCACTAACTCTCGTCCAGGAACGGGACAGGCCACTTTCTCTGACTCGTCGAATTCAGTCGGTCTCCGCCGCTGATCTGCAAACAGCCTGGATGATCTCAGTCAATTCCTTGTCGCCGTTCTGGATACGAGTGTCAGACACTTGGGAAGATAAACTGGAGGCTAGAAGAAAAATAAATCCGAGATCTCGAGGCTGTTGTTCTATTTGATAAGCAGCCTGCTCCGTCGGAGGCTGATGTTTCTTTTTATATCATTTCGTCCTTCGCCGTTTCAGGTGGTTCCTCAAGGCTTGTGCCTTGCGCGTGTAATCAGTTTTAGTCGCGCGTGCCGAGGTTTGTAGTTAATTAACCTGGCTCCTCCCCTACTATGTAGGATAAGGCTTCTGACGTTGATGCGGGTAGGGGTTAGTTGTGTTTCCTTTTCTCCTTCGTCGAATTACGGACAGGCCAAAGAAACAAGTTAAAACAACCGGAAAACATGCGGAGAGCGGCATGATTCGTTTTTTAAGGTAGAAATATGGTTACATCCGCGGCCCGGACGTGCTTTTAAGAGGCTGTTCTTCCCGTTTATCCCCACACTCTTATGCGGGCTTGAGAACATTCGCTGGGTGTTCGAACACGTTTTAGGGCAAGTGTTAAAATAGACAGCAAGCTATCTGATTGAGCTGCTCTGGCATTGGGTTCCTGAATGGGCATCAATGGATTCTTCATGTTGGATTCCACAATTGAAGTGCATTCCATTACCTACTATGTATATAATTGATCCCCATATAAGGATTATAATCTATACATGGCCTCCCCTGCTCGCCCACATGCGCCTCCTTTAGAACGCCGGATATCACTTGCAGGCCGTTCTGTCGTTATCAAGTTGCTTTGGAGTTCCCACTTGCTCTGTCTACTATTACGCATATATAGTATAGCCGCTAGAGCATATAGGAAGAATGACGCGTTGAGAGACCCATCACTTATCACGCTAGATCCGTGATCCTAATATTAGAACCAAGTACGAGTAACGTGCCAATGCGCGAACTGTGTAAGGTGCAATTGAGGTATACATACTACGTTAATATGGATAACCGTTTTGCCGTATGGACCCCGTTCGTATCTAGAGGCTACTTACGGCTCGTATTGTCCGCGGAGGTGAGATAGTCGCTTGGTTATCATTCGCACACAAATGAGAGGGGTTTGGAATCGCTCAAGGCTGTGCTGATCGCAGCTAGAAATGCGGGAACGTCAAGGAAGGGTAAGGTATATATAGAATGCCCTGATATGATCTCCGCTGCCCGTTCGGCCGGTGTAAGATTCTTCATGAGGATCCCTGTAGCCTCTGCTTATGTCTTCAATTCGTCAATTCTTGCCTGTCAACCCTTCTCTACAGCCAGTTTAGGATGTTTTGTCCGTCTGCCTCTCCCCTTCGTCGCTCCTCGCTTTCGTTTCTCACTCTCTGCTTGGTTGATAGCTTCTTTATCTCTAGAACTGTGCTTCCCGCTGGATGGAATCACGATCTCCACGCAGAACATGCGCAAATTGGACTCGACAACGCTTGGTATCGGATTCCTGGGCATTGCTTGTTCGCTTTTTTCCTCTTTCACCTCCTTATCTTTCGTCTCTTCCCCATATTTTGTCTCCAGTTGAGCAATCCCATTCTCCTCATTCACATGTTCTTTCTCTCCGTCTGCAGCCTTTTCTTCCTTCTGCTCGTCTTGTTGTCGGGATCCCCGAGGCACAACGCTGACCCGCCTTAGCTTCGTGCTCTTTAGGGTGAGTTGCTTGTATTTTGGAGGCCGCCCCATCCCCGCCTTTGGAGGAATTGCTGCAGATGATGTGATATCGGTCCGCTTAGCCGCTTTGCTAGGTTCGCGGACTGTCATTCCGATGCATGGCTGGGAGTTAACAGTATCAACCCACTCCATTATGCGTGCTGTCTTCTCCGCAGTCAGGTAACGGCGTATTGCCGACATGTTGGTGATCGCCCTGCAGATGGTGGAATAGCGGTTGAAGGAATACTATAGAATCCCAAGACCTTGCAAAAGATCAGCGAATTGAGTGAATGAAAAGAGTTGCTCTCATATCAGTGTTGGTGCAGCTGTTGGTCGCGAAAGGTAAACTGCCGTGTCTACAGATAAATAGCAACATCGCATTAACCGGCAAAACGAGTGGATGTTGCAGAGAAAAAGGGTAGAAAAGAGTGAATCTGCTGTGTTTGAAACGAATATTCTGAGTTGTCCAGGTTTTGTAACTAGACGCGACATCACATGGCACAAGCGCGTTTCCACCCCAAACAAATGACATCACGACCATTTTTACCGTTAGTTTACATTCGTCGAACAAGTTGCTGATGTATTCACGGTAAGTGGAAGGCTGCATTCATTATTATATATACTTATTAAGGCTTATGTGCAGAAAACATCCAGAGGAAATGCACCACGACGTCCCTCCTGGCTCAGACCAATGAAACGCCTTGATAAACGCTGAACGAGAAGCCACAGGTCATGAAGACATCAAACGACAGGGGAAAAAAGACAGCAAGAGATCTATAAAGGTATTCGTTTTGCTCGTTCACATTCAAGGTGTGAAAATGGGGGGAAACATCAGACTTTTCAGTCCCAATGGCGTCGTATGATTGGCTTTGCAGGATCCCAAGGCCCGATGACAACATTCTTATACCGCTGTAAGCTGATGAGCCACCAGCTGCAGCAGCCCATTATCAATGCTGTTGACGGGCTGCCGATGAGGATACCTATTATGGCACCGGAGAGGCCACCCCGGAGCGTTATGCCTACAGATGCGCTGGCAGAAAGAACCAAAGCGACAGTGAGAGATACATGGCCGCGCCACGAGTAAGATCGTAAATGGCGACGAAAGACCGGGAAGAGGCCAAAGACTTCGATTGAAAAGAGGGTAAGGCTGAAGACATGCGAGGTGGATTTTAGGCGCGAGGCGAGCACAGTAGAGGCCATGAGTGCCGCATTAGTGGAAAGCGAGGCAGGGAAATTGGTGGTAGCAGCTCCGCCAACTGGAATGTTTTTCTCGCCGGATCCGTAATCGAAGAAGAAGATGTTGATGGCCATTAGCCAGCAGCTCATGGCCCAGATCGAGTCGCTGGTTGTTGATTTGGTAAGTGATTTGAGGATCGGGCTAAGGCCGCGGAGGGTGCAGAATATTAAGAGTGCAGACTTGGCGGTGGTAAACATCTGGCGGTGTCGCGATGCTATGAATGCCGCTGTTGGTAGCGGAGATAGTGGAGTAGCTACGCCAGACGATTTGGTGTAGGAAGCGGCGTTAGACTTGACCCCAAGCGGACAGTCGGATGCGTTCATCGATACTGGAGAGAGCGACAGATGGGCGGATTGCTCGGAATGTATGGACGTCGCAGACGTGCTGATGGAGTGGGAGCGGGTTCCCGAACCAGAGTCCGAGCTTTCCCTGCTGGGCAAGCTGCTGACACTAGACGTATCCAGGGACAATCCGAGACCGTTGTTCACATCATTTTCCTTGCCGTCCAAGCTCTCTGAGTTGCTGCAGCTGGAGGTAGAGTGGTTACGAGTAGTTGCGCTAGACTGCTTGCTCAGCTTGAGTAGTTTCGTAGCTTCCATGGCCACTGCGGCTTCCATCCCATCCTTCGCAACCCAGTAGTCCCAGACTACCCAGCCGAGAATGGTACAGATGCTTCCGCAGCTGACAACGGTTATGGGGCTGACACGTTCCTGGAATATGACTGTAAAACAGCAAACGAATATGATAACTGAGCAGACATGCTGTACAATAACGGTGAAATCGGCCACCAGCGGCCAAAAGTCGTATGGCTGAAGTCGAGGGTTTCGCTGCAGATGGTCGAGAAAGGTCTCCGTGTCGGTATAATTATCAGGATCTACCCAAGGTAATCGTCAGTATAATCTGTGGTGCTATATCCCATAGTCCAAAGATATCACGCATCATACAAGACTGCTTAACCCATAGAAGCTTCTTCCACTGTCCCTTTCTCTTCCTCCTACTTCGGTCTCTCCGCCGATCCTTCGCAGGCTTAGATTCCAATCCAGGTACAGCAGGAGGAATCCTCAGCGCCGCTAACGCTGCTGGAGTCGCAACACTCCGATTAAGCAGCCGCGCAGTATCATTCGTGGTATTATCGCCATCTCTCCTTGTGCCACCAACGTTACCCGGCCGGAGTCTAGGAGGCGAAGTGAAATAGGCGTCTTCAGGCGCAAGTCGGCTTGGATCAGGAGAAAGGTAGCATACAGGTCGGGACTTGAGCCCAGCGCGATTAGGATGTGTTTCAACGGGGACTGGAGGTGGGATTGGCGCAGCGAGGGTTGGTGGTGAGTTCGGCGGTTGCGACGCCGGTTTTGATTGCGGCTCGACAGGAGAGGATGGGGGAGATAAGTGGCTGCTAGCCATGACAGGCCTGGAGGGAAAGATTGCTACTTCGTCACCGTCTAACCATGGCGTGGCTCTCTCTCTCTCTCTCGCGAGTCGAGGCCTTCAGCTGTTGTTCTTTTTCTTCACTGCTTGATATTCAAATCTGCGGCTATGAAGTCTTCGATAAATTTCCCGATTGGGGCGAACGTCATCTGTGTCACGTGATATAAAATCTCCTATTCTTACTCTTCGATATTACAGATGGAAAGATATAATATAGCATGGATACTGGGCGATGGAGGACATGGAGACGAAGTAGATATAGTTATACATGTGACGTATATCTCTATAGAGCCTAACTGGGCTAAACCTGTATACTGGGTATAGATAACGTCGACCCAAACCGAGGAGCAAGGGGGAATACGACGGTGTTGTCTATCTTGATAATCCTTCTCTGTGGGCAAAGTAGGCTGCCGTAGCATTCTCGACACTGTTCCTCCGACCCCAATGCTGCGGCTGTCGCTTGAGGAACGCCCCAACTGCTCCAAGATAGCCTTCATGGCGCAGGAAATACGCCTGCTTCTCTCCCTTGGACCAAAATCTAATAGCGTAGGAGAGGGTGTTCATGGTCTGTCTATGGCCCCGGATGAACGAGCCTCCAAAATATATGTGCTTGATCTTATGTTTCTCAGATTGCAGATAGGCGATTTGGCCGATGTTGTTACTACTGCCGTTAGCCGTTGGTTAAGAAGAGAGCGCCAAAGAGATACATACCTTATAGCGAATAAAAGGCTCTGGCTCATGTCTTCGTAGGAGAAATGAGAGATGTCCTGCTCGGAAGGCGGCGACTCACTTCCACTGTTCTCAGCATTCCGTTCCTCGAGCCTCTTCAGCTTGAGGACTTTTCCAAAAGTGCTGGCGATAGCGGTGCTCTTCAGGCCTATCTTGCCGTAGTCTGTGCCATAGATGTCACCTACGAGCATGTCGACTCCACTGTTATCTCCACGCTCCGCCATGGCTAGCATCTCATCGAAGGTGCGGGCACCGGTCAGGAGAGCCATCAGACCCCAGAACGTCCCTCCACCGAGAGATGTGCCGCCCACTCGCTCGAACTGTCGGGGGCCAGACACCTTGACCATGGAGACGCCAGAGCCGATATTCACCAGCAGGTAAGGGTACACGTCCGCCCTCGCCTCCGCAAACTGCATCGGCGTGGTCTCGCTGTAGGTAAAGACTTCATTTGGTATCTCCGTAATAAAAAAGTCCAGTCCTGCCCCCGTTAGCCTTCGTCTCTCTGCCTTTTAGCCTAGGGTAACGTACCGATGATCAGGCACTCCATCTCATCCTCCCTCAGCACGTTGACTCCAAGGGCGTCCTTGAGCATGTCGTAGAACTTGTATGCGCCTCCACCAGTAGCCATGACGCAGAGCTCGTACGGAACCGAGCCATTCCTCTTCATATGATTCTCCTTCAGCTTCTTCAGGAAGTCGATACACAGGTCTATCCTGCTTGTCTCGAAATTTATAAAGTTGAGTCGACCACCGCTGCCGGACTGGTTTATCTCGGGAGAGAAATAGACGAGCTTCGCCAGCGTTCCGCCAATCTATCCAGTGAGTTAGCCGTGTTCAATGTAGCAGCAGCAGCAGCAGAAGACTCACGTCGACGGCGACATGGCTCACGACATCAGTGTGGTGAGGGAGGCGAATATCCTTGTGCTCGTAGTGCACGCCGTCAGCGTCGTCGCGCCGGTGAGCGGCCCGCTCGTCCAGGATGAAGGCGCCCTTGACATTGATCTTGACCGATCCCGGGTTCGAGATGGTCTCGCGCAGGCGCTCGACAGAGACATCGTTCTCCGTCTGCGCTCGCCGGCGCCGCGACGCATGCGACTCCACACCCGCACCGGATCCTGGCGCGGCAGACATGATGTTTTAAGGGGGAGAGAGACGGTGGATGGGCATTTGGCCGTTGAAGCTGAGGCTCCCTTTTATTCTTTCTCTCCTGTTAGCCTTGGAAGAGGATCCCGAGGCTTGCGTGCCCACGCTTACGCCGTACTTCTCCTTCTGGTCGGTGGTTTTGCGCCGAGGAACGACGGCGGATCCGTTGGAGTCACAAACATCGAACTACGACAACTACGCTGGTACAAGATGCAAGATGCAAGGCACGGCGAGATAGAAGACGGGATGATGGATGCTACGACGGATGGATGCTTCCCCAAGGCACGTCTCGCTTTCTCGGTGAGAGAAAGTGCCTGCCACGGCGGTGGTGTTGGAGCTGTTGACATCCTGTGGCCGCGATGAAGACCGTCTTGAAGACGACAACTCGCTTCAAGACCATCATAGTACAAGGGAGATACCATACCATGATGAGAAGATTCCTCCTGGCTCTGCTTGTCTGCACGGCAGAGGCGCACATCGTCTTCAAGCATGCGCCGCTCTCCTGCGACCCCATTCTCCCAGCGTTCCAAGGATGTCTGCGAGGCCAGCGGTGCTCTCGATATGGACAATGCGAGAGCAGTCATCGTCCAGAGGATGAGATACAGCCTCCTCAGGTTGGTTCGGGTGCAGAGCTTGCCCAGAGGTAGAGTCTATGCCAAGCGGGAGAGTCATGGTAGAGGGTACTCTACTGCCAGACGGTACAATTGTCTGGTTGAACGGATGCAACCGTGGTGCGCAAGGGTTTGGCATCGCAAAGGACCCAGTATACGATCCCTGGATATACAACCCGCACGCTTCCCACGTTGAGCGCTGGGCTGTTGGTGGATCGAGTAGTATTGCTCGCATGTACCACTCAGTCGCTCTCCTCCTGCTGGATGGAACAGTAATGGTGGCAGGCTCAAATCCGGTGGAGCAGCCGGTCCTTGTTCCGAACCTAAAGGATCCTAAAACCGCATACGTGACTGAGTTCCGAGTTGAGATCTATACCCCTCACTACCTCAGCGGCAATAAAGCGACCCAGCGGCCTTTTGACGTAATCCTCTCTTCCAGGCACCTGGTGTCGAACGGTGGAATCTTTACGATCAAATTCAGCGTTCACAAGGAGGCCATCGATCTCCACATCGTTCTCTACCAAGGTGGTTTCGTCACGCACTCGTTGCACATGGGCCATCGAATGCTTTACCTAGACTACAAAGGCTGGAAGGCGGGTGAAATTGATCAAGTTATTGATGTTACCATGCCTCCAGACTCTAACGTTGCGCCTCCTGGGGCTTACGTAGTTTACGTTGTCGTGGACGGGGTACCAAGTATGGGGCAGTTTGTCATGGTAGGAAACCCTGTCCAGAGCGATAAAGGGAAGCATGGAGACAAGGTCAGTGCAACGGAAGCAGATGCCCAGGAGGAGCAGAAGAGCAAGCAGAGCGAGAAGGATAAGGTGGGTAAAAACATTGTTGGGCCAAAGGACGACCAGAAAATCGGGAACGGGCCGAAGGACGACAAAGGAAAGGGGGAGAAGGCCGACGAAATTGGTGATAAAAAAGCTACAGGTGATAAAGAGAGCCAAGACAAGGACAAGCAGGGTGATGACGGCAAGGAAGATGGAGAAAAGGACGAACAGGAGAGTAAAGGTGAACCAAAATAAGGAGGACAACGAGGAAGAGAATGTGGATGGCGATGATATGGAGGAAGAAGAGTAAGCTTGACTTGCATCAAAGTACGGAGCTTCCCACGGCTCTTATAGATTATGTGTATATTTCTTATAGACGATGAGCTGGTGTCTAAATACATATCAATATATCAATTTGATGCATTCCATGGACAATGGATTTGGACGAAGAGAAAGACTCACCTTGTAGTAATTAAGGGGCAGCCAGACGGACTCTGATTGGCTATGAGTAAGCAATATAGTCATGTGATTTATCTGTCGTTTTATCCATGTCTCGTGAGTAAATACAGTGACTAAGCAGGTTTATTTCCTTATTAGGAAAAGTGCTGCTTATTAATTTATTATACAGGTTATTACATCATAATACCAAGATTACCAATTTAAACCAATAATAAGAAGCTAAACCGTATTTATTGGTTATATAAATACATCTATAAATACAAGAAATCAACATCGAACTTTTTCAGCTTTCCAAGTCGACTTTTTGTCAGTTTTTGAAGGGATTCATATTGATATTCTGGGTATTCTTTTTGGATATCCATGGGGTATGATGACGCGGATATGTTGGTTGATATATTGTCATCCGAGTTAACACCCAGCTGTAGCTTCAAGACATCACCTATACTAGCTACGGCTAGATATAATCATGCATCGAAGCTCCCATGGAGCAGCTCAAAGATGGCCATTTTATACCCGGAAGCGCCTTTGGTTAGTAGGATGCAGTATTCCGTCCTGGATGCAGTGTTCATGGGCCAGTCTCTGTTTGTTTCTATGGTCAATATTCCTCTTTGTACATCCGCAAGGCCTAGCTGTAGCTATCCATGATCCATGCAACCAGCAGAAGATACCAGTATACCTGATAACTAGCCTAGTTCTTGTCTTCTTTCTGCATAGCATCTTAGAGGACGCTGGATGTTGAATGGTATGAAGAAGTTATCAAGTTCTTCCATCTTATACTGACATCTTCTCTTCCGTCTGCTTCTGGCCTTCCTCAACGCCCGCACATATAAACTTGCCAGAGACACAAGCAGGACACACTCTGTGATCTTCCAAGTGAAGAGTTTTCTCTCTCTCGGCGTGGACATAAAAGGAGAATTTCTTCTCTTCTTCTTCTTCTTCTTCTTCTTCTTGTTGTTGTTGTTGTTGTTGTTGTTGTTATTTTGCTGTGCTGAACTTCTTGTTTTCCAACTTCATCTTCTATCAATCTTCCAGTGCTTTAGACTGGGACCTCTTCATCCTACATCTGCTGGCCTTGAGGCATCTTGAAGTATTGTCTCTCTCTCCTCGACAGCTTGACGCGTCCTCGAAGGCTGACTCGTTGACTTCTTCAACAGGATCAAACTACGTAGCAGGCTTCATCATGTCTGTTACCAGCGCCGAGGTAGTCGTCGCGCCTCCTCGGGAGCCTCTCGACGAGATGGCTGCTCTGGCCGCTGCTCTGCCTGGAGGCGAAGAGTCTGCTGCGATGGCGCGTGAGAAGGGCTGGGTCGTGCCTCAGCGCTACAACTACGAGGCCTACAACGCCCTCAACAAGGACATGGTTGCAGATGCGCTGCCTTGGGCCTCTAACTCGGCCAAGTACGAGTGGAAAGAAGAATACGGTGACGTTGGCCCTCCAAACGAGGAGCTGGAGCAGATGCTCTTCAAGGACGAGTACATTCCTCGCGTTGGAAAACTCCTAGAGAAGTATGTCGCTCATGTCGAACTTGTGCATTTACGTGTATTTCTCTGTTACTGACCATATAACACGGCAGTCTTCGCCAAATCAAAGTTACTGCGGAGACGACAGAGCGTCCAGACCCTATCAAGAGTGTATGGTCGTCTACGTGAAGTGCAGGAGGATCCATTCTAACTTGTGTATAGTTCGATGAAGCTGGCTTGCATCCTATCATGTTGAACAACATCAAGCTCTGCGGATACGTCGTTCCGACTCCTGTTCAGGCTTACTGTATCCCCGCCGTCATGACTGGCCATGACTTGATTGCAGTCGCGCAAACCGGTATAACTTACTCTCTTTACACATCCTTTGAGGGATAGCATTAACTGGCCTTCTAGGATCTGGAAAAACTGCTGCCTTCTTGATCCCAGTCTTGTCTAGGCTGATGGGTAAAGCAAAGAAACTCGCTACCCCCCGCCCTGACCTGGGGAATGGCTTCAATGAAAGCTTGGATGCCGTTCGCGCTGAACCTCTTGTTCTCGTAGTCGTTCCAACTCGCGAGTTAGCCACTCAGATCTTTGATGAGGCACGTCGTCTTTGCTACCGCTCTATGCTGCGTCCATGTGTTATTTACGGAGGCGGACCAACCCGTGACCAGCGCACTGAGCTCCAGAAGGGTTGTGACATCCTTATTGCTACTCCCGGTCGCCTTATCGACTTTATGGAGAAACCCAATGTCCTCTCTCTCTGTCGTGTCCGTTACACCATCATCGATGAGGCTGATGAGCTTCTCAAGGCCGATTGGGAGGCAGAGTTTACTAAGATCCTCGTTGGAGGAGGTACGGATATAGTCATACCCTCCACATGTATTCTACTAATACATCGACAGACATCAATGAGGATGCTGACCATCGTTACATGATGTTCTCTGCTACGTTCAACAAGGGCTGTCGTCAGGTTGCTCTTAAGTACCTTGCCAACGACTATGTTAGAATCCGCATCGGCCGTGTTGGTAGTACCCATTTGAACGTCACCCAGCAGGTATGCTATACCCCTAGATACTGTACTTCATATCGTTGCTGATAGACCGTAGTTCGTCTGGGCCGAGGAAAGCATGAAGAAGAGATGTCTCTACGATCTTCTGATGGCAATGCCTCCATCCCGTACCATCGTCTTTGTCAACAACAAGACTCAGGCCGATTTCATCGATGATTTCTTGTTCAATATGGGATTGCCGAGTACTTCCATCCACTCGGACCGCACCCAGCGTGAACGTGAAGATGCCATGTTAGTCTTTCACAGCCCCTTACTTGTATGCAGCTATACTGATATCGCCATATATAGCCGTGCGTTCAAGACCGCAAAGTCTCCCATCTTGATTGCCACTGCCATCTCAGCTCGTGGTCTCGATATCAAGAATGTCATGCACGTTGTCAACTACGACTTGCCTTCTATTAATCACGGCGGTATTGACGAGTACATCCATCGCATTGGTAAGCTGCTATCAGATATCACACGAAGCCTGGATAAGTCTCTAATATTTCTCTGTAGGCCGTACCGCACGTATTGGTAACCCAGGTCTAGCCACCTCGTTCTACAACGACAAGAACTCCGACATCGCCGGCGACCTGGTCAAGATCCTCATTGAATCCAAACAAGTCATTCCTGACTTCCTGCAGGGCGAGGCTCCTCCAGATGGTGTTCTCAACTTTGACGATGACACTGACGAGGAGGGTGGTGACGGCGACAACGCCGGTGCCGACGACGTCTGGGGAGCTCCGCCTCCCCCTGCAGCTGCTGCCGGCTTCGCAGAGGCCCCAGCTGTCAACACCGATACCCAAGGCGCCTGGTCTGGTCCTGCCGATGGGAACTGGTAAATTCGATCCATGATGCCGATACACCTTAGTAGTGATACTACTCCTTCTGCATCACGATTCCAGATTTTACCCATCAACTTACTCCATCTCAGATGCAAGACCAAATAAGTCTCGAAAATTGCGAAAGTCAATCAAAAGGAAAAAATATCAAAAAAAAAACCTTCTTCCTTTCTTTATCTTACAATATCATGCCATGGATACCGCCCTACCCGCTCTCAGTTGCTTCCTCTGCTTCTAAGCCCGTTGCTCCCTATCACAAAATACATCAGTCTAGGTATAGGGAGCAACAAGACCAAGCTGCTGGCGGGGCGGTATCCATGGCCCAACTCAACAAAAAATATGTCATTATCTTATTAAAAAAAGATAGAGATTCAATTGCCTAATATAGGTTGCTAGTTAGGTAGTTTAGTTCTGGTATCCAATCCATACTCATCTCTATAATCTTATGGCCTGAATTCTAAGAGTAAATATATCACGGAGCAAGTTGTTATAGCTAAAGAAATGGTTTAGGACTTGAAACCATCCAACATCATCTCATCTCCAACACCACAACATGAATATTGTTCTACCTTCTAACCGCACTCTCATCTTTATAATGGAAAAATCTTCCTATAATGCTTTCTATCAGCATTTCACATCTCATCAGCTCTTTCCGCCTTGCGGAGTCTTCTTGCTCGTTTGTTGAGAAACAAACACTTGAGCACTTCACGGAATATTCATCGCTTTTATGGAGCATCAAACATCAAATACCCCCAGTGTCAAGGCTATATTCACTCTATATCTATTTGATAGATCTTCAAGTGCATCATTAAGACGGCAAACATGTCACGTTCGTACGGATTCCGGCGCATAGTCTTGATCGTAGTCGCTAGCATTCTCCTTCTGAACGCTGGCACATCTCTCGCCGCTCCAGTCACAAAATACGATCCGTTAGTGATCGATACTTTTCGCAGCCCTGCAACAAACGATCTGGGAATCTGGCATGGAGCAGACGAAGGAATGCCAGCTGAATATGGCGAAGGCTTTCTTCGCCTTAGACCCACGAATGCCGATATGAACTTCTATACCCAACTTTCCATAAGCTGCAACAACATGACCGGATATAAAGATGCGTATCTACATGTTGTCTTCAAGGGGACCGATAAGTTCAGCATCAGCTTTACACAGCACAATGCAGCGTGTGACCAGAAAAGGGCTCCTTATCCCGAAACTTGGGATTCAGTCGAGGCATCTCGCTATGCTAACGGGGAGGATATATACGTTCCTCTCTCGCACTTCAATATAGACTTCACAAGAGCTAACTCGATTGGTTTCCATGGCTTCTATACCCGAGAAGAAGTGACCTTGTTCAAGGTTGAGATTATCTCTGCGCCCCCTGGTGCTGTGAATACACCCCAAAAACTTCCCACTGGCACACTGGTACTGAAATGCAAACGGCCAAACTCCTTTGCATTTGGCATCGATGATGGGCAGCCACAGTATGCTCAAGAAGTCATGAAAATATTGGCTGAAGAGGATATCCTCGTGACGTTCTTCACCGTCGGCAATGGACTATTGGACGAGTCTGCCAACTTTACAAACGTCTACAAGGAGATGCTAGGCCGTGGGCACCAGGTTGCTCTTCATACATTTTCGCATCCTATGTATGTTCTTCCCAGTTTGATACTCTCTCTAGATTAGCACTTTTGAAGAATCTCCGTCTAACAAGCGTTAAGGATGGAAGGATTACCAACTACAGAGGGCATCGACCGGGAATTCGTGAAGAACATGGAAGTATTTAAAGAGAAGCTGGGAGTTGAAAGTACCTAATCACTTGTTATTATTCCCCTGTTATTCAGATGCTAATATGGTTCTCAATCTAGGTCGATATTTCCGCCCACCCTTTGGCAACGTTGGTGCCCGAACTCGACAACGTCTTGCAGCTTTGGTTACTGACCCTTACATTGTCAACTGGAGTGTGGATATTGAAGATTGGCTATGGGCTGGCTCCCCAACTCCTGAGAAACAATTCGAAGCATTCAAGCGAGACTTTGAGAAAGGGGGTGATATTGCCGTCATGCATTACCTGAATCCCACCACTATTTCATACTTCAGGGACGTATTCCAGCTAGTCAAGAAGTCTGGCAAGCGCATCATGCGTGTTGATCAGTGCATGGAAGATCCATCCGCACCACCATTGCATTGAATTCTGAATTGGGGATGCGAGTAAGGAATCATTCTTAAGTTGACGGCTTAAAGCCACACTCATTTTGTACTACAGGACAGGTTTAGAAGTAGAAAAGAGCATAAAAGGCTATCCAAGCATTAACCCCGAATGAAAATTGTATAACTACACAGTTGAAGTATAGCAAACACTTGTATCTGGTACATATATAAAGTTCCCGTCGCCGCCGTAAATTCACTTTGCTTCTTGTGAATTTCTAAAGGTCTGGATCATCTCGGTATGCGCTTTCTTCAGCTCTGGAATGATCAGACTCTCAATTTCCACGTCTGGCTGGGGTTGAGCAGCGCCTCCACTGGCCGCAACACTCCCCTTTCTAGTCCTTGTACTCGGCTTTGGAACACGAACCCACTCTAGCCCAAATTTCCCAGTTGCCTTGTCTCGACTCACAAACACGACTTCCCATTTCCGGGTGGATAGCAGATTTCCAATAACCAGATTATGTGCATAACGTTGTAATGCCTGTTCAGACTTCGAAATCAATAGGTCGGGGTCTGTTTCAAGCTTGAAACTAACCACCATGCTGCCAGTTGGCGCCCACCCGTCCACTAGTCGATGTAAGAATTTCGGAACAGGGTCCAGGTCTATAATTAGCTTTTTACCATGCGTTGGAGGCTGGGGATCATTGAAGCCCGTATAAATCGAGTCAGGAGGGATATTGGAGCCGGACTTGTTTTGATCGTTCTTCTCCTTACTGCTGGCTGCAACTGGCTCGTTAGATGATTGGATCTTGTGTTCGACCATCCTATCACGGGGGATGAAGAAGTCGGAAACAGCTGCCGCAAGGTAAAACAGGGCATTGGGACCAAGTGGTTTCATGAGGTTGGCCAGAGATCGAAGCTCGTATAGGTATTCCGTAACCGTAACGAAGGGAAGGACAAGGAGAAGGTTGTTATCCTTAGCGTAACGGTACTGGCGTAGAACCTTACGCATCTCATCTTGATATTCAGACCGAACGACGATAGGGCCATGGTCATTATTGTTTTTAGTACTGCTGTTTAAAGAAGAGCTACCTTCATCCATGAAGTCGAGAAAACAGTTTGTCGAATGGCTGAAATGCCTCGAGTATGGAAGCAAGCTGAACTGTCGATGCAGGAAGATCACAGCATATCCCTCTTGTAAGAAGTACTCTGCAGATGTAGCTCCACGCGTTCCGGCAGAGAAGTTATCCACGAATCTGACCGTCTGTGTCTCGAGAGGTACTGTTGTTCCTCCAGACGTGACGAGAACCAATCTTCGGCCAGTCTGGACATGTCTGTCTATGAACTCCTTTGCCAGCTCATGATGTTCTTCTAATGACGGAGGTGGTGGATTGATTTTAAAGTAGTAAGACTCCGCTTCCTCCGGGGTCAGAGCCTGCGTCGACGGAGCTATGTGAGCTGCTTCGGGCATTGTGCTGATTATTTACTTCGGGATATATAGTATGCAGTAGAAAAGTGGCGACAAGGTGTCAACTCAGTTGGAGTGAAATGGAGACTGTATAGCTTCACTTTATTCCCCTCTGCAGTGAAGCATATATTCAAGAGAAGAAGTCTGTATTTTCTTCGGCGAGTTCTTTAAATATGCGATTGATCCTTAGCGGTTCCAGATCCTACTTTGTATATCCTATCATTGGCGGGGCAGTGCGAAAGAACAGCCAAAAGATGCTGTTGCTACGGAAGCAATGGCAGGGAGAAAAGGGACGCCCACGAAGGACTGAACGTACAGCTGCGGTAACGAGAGGAAGACTGTATATCAATCTCCAGCAACGAAAATCGTTCAGCCGTTTGGATGTTTTGGTTGTTGGAAGTTTGGGTTTCTATTTTGGGATTTCTTGGTTTTTATGCCGAGGTTAGGGCATTACTAAGCAAACGCTTACTTACACACGCCGTAGACAAGGCTTTGAGGGTGATTAAAACAGTTTTTAGATGGATGGAAGAGCTTTAGACATGGAACTGATCATTTTCATTCATCTGAATTTTGTGAATACCAATTTGGTGTGTGGGGTTGAAAAGATCTCCAGTGTGCAGATAGTTTGGCCAGCCACCCCTTTGAATAAACAATCGGATGTATATTTTGGTAGAAGCCAAGCTAGAAAGTCGACTATAATCAGGTTTTAGAAAAGGTGTAATACGGAGATATTCTGCAGACGTGGATTTTCTACAGTGTATCTTATTCAGCGCTTTGGGTGAGTGAGCACAGTTTGTCCTAAGGAAAAGCAGTGACACGAGTCAGCAAATCGAGACCTAAGCGATGCCATGACCGGCAGCTGGGCAAAGTTACTATGACGGTATGTTGCTACGTAGATCGGTGGTAGAATACACAATACCTGCACCTTCAAGAATCTTCCGGGATTAAATATCAAAGATATCTGCTTCGTAAGGCTTGGCTGATGGTACTCATCCGACTCGTGACACCACTCCGCTGCATGTTGCTCAATAGAGCTTCCTCTAATGCGGACTGCGAAACGCTGGCATCTAATATTTACCAGGTAAGAAGGGTATAAGGTCAGCATTAGACTGGTCAAAGTGAGGAAAACGAAGGCAACTTCGATTATTACAGCATACCATCCAAATCACTAAAGCTGCTCCCCATACTAGGGGTGCCTTCACTGCCACGCCCATAGGGGCTGCGTCCAGCTAGCTCTGCAGTCCGTCGTGGGCTCAGGGGCCCGAGAGGGGCGGCAGGGCGGCGGGAAGCCGGTGGCCCGTTGGCAGGTGATCCGGTTGCCATACCGGAACTGGAACTGGTAGTGGACGACTCCGGAAAGTCCTGTCTCGCCTTCGCCGGTGGCGTAGTACCGCCTGATAATTGACGGCCCTGATGTTTGACATGATGGGGCGCTTCGCGTAACGTTGAAGCGGGGTCACCAAGGGGTGCACCTTTCCCACCATCATGTATAGATTCAAGTGGAAGAAACGCAGGAGAGTCATCCTCATCGTCCTCGTCATTCTTCTGTAGCACACGTTTCTGGACCGTAGAAAATTTCCCAAAGCGTCTGTATTGCGGCCGGTTGGAGTCATCATCAGAGCTCGAGCCCGAACTCGACGACGACAGAGGGCCGGGGCTCTCTTCGTCTTGTCGAGATGGAAGAGCGTTCGTTCTCGACTCTCCTCTTCCTCTTACCTGGGGTACTTCACCCGAGCTTGGCCTTGAATGTTTCTGTAGCGTAGCCACCCCTTCCCCATGGGTTTTCGTAGTAAGGGGCCGGGGAAAATTTGGGGCTAACCAAAACATAATTAATATCAGTCTGTCCCGTTCTTTGCAAGACACCAGTATAAAACCAACCCTGAGAGATGTTTGGAGTTGGGGGACAACTGCTGTCTGCTCGAGTTGCCGAGATATCTCGCTGAAGCGCGAACAGCCTGGATTGTATGCGAGAGCCTAGCACAGGTGGTTTTAGCGGAATATCACGCCCGTCCTCTTTTCGTTGATTACCCATACCATCACTGCCAGATCTATTCATGGGCACACTGCCACCTGGCGTACCACCGCCGGCAGAAGTTGTCTGACCAGAAAGAGGGTTCTGGTGCCCGACTTTCCGAAACTGCGCCCTCACCTGGGATAGCCGTCGATCGTATAGCCAGGCAACATGTTGGAGCAGGAATGGAAGGGTAACATTGAAATCCTCGGCACTAAGGAAAGTAGCCTTGTTAGCTGAGATGGTCGTGATAAAGCATACAGTTGTACTGCATACAGAGCTTTCCCTATCCATGAGTGTTAGTTTCTATATCTCGGATAGAAGGGAGAGGGTTATGATAGCATCAGCAACTGACAGTCTACCCCTTCCTTAGGGGCCACAGACAAAACATCCCATAATATCCTATCATTACGGACATCCCAGTTGACCTGTATCAGCATGTTAGCGCCATGAACTCGCACCAACGGCCATATCTATAGACCTTGGATGGCCAAACTCACCGGTGGCGGATCAACAAAATCACCTCGCGGGAAGGGCAGACGAATGAACACTGTGAATTTGGGGCCGCTGGCCAAGTCCTGAGGAGGCATATCGACCTGTGAGCGTGTAACCGAAGAAGACTATAATATATTCTGCATGTTATACGCTGTTATATATGCTGGATGTTTTATTTGTTAAGTTGCTTCTTGGTTCTTTGTTGTTGTTGAAGCCAAAGGGAAAAGTCACGTGAGGATATAACTTCGATCTTTTTTATATTTTGTTTTTATTAACTAACAAAGCATCAGAGAGCCAGCCAAACCGTTGGATAGGACGGGATGTTACAGTTGTCTGTGGAGAAGATGGCATCCCTGTGCATGCATATACATAACTATTATCTATTCCTGGCAGATCATATATAAAACCGCCTGACAAGGGCTCCCCTCCGTCCGCAGAGTCGGTACCTCCCGTGGAGCCAAAAAGCAAAGCAGAGCAAAAACACCATAAGCAACCGAGAGGAGTTCGGGCGATTTACAGCAAGGAATATAGACTGCTACCTTATGCAAGTGCTGTCTGGGATCGGGCACATCGCCGACTGCCAGCTGGCTTCTCGACTCTGTGACGGGGGGGGCTAATCCACCAGGACACCCTTCTTTCATATACCTACTCCGTACTGACTTATAATAGCTGACATGTGTCTGTTACATCTAACAACTTGGCCTGCTACTTTGACGATCTTACGGCCAGGGACATTAAATTTTTTTTTTCTCATCTCCAGTTGAAAGCAGCTTGGTAGTCATATACTTGTTTCAGACGGACTCTTGGACGGGCTGTATACTCCGTCTCACACGAGGAGTCACTACCGGTGAACACGGCGAGGGTGCGGGAGAGATGCCCTCGCAAGCTTATCGGACGAATCCCACCCTGTCGCCTTCATGTCGCTCTCCAGTTGTTCATGCATCACTCTGGCGGTGTGAACAGGGCGGTTGGGTAGATATTCCCCATCACATGATGGCCCATCTCGCTGTCTGGCGAGAAGGGATTTAAAAAAATAACCGAAAAAGAAATAAACAGCTGGGAGACGGCCTGGCGGGCGTCTGCATGTGGACAAGCAGTGGGAGGGGAAGAAAGGAAATCTCCAACAGATGAAAAAGGATCTCTTTCATCCATCCCATCTCCCAGCTCACTTCTCTCTTTCTCTCCCCTCTTTTCTACGCTCGCAAACCAATAGTCGACAGGTTGAATTTACTCTTTGAACAGGGGTTTGGGTGAAAGAGCTTAATCGTCACATAAGTACAGAGGTACTTCCGCCATTCCCGAACCGGAGAAAAGCCACCCATGACGTGCATATTGAACCTTCGCAGCACTTTTATATATCTAAGAGACCTGTTCGCCTGTGCGGTTCCGGCATTTGTCAGGTGTATACACAGAGTAATTGCTCCTGCTTTGGCCTCTTTGCTTATTTCTTATGCAAGGGAGATCTCCTGTTGGCATAACTCGGGATTTACTCGCCGTCTCATGATCCATATAACTCAATAACACACTGCCTTGACTCCGCCATAAATACTATAGGTGGGCCTTGATATGCTTTTGCAAGTTATTCTTCCGCGTTTCAGGTCTTCAACACTGGTGCACGGTGATTACTTTTCCTCGGTTGAAATTGAGGTTGAGGTTGTGATTACTATAAAAACAACCCTCCGCTCAACGGTAAGCCCGGATATTGCTTCCTCTGCACAGACAAACAATTGAACTCCATCACACTTGGATCAACCTGCCTGCCATGTCAAGCAAGGAAGGGGTTCCAGCGGATGAGTCGGATACCCTACTCTACGGTTCAAGTTATAGTGCTTATGTACTACAACTGGCGGAGGATGGGTTAGATGAAGAGGAATTGGCAGCTCTCCGTCAACACGCAATTGACCTCGGCCTATCTATCAAAGACTATTGTGAAGAATCAAAGAAAAGCCTGGAGGCTGTCTCCGAAACGTCCACTGAAACGACACCTACCCCTACGACGGCCATGTCAGCTAGCCAAATCACCACCCCATCGTCAGTGTCTTCCTCAGCCCAGCGAATGTCTAGCAGTGCCCATTCTATATCATCGCTGGCAACTTGTCCTCCCGCATATAATAAGGATGGAGAGACACGGCACAAACTTTTGCTGTTCCGCGCCGCGCCGTCCAGACACTCGTTCGATGCTTCATATTATCAGGATCACCGGATCACTACGGGCTTTAGGCAGTCTATCATATCCAAGTTCCCATATTTCAAGAAACGGTCGTCTGTGCCTGCTGCTCTACCTTCCAAATCCCGGCAAGCCCTCAACACATCGCAGATATTCCAAAGAGACTACAGTGTAGAGGCTAGGATCGATGCCGCTCCGTCTTCGGAAGCGCCATCCCCCGCACATCTTGAGACACCGGATCCTGAAGAACCAATAGATATGGATTCTGTTGCGAGAAGCTTATCTTGTTCGATCTTGACGACCTTGCGAGAAATGCATGAAAACCAAAAAAGAAGGCACTTGGAATTTAAGAAGGAAGTCCTGAATTCCATCCAAACGAAACACGATAAACTCATCGAAGAAAAGAGGAAGCAGAATGAAGAGGGCGAATACGCGCTTGAGGCCCAGGCAAGTTAGCCCTAAACCCTGTGCCAGTGCGATTGAATTACACGCTAACCTCCGGTATAGAACGCTGCCAGAGCAGTCCGTATTGAAGAGAGAGACCTAGTAGCTGAAATATCTCTCGTTGCAGAACTACGACGCGAGAAGCAAGCTCTCCAGACTAGCATACGTCACATGGAGGCATACTTCAACACACCACCACCCAACCTACCCTTCGATAAGAATGGTTTCTATGCCAACCTCCAACCGCGTGAGTTCACCGACCAGAAACGGAGTCGTCTTTCTCAAAGCTATCACGAGCTCAATACGCTCGACGCGCTACACGAGTCTAAAGTAAAAGTCCTGAGAGACAGACAGGCGAGGAATTTTCAAGAAACGCTAAGGGCCATGGAACTCGAGTCTCTTGAACTTGCTAAGAAGAATAAAGAAGTTTTGGATGACCTTGAAAATCGACGGCGGGACGAAACCATGGCTGTAGTCACTTGGCTGGATGAAAGGAAACGGAAACTCATCTATAGGTGGGCGCTGGAGGAGGGAATTGCAAGGAGACGGCTCGAGGACGAGACCAAGCAGACCTACGGCCCCTTGCCCAGGATATCATTTAACGAAGATGAATACGATGGCCTCATGTATGGCCGTCCAAGAGAGAATTGAATGTTGCATCGTTTATTACTTCTCTTAATTCCACTTTTCTGAGATATCAGCAGGTAGTGAAAAAAAAAAAAAACTACTTTCCAGAAGTCCTTGGCTCGGTATCTCTCTACTTTCTCTCCCTCCGTCCGTGTTGGGAGGAGTCTTACCTGTCCAAAACCTTGCCTATGGTATATGTCTTGTCGAGATACCTCGTTTTACCATTTCGTAACCCCTTGCTAGAGATTCCTATTAGGGTAACTGGTCAAAAGGTATGTAAACGGCAATGTAAATATTGTGTATCGTGGGCATTTATATGCATAAGAAGCCAAGGGTATTCTATGTAGAGACCTAGACTCGGAATTCTAAGCTATCTCATACCCTTGAGCCTGGAACTGCATCGGCTTACCGGGCTCGGTTTGTCTTTGAGGAGTTAAAAAGTGCCATGAACTCGTATACTTAGCATTTCACCCCTTTAAAGATGTTCTTGGTTTCAACTAGACATAGCTACAAGATACCATATTGCTATACATTAATGAACAGCTCTTTTTCGCAGACGTATTCGGACCTGTCGGGATTGTCGTCTTGTTCAGGGATCTCTGGGCTATAAATATGTTAAGAAGTGTGGGGAATGCCAGCTTCAATACGGGATGCTGTGGATATGCTGGATAACTTCCGGCCCAATATTCTATTTCACTTCCAATGCTTTGAATAGATATATCTCAGCATTATTTAGCACACGTGGTATCAGCGTACATACCAAGAGGTGTGAATATCTTCTTCGAGAAATACGAACTCGTGTATAAAGGCGTATATAATGTTGATAGAGCTGAACTTCCATGGTCTATCCGCGGCTGCATCTGAATTATTCGACCGATTCTTCGGTCTCCATCCGTCATGGCCAGATATTCACCCTCTATACCTGTTATACGGTCATGATGTTGCGCCGAAGGAGACTTTTGGGGATACGCGATGGAGCTCTATCATCAAGAGTCAAGAGGTTGAAAGCCTCTAGCTAAGATATTCTGCTGAAGGCATCTTTGGCCAATTGCTGGTGTATGAGATAGAACGTGGTATTCATCTTTGAAAGCAGCGGTAGTGTATCTCTGAAGACAGGAGATGGGCCAGCTCAGATATAAAAGCCCTGGCTTGATGCCATAGACTCGACCGTGAGACCAGCAATCAATCTCCGAATCCAAGGCTCAATTCTCAAATAAACCAGCCACCACCAGGCTGATCAATCGTAAGCTGACGTCCCTCTTATCTAATGTGATTCCTGGTTTAGTCAGGACAGTTTCTAACGGGATTCCTCTGCCGCAGCCCATACCGAAATGAAGGTCTCATTCTCTGTCGTTGCGGCTATGGCCCTCGCCTTTGCTTCTTCCGCCAACGCCTGGCGTTTGAACGCCTACCAGCTCCAGAACTCTGAGGGTCCCAAGTTCACTGCCGGAGGACCTGGTGGTTCTGGAAGTGCCTGCCACAGCGTTGGTGACCTCAACAACAAGATCTCCTCCCTTGAATGGTACTCCGACGACCCAACCCACCATACTCGTTGCTGCTTCGTCCCCTTCAACGGCCTGGGTTGCACCGGTGACCTGGGCCAGAGCTGGTGCCGAAACATTCGTGTCAATGACCTTGGAATGATCAACATGGACAACAAGATCAGCTCTTTCCGCACCGACTGCTACAAGCCAACCAGCAAGCGCATGGAGGAGTTCCAGTTCTAGGCAAGATAATAGTCTCCGGGGCCAATAGTGGCGCAGTCATCCCTGATGTTGAGTTGCCGTTGTATATAGTCGCACCTCCTAGGTGGTCAATAAAAAGGATTTCATAGTAGTCTGCTGAGCTCTACCTGTTGTTGACTTCCAAGCATTACAAAACGATAATACCTTATATTATCATGTCTTGTCGACGAGTCGTTGTACTATGCCTTCAGCACGAGCATCACCTCCAGCAATGATGGTCTCTGTTATCTTGTCACGACCATTGTCGCCTATGATGATAACCCTTTCAACCAGCCCTCGATTAGATACCTTGACTCTGCCGATGCGTCCGTCCTGCCACTGGATCCGTATATATCTAGCCTCGACAGACGCAGCAGTGACAGATGATATTCCCAACGTATGTGCGTTAGACTCTACCGGTAGATCAACGGAACCCGCGCCAGTAATCCCTAGCTGTTCTTGTAGTAAAGCCACTACATCTCTCCGAAGATGCCATGCGACAAGTTCACGGCGCAATTCCCGTACCAGCGCCTTGAGGTTTTGCTTCCTTCTCTTCCATGGTTTCAGGTTGCCAGGGTCACCATCAGTGGCCTGTCTGGGGAGGTATCTCTGCTCCAGCTGCTTCAACGGTATAAAAACCGGTATTGTATGCCTGTGTATCTGTAGCGACTTGCGGTCCTCTCCGGCGCGTCTAAGGAGTAGATAGTACGGCTTCACAAACGTGCCATCACGCACATTAACGTCAATCCTAACACCAAGCAGGTCCGGGGAGTCTGTATGTGGTGACGGATCCTTGAACGGAAAGGAAGTGGCCGAAAAGACGATGCGGTGGTGGTTCGTTTCGGCGTGTCTGCCTGACTCGAGGATGGCAGACGGCGTGTCAGAATCGACCTGGTTTAAGAGATGCGACTCGAGGCTGTTTCTCACCGCGCTACTCGACAGCAGACTGGCCGACAACACTTGCCTTCTCTCCGTGAGCTTTCGAACTGGTTCATGGTCAGCCAGAGAGCCCTTGAGGATTTCATCGAGCACCTACTTTCATCGCGTACAGCAGATATCTCTTCATCTAGCTCGACTGACTGGTCCTTCGCGACCGCGACAACATCAACATCAGCCGTCTTCGCCATCTCCAGCTGTCTGTCTGTCTCGTTGCTGTCTTGTTGCTGCTTTGATGCCTTGTTTTGATATCTTGTTGAGACCGGCGGGTGTTTGAGACCGTTTGATAGGCGCTATCGCTTAGGCACCATTCGACCAATCGATTGCGCCTAATACTTTGATAGTAATTTAATAAAATATTATTTCTCTATGTATTACTTAGCTAACTATTCTATTTAATTTAAATAGGCCAAAATTTATAATATAATTATAAATGAAGGATCTTAGGCTACTCGTATTTCTTTCCGCCACCTTGAGTTGGAGCTGCTTCATCCTTTCTCAGGGTTGTTACCCCGTGTTGAACCCGCTATTATGCTATTCTTTGACACGGGCAGTCTCTTCAACGAAGACCTATCATCTTACATCTCATGAGAGGCTTGGAAACTTACAGGTGGAAATACTCTAGTCAACGAGTGTATGACTGGAGACAGGTGAGGAGAATGCTGCACTGCCCAAGCAACTGTGCCGCCGAGTGATATATATAGATATGCAGCAAGGGTATATATATCACACCAATATTCCAATCGTCGGCCCCATTGGGTATATGTATGCACTGGATAACATACGTGGCAGCGTAGCTCAGGATAAGAACCTTTAGCTAATCGTCTAAGGCCATCAATCGCCGCTAACCTTCAACTCCTAGCAACGACTTCTAGCTTTATGCATTCCACCAGGGATCCTCCAGAATTTCTTCCATGGTTGCTCTCTTAGATGGGCCGAGGTTCATCAGTCTTAATAACATTCGCTTTGCCTCAGAGTCAAGATTAGGGTACTCCTTCTCAGCCCATTTAGCAAAACGTCCAGGGCCGACAGGTCCTCCGTCCATGGTTGACTCCGAAAGGACGGTCATTACCCTGCCCCATTCCTCATGTTGGACATGAGTGACCAACTCATCAGGGACTGGTCCAAAGAAGGCTATCAATCGCCCCATAATTTCTAGTTCTGGATCGACCTCATCCTTTCTTAACTGCTCGAAGTCTGGGTGTAAAGTTTCTATGCCGGTTGTTGTGAAGAGGCACTGTGTATCAATTAGCCGAAGCTTTAAGATATTCTTTGAAGGACGTAATATACTCACCACCAGCCCATAGGAAAACACATCGGAATGTTTGCCAATCCCTTGGCCCGTTTGTGCTTCGGGGCTACGCCACATTACGTTGCCCAGCTTTATGCCTTCTGGAAGTCGGAGGAGCTTGTCACCTTTCATCTTCAGTGAGCAATCAAGGTCACCCAGTGCCACCCTCTCTGGCAGGGGTTGGCCTTGTTTATCTTGAGTATAGTTGATCATCACGTTGTCAGGCTTCACATCTATGCGATTATTAGTTTCAATGTGTAGCCGAGTGATTCCGGAGCAGATTGCCTATGTGTATCCAGTTCTTTGCGTGAAGCTCCTTTAGTGATTGCCCAAGCTCCTGCAGTATCCATTTCCTAGTTTCAATTGGCAAACTTGGGTATTTCTTTATAAAAGAAAGCAAATTATCACTAAAGTATTCGTATACGAGGACTTTCTCCTCTTCGTTCTCGTCAATATGCACCCGAAGACGACGAGTCTCTGGAAACTCCTGTTTGAGGTCCAATGACAGGTCAAAGATCGAATTTGATACTCGCTTTAGAACAAAATTTTGATTCTCAGAGCTAAGTAAACTATGAGGTGAATATGCGGATAAAAGGCAATGTAAATCAAAAGACCTGGTGCTCTCACCGTGCGAGATAGACATTGAGATCCGGTCGCTTTGGATTGTGCTTGAGAATTTTGTCCCGAACATACTCCCTGCCCGAGCGGCCAACGAGTGTCGACGACATCCTCACGCCTCTTACACCAAAAGTGCGTGCTAGAAACATGCCTGGCTTGAAGTCTTTTGTCTTGCGACTTGGATAGACTTAAGGACTTAAGGACTTACTATGTACGAGACGCTGAAGCCGGTCTTAGTCATCATCGTCGTCTTAGTCAGCTTGGTCAAGGTCACATGATGAATTTCTTACCTAATACGAGCTATTCCTGTTGAGGTTTTGTCTCACGTGACGCGTATAGTTTCCGATCTTCAGCTTCAACTTAGCCGCCGTCTTAGTCAGCAGCGATAGTGATCAACTTCTGTCTTTCTCTACAAAAGGACAGCTTGCAGCTTCGCGGGGACCTCAAAGGCGCTGGACGGAGGATTCACGGGAGTACCTTGGTAAATATATATAAGATAATATATACATGGCGAGTACTCGCACCCCCTTCTGCGGCATAAGAATCTACTACTGACATCTGCTCTAGAACGATCAACGGGCTCTACATCAGCTTCACTTCTGCATAGATCGAACGACGCCATGTCTTTCTCCACATAAAATTATCCGGGATAGTCTGATATAGCGTCTCGGGCGCTCTTGGGCAGCATACGTCTTGTCTCTCCTTTGCCCTGTTTTATATAAGAGTGAGAGACACAAATGAAACGCAAGACCGGCTCAGTTAGAAAACGCGCCAGTCGGCAGAGCCTCAACCTACTCACGAACGGCCACGCCAACGGCAGCATGCAGTCTCAGATTGAGATGCGGAAAAAAGGAGTCTCTCTCGAATCGACGTCTTCTCACACATCCAGAGTCATGGACCGGTCGAGCTTCTCACTGGACGACGACCCTCCGCCCACGCCTCAGTCTGCTGGGCCCGTCAGTACCAGTTTCAACGACCTGCCGGCGCCTGATAAACGAAACTTCCTCCTGCTATGTGGCCTCTACTTCCTCCAGGGCGTCCCGATGGGTCTCGCCATGGGATCGGTGCCCTTCCTCCTCAAACCAAACCTCTCCTACGGCCAGATCGGCGTGTTTTCGCTCGCGTCGTATCCGTACTCTCTCAAGCTGTTATGGAGCCCCATCGTCGACGCAGTCTGGAGCCAGAGGTTCGGACGGCGGAAGAGCTGGATCATGCCCATCCAGACCATCTCTGGGCTTGCCATGGTGTACCTTGGTAGTCACATCGCCAATATGATGACCGCAGCCGCTGATAAGGGCGGAAACGGAATCTGGGGCTTCACCAGGTGGTGGTTCTTCCTCGTCTTCCTTTGTGCAACGCAGGATATCGCTGTCGACGGCTGGGCTATCTCGCTCATTTCTCCACAAAACATTGCATTTGCGTCTACCGCCCAGACTGTCGGGCTTACGGCCGGGCACTTTCTTTCATACACTGTCTTCTTAGCCTTCAACTCTCCCCATTTCGCCAATACATGGTTCCGATCTACTCCTTCTGATGTAGGGCTTATCACTCTGGGCGGCTATCTAAAGTTCTGGGGATGGGCATACCTCCTTGTGACCGTCGGACTGGCCGTGCTCAAGAAAGAAGAAAAGTCAAACGACCGAGACGGCATTGTCGAGGTATACAGGAGCATGTGGAAGATTCTCAAACTCGGCAACATCCAGACCATCATCATCATCCATCTGATTGCCAAAATCGGCTTCCAGGCAAACGAAGCTGTGACGAGCTTGAAGCTCATCGACAAGGGCTTTGGCCAAGACAACATGGCCCTGGTTGTTCTTGTAGACTTCCCGTTTGAGCTTGCCCTGGGCTACTACGCTGGAAAGTGGTCGACAGAACATACACCGATGAAGCTGTGGTGCTGGTCGTTCGTAGGCAGATTGGTAGCGGCTGTCCTAGCCCAGGCAGTGGTCATGATATACCCGAGCGCACCTGGCTCACCAGTTCCCGGATGGTATATGTTTGCGGTTATCGGCGAGCATTTATTATCCACGTCGATGAACACCATCATGTTCGTCGCCTGTTCCGCATTCCATGCAAAGATATCCGACCCTACGATTGGCGGTACATATATGACTCTGCTCGCGACGTAAGTATTTCCCGTCACAAATGCCCTATGTACTTCCTTGCTAACTGCCTTGACAGCGTCTCGAATCTTGGAGGAACATTCCCGAAATACTTTGTTCTCAAACTTGTCGACGGGCTTCACAAGGCCACTTGTATTCCACCAACCATGGCACCTGGAGCAGTGCGTTCCCCCATCACCACCCCTTTCTCCTGTGCACTTGAGGCTGAAAAGAACCGTTGCACTGCCGGCGGTGGTGTATGCCGGGTCGACCGTGACGGCTTCTACTATACGAATATATTATGTGTGGCCATCGGTGCCCTTACGTTCTGGTTCTTTATCCGGGAAGCTGTGATGAAGCTCCAGCGACTCCCCTTGCGTGCATGGCGAGTCGCTCCCGAGGGTGGAAGCAGATGATGCTTTTTTATAGACGGAATAGGATTATTCTCGTTCTCTTCCCTTTCTGTCGTTCCGGTTCAAAAAAAGAGTGTGAATGGTCTGGTTATAGCTTTTTAATCCTCGTATTATGTATTATTAATCAATTATTTATTTTTGTATATATTCCAATAGAAGGCCTGATTCGGTTCATTGACTAGTTATGATTCTCGTATAAATATTCCCAAGTCATCATCTTCCATTCACAAGACTGAAAAATGTCAAGCCAGATACCAAACAGTCTTACTGGGGGATGTCTATGCGGAGAGATCCAATACACCGTCGAGATACCAAAGGACATCTCCTGGCCACCAGATGTATGCCCATGTCAACTATCAAACATTGTCTATAAAACTGACTCTACTAGCCTCACACCTGCTGGTGCACTCAGTGCCGCAAAGCAAGCGGTTCTATTATCCTGCACTTCCTCACCTTCCATCCATCCACGGTGAAATGGAAGGGAACGCCCACTGAATTCAAGTCCAGCACTCAAGGACGCCGTGGATTCTGTTCAAGCTGCGGGACAAGCTTGTACTTCAAAGACCTGGGACAACCGGCTGAGATCGAGATATGCTCTGGCTCCTTGAATGAAGAGATACTGGAGAACCCTGCTCTAGCAAAGGACCTCTGCGACCCTAGCTGTGGGCGTTTCTGGTGTAAGAGGGAGATCAAGAGTACTATCTACGAGGCCTCTTCCGGCAAACGATGGCTGGAGGGAAGCAAGTCACGGCTTATGGACGATGAATAGCACGCAGACATCATCATCCCTGAGCCCAGAACCATACGAAGGGTATTAAGATATGTTCTGTTCTTGCGTTAATCGATATAGCTCCTTTGATAAAAATAACAAAAAACGGCATAACACTGAAAGCCGTCCATCCACCCGTTTCCTTCGATTCAGCAGTATATTTCTCTCAGGCCGACGCAGGACCCCTCCATACCACGATAATTATACCCTATACCATCCCAGACAGCCATGGAACAATCGTCAAAAAGGTATAGCCCTGCTTATCGACTGGTTTATATCCACGGGTGTTCTCAAGACCCTATCCCAATGTATCAGCCTAGGGTGTCATATCAAATGCTGCAACGATGCTAGAGACTCACTTCTTGCCCATCTCTGTAGCGCAGCATCCGCAGAATAAAGCAGCTGGATAGCATACGATCTATGGATATAGTTAGATCACGCTTCACCGTCAAAAGGGCATCCTGACATACCGCCGTCAAGATGCCTACCCAGAATCCTAGATGTAGAAGAGAGTAACTATTAGTATCTATAGCTATATATGGAGATTCAATACTTGTATTTACCTAGAGTTGGTCCAACGACCTTGCACCTGCACGGGTTATCGGTTCCGCATTGTATACAGAAGAAGTATGGCTGGGGAAGAGGACACTGGTCACACATCTTCACTTTTGACAGCTTGAAATATGTAACAGCTGCGATGGATATCTAAGAGTTCGACAGGTTGGTTGTTTTGTTGTTTTGGAAGAAGTTGCAGGATGGTCTTCTATGATATCATAGATTTATAGTTGGACAGCAAAGTGAGTGTTTAGCCAGGAACAAAAATGAATTATACGGGTGAATATATATCTGTTAAGTATATATAAACTGGTGTCTGCGCTGGATGGCAATAAGTACATTAATGTAACATGTAACAGAGCGGGAGCCTCTAGACAAGGTATTACTTGGGGAAATGACCATATGCTTCAAACCAAAGGGGCCGCCCTGGAGGAAGACAACATAAAAAGCAGACAGGATATACGAAGGATATCAGGGCAGTGTAGTTAAATTACAAGTACAGGTTGATTAACAGACAGATCACATAGAAAGTGAAATAATTTTGTCACAGATGTAAGAAAGGAGTTGGAAATTTACCCGGTGAAAATCCGTATCAAGCCCCAGTTCATAAAATCATCACGGTCTCTAGTTTCGATGGCCGAGGGAAATTCTTTTCAATCGCCCATTATATCATCGTCTGGGGTAGGAGATGCCTCTTCCCGTTCATCGTCGCCGTCGCTGGCATCCGGCGGGTCGTCTTCCTCCTCAGCCAGGCCTCGGGCCCGTAAATTTTCTTCATCATCCTCGTCTCCGACCATCACCTCCTCCTCCTCTTCTTCTTGTTCTTCCTCGTGCTCGTCGTCATCACCATCATCTTCTTCTACCAGCTCCGTAGATTTGATCTTTCCATTGCGAGCATTTGATGTGGCTCCGTTTGCGCCAGTATCGCCGTGGTCCTCTGGTTCTTTGCCCTTGGATTCCACCCGTCTCCGCAGGGAACGGCCTTCTCTTTGGCTGTCTTCCAGATACGCAAGGACCTCCTTGTAATTCTGTCCCAGGCGGGATTTATTACGGAGCAGCTTGTGTCGTAGTTTTCCTGCCTGTGGACCAGAAACGTCCAACACCCGGCCGATGATGGCTAGGATCAATTTGCCAGTGAGTTCACATAATCTCTGCTCAGCGAGGAGCATGGCACGCCTGGCTTCTTCATCATTTTCATCCGCATCGCTATCATCCTCCTCGTCTGAATCGAGTGGGATATCCGGTTCACTCTCCTCCGGCTCATCGTCTACTACCGGGTCAAGCTTCCTCTTTGACTTTTTGGCAAACGTCTGCTCAGCGGTATCATGAAGGCGGGAAAGAAGAGTACATATCTCAGGGGTTATCTCCTGAGGTAGTTCTTGTACCTGGAATGCTAAATCATTCTTAGTCATGGCCATGATATTCCTCCCGGGAGGCCCTGCATGACGAAGCGTGCCGAAGGCTGTCTGTAGATCAAGAAGTGTCATGGTAGCAGCTAGTTTAACCTGTTTTATACCAGAGCTGTGTGGTTGCATGAGAGCACAAAGTGTTGCGATGAAGGATTCGCGTCTCCGGGAAAGGGACTCAAAGTATTCGGCATTGTAGGCACCCCTGTTGGTGCCAGAGGTGACAGCCGCGGTCAGGTTTTGGATTTTCCACATGAAGTAAACCAGCAATGCCTTGAACGTGTTCAGAGCTATGTCGCATTCAAGCTTATTCACATCCTCATCCTTGTCCTCTTCACGTAGGCTTCGTTTCGCCAGCGAGAGAAGTAAGTCTATAGGAGGTTCTGCACGTCCGCTCCGTTTCTTCGTGGTTGATAGAGGCACAGTTTCCAACGTTAAAGTGCAGTCGGATATGCTAGCAAGGCTCGAAATGCGCATCGCAGTGCCAGAGAGCGAGGAGAGGGCGCTCTTCGACAAGCTCAAGCTTTCTGGCTCCTTTTTATCCGCTAAAACATCGCCCAGGGAATCAATAGTGTCATCCCAGAGTTCTTGGATCTTGCCGTCCATTGCATCCTTCAGCTCATCTGATGTTCGGGCACGTAGGAATGCGACAGTAGCCTCAGCTAGGACTTCTTGATCAGAATGAGTCAAAAATTGTTGGTTGATATTGTTCAAAAGCTCAGAGTATGCAGCAGCATCCTTTTGTATCTCTTGGATGAGATCAAGATTGACAAGATGTTCGAGCCTCAGAACTGGGGACGCAGCTTCTGGCACGGCGCCGAATTTATTCAGAAGCCGCGGTATTATTTGTGACAAGTTATGGGCAATGGATTCGAGCCTTTCGTCCATCATCTGTACCGACTGCTTTGTCTTTCTCCCTTTCTTATCTATGTCTGATTTGGAGACTTCTTGAATGTGCAATTTGACAGCGCACTCCAGAACCTCGAGGAGTATAGTTTCTTGCCCTTCACTCAACTTGAATAAACATTTTATGGCAGCAGTTGTATCATTGTCATCTGTGGGCTCTGAAATCTGAGAATGGTCATAGAGCAGGTATCCAGCCAGAGATTCCCAGTGTTCAAAATCCTTAAAGTGAGGATAGATGGATTCGGTGGCCAGGACAAATCTTGAACCTATTGGACTTCCGAATAGGGAGTATCGAAACGTAGGCAGTTCACTTTCATCGTGTAGTTCAGACTCTTGCGTGTCATAGACCTGCAACATGTCGACAAGGCATTTGAACTTGATCCAGGATCGGTTTGGAGTATCGTGATTTTCATCATCCTCCTCCTCCTCCTCTTCTTTTTCTTCTTCGCCAAAGAATTCATTGACCTCCTCCTCCATACTCTCGATTGACGACTCATAGACGTCACCAATGTTTGCAACAAAGAACTTTCCGGCGGCCTTGCGCACTCGAGGTTCAATATCAAATACAAGCCTGCCTATGCTGTCAATATCGTCGGGCTCTAATAGGCCGGCCTCGCGGATTACATCTAACAGCTCCACAGCAGCAGCACGAACTCCGGGCTCTGCATCTCTAACTGCCATTTCCACTATTCTGGGACGGAATCGTTCGGTAAAACCTCGCAGTCCAGGGATGTTGTCTTTATTCTGGAACAGTTTGTGTAGCTGATGGATAACCACTGATCTGGTGGCGGCTACTGTGTCTGAGAGAACCCAGCCAAGATACCGCAGATATTGGCCATCGAAGAACATGTCCTTGTATAGGCTAATCCATAGACCCAGGAGGCTCATACACTCCTGTCTAATTTTAGGATCGACATCTCTATATCGATGGACAAATACCGTGTCAAAGGAGTCTCGAAGGATCTCGTCGATGGTTTCTAACTTTTTCTGTCCTTCCTTGATCTTGGCCTGTAACACGCTGATTCTTCCCTTGTTCGCTGTCTTCTTCTTCCGTTCTGCCTCCAGCTGCGTTCGAGAATTCGACACGCTAGAGGAAACTTCTCGCGCGATATGGCACAGAGCAGTCATGATGGAAAGGGAGACGATGGTTGCGGTGTGTCGAAACGGTCTGATCGGGGCAGACGACATTGAGGTGATCCACACCTGGATATTCTCTATCAAGGCTGGGTCAGAGTAAAGGAATGATGCGCTGTGGACTGTCCGAACGAGGTCATCGAAGAAACTGGTCAAGACAGACTGGAAAGACTTGAAGTTCTTCGCTTTCGATACGAGCGGGTAGTCGGTAATATCTTGAGCCTGATACTCTTCCTGTATGTCATTGAGACGGTTGGCAACATTGTCAACATCTTCGATATCAGTGCTTTCGACTTTTATGTCGGTTCCAGTGCATCTCAGAATGAAATTAATCAAGTCTCGCATTCCGTTGATATTATGTTCTTCGTATTTTGAGAGCCATTCCGCCGCAACAGCTTCTGTGGTATGACCCCGTCCAAACACCTCCGCTGTAATCCATGTTAGAAAGGAAGTATACACAAATACCTTAGGCTGCGTAAAGAGCGCTCACCGTATAGTCCTTCCTCGTCGCCAAGTTCGCTTTGCCGCATCCGAGGTTTCTTTTTCCTGCTCGGTGGTTTCGGGTTCTGTCCATTCGTGATGGGACGCAGGGCGAGCTCTATACTATTCATGGTCTTTTGCTTCTTTGCAGCCGGCTTCGTCTTCGATTTCCTGCTCTGCGGTTTCTTGCCAGAAGCAGCCCTTTTCTTCGTTTTTCTGCGTGCCTTTAGTTCCTCGTCATCGGCATCTCCTTCACTCTCCTCGCTTTCTTCTTCATCTTCCTCATCGTCTCCTTCTCCTTCTCCTTCTTCCTGCTCTTGCGCCTGATCAGCCTCATCGTTCGACGCGTCGTCTTCATTATTATTCACTGCAGGCCGGCGTTTCCGCTTTGGACGGCTCGAATTGAAGGTCTGTGAAGAGAATATCACTGGTTTCCGTCTCACACGCCCGGACTGTCTCCTGGATGGCCCTCTGTCTTCCTGGACCGCAACCTCGCTGGCCACTTCGGAGAGCGGACTGGAGCCACGACCCTCGGGTGTCTCCATCGTATATGATAACGCGACCAAAGCCCGCGTCTCGTCAGTAACAGTATCTCGTATGCTCTTCGCTTGGTGAGAAAAGGGACAACTCTTTGCCCAAAGGCCACTAAAAGTGACGCGCTAGTTGGATGTTTTGGTAGGCTTTTCGCGCAGAGAACGACGTGGGGCAAAGCAAACAGTGGCGAGCAGCTCAAGACCAGCCTGAAGGAGATTCCCAGATCGATATCGCCTTACTTCGTCCGTTAAAAAGACTCGAAGTTGTTTCTTTTGCCGTTTGAATAAATTTGAACGCGAAAGAGAAAAAGTCGAAGTTGGGCTACAATTCCGTATTGCCGTACGGTATGTGTTATTACTTACAGGTACTGTCATTTTACACACGATAAGCGACGATAAGACGTCATGTATGTAATATTACAAGGTACGGTAAAGAGCGTTGTTTCTCCTCGCAAAGAAATCAATTTGACGTTTTTCAACTTCAACTTCGACTTTTCGCCTTTTCGTCTTCGTCTTTGCATCTTCAATTCGTCTTCTTTTCAAGATATTTTCTCTTCTACTGGCAGTGACGGGAATTGGCGGCCTTGGATTGACGGTGTTTGGCCTAATATCGCCCGCAGATGACAGTCGATCGATGAGGTTGCTTCTGAAGTAGTACTCGGCGCAATGCCGATTCTCAACTCCCCCTTTGCGCCGTCAGCCTTCGCCAACAGTTCTGGCCGCGGTGAGGTTGTCCTTACCGTGTTGCCGCCGTCTATACCGTCTCTGTCGACTCTATCCTACAACTACCCTCTCAAGCTGCTCTCGCGGACTCCAGAAGAAGGGCTGAAGTCGAGGTATCCCGCCACCGCAACTGCGCCGTTACACCTCTATCTTCTCACCTACGGTGGCGGTTTGCTTCCTGGAGACCATATCGATGTCCTTATAACGGTTAAACAGAGAGGAAGGCTTGTCGTCACGACTCCGCAGGGGAGCACGAAGATATTCAAGACCGAGGCACAGGGTGGCAGGAAGAGACGTGTCCCCAAGACAGACAGTGATCGGAGCAAGCAGACTCTCACAGTCCAATTGGGCCGAGAGTCGGGGCTGTGCTTGCTACCAGACCCGTCTGTGCCGTTTGCGGATAGTCGGTATGACCAGTTTCAGAGCTTCACTCTTCTTCGTGAGGATGGCGTGCAGGGCGAGAAGGCCACGAAGCCGGTCCACAAGGGGAGCCTCTGTGTGCTCGACTGGGTGACGGAAGGGCGTAGCGCTAGGGGTGAAAACTGGTCGTTCGATTCATGGACAGGAAGAAATGAAGTCTGGCTGGAAGACTGCAAGACCGGGAAGAGAAGACTACTGCTTCGTGATGCGGTGATCCTCGAAAACGACACAGGTGCTAAGAAGCAACAAGATGGTGACTCTGCGCAGGCACATCTACCTACTCCCAAGGCGCAGACGCCAGTTCGCTCTCGCACCCACTCCCACGGCGTTCTCGGAACGCTGATCATCCATGGGCCATTGTTCGAGTCTCTCGCTGATTACTTCATGGAATCTTTCACTTCACAGCCTAGAATAGGCGGCCAGAACTGGTCGTCGAGTTCCATGTACTATCCCACACATACCAATGAATGCACCAATAATAACGAGAGAGATGATGATTCCGCGACGAAGTCCACAGAGAAGCACCACGGGAAGGTGACATGGACTGCTGCACGAGTACGCAATGGGTTTGTCCTTGTGAAGTTTGGTGCTCCGGATTTCGAGAGTGCCAGAGATTGGCTGGGCCATATTCTCAGGACTGAGGGAAGTGTCCAACGCGAGTTTGGCGAAGAAGCCCTTGGCTGTCTATAGAATTGTAGATTTATACGTTGTACATACTGCATGTTTCATTATTTCCTATGTTCTATAATTAGCATGCTCTTACATGTGTTTCATTTTTTGTTATTGACATTGATTGCTTGATGTTCATGTTGCCCGAGGTTATTTCTTCGATATATCTAGCTGCGCTCCGGATGTTATTGAATTGAACCAAGACGAAACGGGTATTGTCATGAGTGTACGAGCTCCCAAAGGGCGAAACAAGGCCCTCATAGTTGACGATCGTTCGCATATGCTGTCTCTTTTCATCATCAGCTTGCCAGCTCTGGAAGAAATGATTGACGGACGGCCAGGAACCGAAACCAACAACCAGGCATAATTCCCCTGAGTACTACGTCGTACCTCTATAATAACTTAATATAGAGTAGCAGTCTTGTGCAAGGAACGTTTCATTGCAGTTCGAATTAAGTTGATCTAAGCTGGTCCAGCATTTTCTATTATTAGCACATATCCCCTTCGTTATACGAGCCTCAGGGGCAACGTGGATAAGGGACTGGCAGGACCAAACCACGGATCGTCAATGCCCTTGCCTGGGTTATACGGCGAAGGGGCCGTAGGGCTCTGTGAAGGTTGGCCTGCGGAGAGGGAAGTCGAGTACACGAGAGGCGGTGCTCCCTAGATCGTGGCAATCACTCCATACTCCTTGATCAAATACGAGTGTGCTCAAATTATGCACGGTTGAAATTATCCGTCCCTCTGCACGGTGAGCTATGAGGTAGCAATGAACCCCAGTCTGCCCTGCTTGCTGCGAAAAGGGTGGATCTTGGGCCAGACGGCCCTGGATGGAAGCTCGCCTATACCGGTTCGAGAGTTGAGCGGAGGAAAAGAGGATAAGTCTATATAAACATTGTCAGAATCTGTCCATCAAGTTATCAAAATCAACAAACCAAAAAAAACGGCGGCAATCTAAAGCGAAGCCTCCAGCTTTAATATCAACCATACAAAATGCGTTCCTCAATCTTCCTCTCTGCTATTTCCCTCCTCCCAGCTGTCCTTGCAGCTCCCCATGATATCTCGGTTAGAGGATGTGTGGGCCCCGATGTCAATGCTGCCACCATTTCCCTCGTCAAGGAATTCGAGCGCTTCGTTCCATCCCCTTCTCCTGACCCAATTGGTCTCCCAACTGTTGGCTATGGTCATCTTTGTCAGAGCAAGAACTGCGGTGAAGTTGGCTTCCCATTCCCACTTACTGAAGATACTGCCACCCAGCTCCTCGCCCAGGATATCAAGGTATGTCCACCCAAGGATCATTGAGAGAAAAGGAAGACAAAGAGGGATATATCTTTCTAACGAGTGATATCAACTATAGGCCCCTCAGCAGACCATCACCCTGAAGACCGTCAACGGTGTCCACCTGAACGAGAACCAGTACGGCGCCCTCGTCTCTTGGACCTTCAACGTCGGCCCAGGAAACGTTGCCACTTCCAGCCTTCTCAAGCGCCTCAACGCTCTCGAGGACGTCAACACTGTCCTCCGCGAGGAGCTCCCCAAGTGGAAGTACGCTGGTGGAAAGGTCCTCCCTGGTCTTGTCCGCCGCCGTGCCGCTGAGGTTGCCCTTGGTGAGACCCCCTCTAACGTTGGTGCTTTGCCCGTCGACTGCTAGTACAGTCCAACCAAGAGATATCAACCTATCATAGAATGATAGGTTTATATTTTCTCTGGGTTTTGTGTCCATATTCATTTCTTTTCTTTTTCACCCGCTCCTCTTAGATAGGGCCATATTCTTTTTTTCTCAGATGATACTTGTTTGTAAATATTATTATCAACACATCTTTGCTTCGACCTGGTATAATTTGACTCTTTCGTATTCACTCGTAGCAGGGTATCCCAAACCGGTTCCTGGATAGAAATCTCTAAAATCCTGGCAAAGGCCTCCCATATTCAACAATAACTCTTGTCTGTAGTCATCTTTAGTGCACCTTTCATCTTGAATCATATCTCATCTTGATATAAAAGCCGTCGTCGATGTTGAAAAGTCCAAAACTTGAAAAACGTCAACAAATGCAAAAGTCTTGGCACTCCAAACTCTAAAACTCTCAAATCTTCAAATCTTCAAAGTCGAAAAGTTGAAAGTTGATAACAAGCAGAAATCAAGAGATAAATCCGCGGTTCAACATGCCGCACAAGCACAAAAGACGAGGAAATGGAGTGTGAGTGGTTATATATTATCTGTTTGTGGCAATCTATTAAATCGCATTTTTGTGCTAACGGATTCATCAGTGATGATTATGATCTTCCTCCAACTTCGATAGCAAAATCTCTTCCTACCCGAGTAGAAAAAGCGGGTTCAAAAACAAAAAAGGGTCAAACCGCTAAGAAAGGGTCAAAACAAAAGGCATCCTCAGTTAAAGAGTTGCAAGATGACACCCCCCGGGCCTTTGCACGCCTTATGCGCGTATATCAAGAATCAAACGGCAAGCGGAAAAAGGGAGACGGAGACGAAGAGCTAGATACCGAACAGAACAGTCGCAAAAGGAAACGCCAGAATGACTCAGATCGGAATAAGACATCAAAGAAGAACCTTAAAGCGAAAGCAGCAGAGGATGCAAAGGCTGCTAGCATTCCCAAGATTCTACCCGGAGAGAGAATATCAGATTTTGCAGCGCGAGTCGATCGTGCGCTGCCATTTTCAGAGTTAGCCAAACGAGCTTCTGCTCCAAAGGGAGGTAAAGATGCGGTGATAGGAAAATTACGTGATACTCGACAGACAAAGCACGAGAAACGGCTACTACGGCTACAGAGCCAATGGCGCGAAGAAGATAAAAAGTTCCGGGAGAAACGCCAGGCCGAAATCGAAGAGGCTGAAGGAGAGGATGAGGAGATTAATGACCTATGGAAAGAATGGGAACGTGAAGCTGGAGTAGGCGTCAAAGGAAAGAGTAAGAAGGCCAGTGTGGCACATAAGAAGAAGAAAAAGAAGAAAGGGACCGGGAATGGCGATGATAGTGACGGGTTCATCAGCAGTGATGACGACGATGATCCATGGGCGAAATTGAACCAGAAAGCGAAAATTACGAAGCCAATTAATCCAGCTGATGTTGTTCAGGCTCCGCCAGAGAAGCTGGCAAAACCCAGAGAAATATTTAAAGTACATGGAATGGGAGGCGCAAAGGTCCATGTTGCTGATGTCCCTACCGCAGCGGGAAGTTTGAGACGAAGAGAAGAGTTGGCTAGCGAGAGACAGAGTATAGTGGAGCAATATAGGAAACTCATGGCCAGCAAAAGAGAGTAATATATGCGAGCTGGACCGTTCCAAAATATATATGCAGAGATATCCATATCATGACATTCCAGGTATCATAATCTAAACTTTTGGTAAAACACGTAGACACTCAAAAACCAAACGCTTGACAGTAGAAATGAACTATAGACCCTCAATCTATCAAAGGCTCCTATTCTCAAGCACCTCCTTTAATTGACCTGACATAGTCCGCCGCGCGGGCCTTAACCTCGTCAACCATCTTCAAATCTCCATCAGAGGCAATCTTCTCTTCGAAAGCGAGCCACTTTTTGAAAAGGAATTTGGCTTGTTTTTCCTTGAGTTTCTTCTTCGGCCCTTCTTTACTTCCATCGGCAGCGACCACACCATGACCAATTCCAAGGACACGCTCAAAGAGCCGTCTAACTTGCTCCTCATCACCGACCTTGATCTCTAAGTCCAATAACACGTTCCACAGGTCGATGCGTTTAGGAAACGAGGATAAAAGACCCTCGAATACTGTCCTTCCACGCTCGATGTCTCCGTTGGGGGAGCGGAATTCCAGCTGGCCAAATCTGGACGTGACTTCGACATGGGTATGTGGAGGGAGAGACTGTAGAGCGCGAGGGAGCAAGTCTCTCCCACGCTGAGGTGCTTCCATGGTATCGAAAAGGAAATTGGCGTAATTCAAAAAGAAGTCAGGAGTGGAAGAGACTTTTTTCTTCAGGGCGGCTTGGAATAATTCATCCGCTTTCTATCATTGAATCGTTATTAGCATCGGTAAAAACCAAACTGAGTGAGTTATATATATATATTTATACTTACCTCCGTTTTGCCGGATTGAATGAATATGCTTGCCATCCTGTCATATATTTCATGAGCATCGTTATATTCGCACGCGCTCTTAAAAACCTCCTCGAGACTATCGTCGTTGCCAAAGGTATTTTCCAAATTAAGGCGCGCAACCCAGACGTTGAGCTTCTCTGTATCTTGACCGATACTCATCGTTCGCAAGGCACGATCGGCGATTTCTCTGGCTTTGTCTACTTCGCCCAATTCAAGCTGGAAGGCCATATACTTCAGCCACAAAAGACTGGAGTCTGGTTCTCCTAGAAGTAGTCGTTCGTAGTCGGCAACAGATTGAGGCCCGTTGGCATCCAAGTCGCCGGTTTTGTCAACCTGAATCTCTGCCTTCCGGCGCTTCTTCCGCTTCGTAGTGCCATCATCTTCGGCGGAAGAGTCATCAGGGACTTCTTGCTTGTCTTTATCTCCGTCACCAGTCCAGTCAAAGCCAGAGGTAACAAGTCCTCCTTTCTTGGTGTCATCAGCTGCATCCTCCATTTGAACATCGTCGTCACTTTCCCCCTCATCTCCATTCTCTTCCTCATCCTCGCCATCGATATCAACTCCTCCCATTGACGTGTCTTCATCAGAGTCATCCTCAGCATGGAGCTTGATACCGCCTGCGTTATCGTCATTTCCGCTATCTTCACTCTCTTCCTCAGCCGGGAGATCATTGAAATACGATGCTTTCAATCCCAACGCAATTTGACATTTTTCCAGGTCAACCTTCAAGATCTTTGCTTTCACTATGTCATCCTTTTCATATAACTGCGTGGCATCTTCAACCCTTTTCTCTGCCATCTCAGATCTATGGCACAGTCCGCTGAGGTTCGCGCTACCATCGATAGCAATGAAGGCACCGTATTCTTCGACCTTTCGAACCTTACCAGTAACAATTTGGCCTACCTTCAAATCTTTAAGAGTGAAGGGTGGTTTATAGTTAGGATCGAGGGCTGACTTCTTTAGTGTCATCTGTATCTTGTTGCTCTCCTTGTCCACCAAAGTAATCCTGCCTTGAACGAGTTGGTCAACCTGGAACTCATCCTTCCATTCTTTCAAATAGGAGTCGGAAAGGTCTGAAACTCGGATATAAGCTGACACATTATGTCCCAGAGTCACAAAAACTCCAATATTGTCCACTCTTCGAATAAATCCACGAACAATCTGGCCAACACGAAGTTGGTTGATGGAAGTGATCTCGGGGTCTTCAACAGGCAAAGATGAACTGAGAATCTTCGACGGCCGTACCGAGAAGTAAATCTTTTTGTTAGGGATATCCACATCAACGACGCATACACGCAGAGCCTCGTTTTTGTGGAAGTTGGTTGGGTTTACTTTCGTATAGTCATCGGCCATGTCAATCAGAGAAACCACGCCGACAACATTATCGTTGATTTGGACCAGAACTTGATGATCAGTTACTTTGGTCACCCTGCCCAGCAGTATCATCCCCTTGGATAGATTTGCAACTGTCAGCGTTTTGGCCGTATCTCCAATCTTTGCGGACAAATCGAGTCGATTTTTCTCAGTATCCACTCCAGCCACTGCTACCTTGATCGCCGAGCCGACTGGGAAATGCTTTTGAATATTACCCCTTACTGACATATCATCTGAGATATCAGTAATACGCAGCCTTCCTCGTACATTTGGCGAGATATTTAACCATAGACAGTCTTCAGCGATGTTATTAACATATCCTATATGGATGTCTCCAACCTTGAGGCGTTCCAAGTGAAGAGGTTCAAACGTAGGTGCCTCTAGACAGCTGGGCTTAGCGGAGAGCTCGTAAACCGACACTTTACCAGATCGATGACTGATAGGAAGGAACTTGTGATTTCTTGCGTCATGAATTCCAAGTACTCGGACTGGAAGAATCTGCTTGGAATGGAAGATCTGAAGTGGGTGTTTTCGGTCTTTGATGTCCTCCCAAGAGTCAAATATTTCGGAAACATCAATACGACCTTGAACATTTTCCGCTATGATAACATTTAGTTGAGTGTCTTTGACAGATGTAATTTTAGCCTTGGTGACTTTCCCAAGTGTAATGTCCTCCATGGATTTCAACTCCTCATCAACAGGGTTTGTCAACGGCCTGGCAGTTGTTTTCTTTTCTGGAGCGGAACCGGCCTCAGACGTCTCCTTGCTTTTTCCAACAGGTTTTAAGCTGAGAAGAAATCTTTCAGAATCCTCCTGGACGGCACAAACTGTAGATGAGAGGACTTGAGATCGAGAGTATCCAAAATCGGGTCGAGAAATATGATCATCGTCAACCAGACGCTTTGGTATCAAGCCAGTGAGGTTGTCCAAAAACTCCACAAATATACCCTCTGGGATGATATTCCTTATTAGACCTGTTACTTTCAAGCCATGTTTGATATCCTCAAACTTGGCTGGTAGTCTCCCTTCAGCGGCAGCTTCCTTTAGAGTAACCCTGTTGGTGACCTGGATGAGGCGGTGGGTCTTCTTGACTTTGTAGACTAGAAGGCCATCCATCTTCTGGCCGACCCTGATACGATTCAAAGCAGATGCACGTTTCGATGCAGAACCATCGGAGATGTGATCGGAGTTCAATCTTGCGACTAAGCCTGAATCCTGTAGCTTGATAAGTAAATCATCGCTCGACTTCTCAAAAACGGTCCCAGAAACAACAAGCCCAGGGCGAATTTTCTCGAATGCAGTCTGGTAATCCGCAGTCACGGTCGCGGGATCTTTGCAAGAGACGACCAATTTTCCATTCTCAGGGTCAACGCTAAGTGCGTGTACATTGACCACCTGGCCTACAGTGAAATGTTGTGAAGGGTCGCTAATATAGGCTTCACTCATTTCTGATACTGGGAGGAAACCTCTGACAGGACCATAGAATTGAACGACAGCACCGTTATTCTGAATTTTAATCAAGGTTCCCGGGGACCGGTTTCCTGCAGATATGTTTTCGTAGTCCTTCCATGGAGCAGATTCACTGTTCAATAGCGATTTTTTCATAGTTAATCTGAGTTGGTGTTTTTGTAGGTCGACAGATAGAACTCGTACAGAGACCTTGAGACCCTCTCTGAATTTCTTTTCGGGATGCTGGAGCTTAGTATCGGCCATATGCATGCCTGGGACGAGGCCGGATATTTTGTCCGTGAGAGAGACAATCAGCCCATCAATACCCTCTGGTCCAATGTGAAGTTTTTCAATCTTTCCCTTGACAGTACTACCAACTGTTACATCCTCGAGTCGAAGGAAGGGCTGTTCAATGATCTTCGGTTCTAACGACACCAAGAACAGATTGTCCATAGCGCTGAACCCGATTATCCTCCCTTCATGTGTCGAGCCTACTTTATAAGGCCCTTCAGAGGAATAAATTGAATCCACCCGTTCATCTGCAAGCCTTGAAAGGTGTACGAATCCTTGATATTTGGTAGATCCCAATTGAACATACAATCCAAGGGAGCTGTCGACATAAGTAACCTTGACTTCTGGTATAATATCAGAAATTGATGGTGCGTCATTGTCATCTCCGCTCGTCAAGGTGGCTGTAGGAGAAAATTTCAGGACACTGTCAAGGATGGAGAAACCAAGCTTGATAGGATCGCTAGAGGGATAGGTTGTGATAAGACGGCCTTTGATCTTCGCGCCTACATGGTACTTTGTTGTCAAGTCTTTTTTCCCATCGCTTGCTCCAGAGTGAACAATATCAACGACCGCATTCAGCATTCCCATAATTTTCCCAACCAGTCCGCGTGGTGTTACCTCAGTAATCAGTACTTCGGCCGCAGTGCCCGGAAGGAAGGCATTGATAGTTGGTGCTGTGTTCAAGAAATGGGCTTTCTTAACGGACGCAGCGGAGGCAAGGTCTGCGGAGAGCTTTACTACAGTCCCACTGGCGTTTTGACCGGTAACAATGCAAAGGAAGACCGAACCCTCCTTGACGGTTGAAATATCGACGCCAGCAGGCAGTTCTCGAGAGGAGACGAATCCTTTTGTCTCGCTATCGTCTAGGCCAAGATCCATTATGAGACCATGATCTTCGACACTAGCAACCGATGCTTGAACTGTGGCATTCACCACCATATCCGCCTTCGTTAGACCGGAATTTGCGGCATGTGGCTCAATGGATAGCTCAATACGCTTCTTATTTTTCACTTTCTTGTCCTCATCGTCACGGGTGGTCGAGGTGACCGATGCGCGCAGATACTGTCCAACCTTGACAAAGTCCTTTAATTCAAAATCGTCATCCTCATCGTCCTCATCTTCGCTATTATCGTTTCCTAGCAAGGCTTCGACCTTTTGTGTCAGAGTCTTCGAGATTGCAGTCAAGGGAACAAAACCCGTCAGGTTATTGGGAAGCGCGAGTGAGATATCGTGAATGCCAATACTTGATACTTGGCCGAGAATTTTCGATCCAACAGCAATACGCTGTTACATGTCAGTTTGGTTTGATAGCACTGAAGCGTTATTGGTATCAATTCTTACCTTGTAGGTGAGAGATTCAACCTTCACTCCCTGCTTGGCTGCCGCTGGCTCGTCCTTGGCCTTCGTTGACTTTGCCTTTCTTTTCTTCGGCTTTGTATAGGTATCCTTCTTATCTTCGAGCTCTTTCATGCTTCCTTCATCGTCGCTATTCGCAAACTCTGCGCCATTCTTCCCGTTTTGTTCAAACAAGACATCCTTGGTGGCTTGGATCTGAATCTGCTTTCGTTCGAGAGGGGTGAGCACGCTGTTACCACCTCGAGGAAAGGCGGGCTGTTCGTCTCGTAAAATCGAAATCGGCGCAGCTTTCGGAGCAGTGCTTGTATCGCTTTTGCTAGCTTTAGAAGCCTCTTTTGGCTCCTTGTGCTCCTTCGGCTTCTTCGACTTTGATGCGCCATTGAGCTCTTTGGCGTCAACTTTTGTCTTCTTCTTCGGCGCAGAAGTGCCTACGTCCTCCTGGCCGTGGCCTTTTCTCTTTATCTGCGCCATCACCTCGCCGTTTCAACAATTGGCGGTTAAAGAGCTCGCCCGTTTTCTTCTATCAATTCAAAATCATCAACGTTCTAATAGAAAAAAAAAATTATATAAATTTAAAGTTACAGCTTAGATAAGCACACTTTCTGCCACGCCAAGACCATCCTCACCGCTGATATACACTAGTCCCCTTTAGGCTTAAGCCGAGGCAAAGCACGGACCAACAATCGCGTCACGTTAAGAAAACTTGCCAAGACTTTTAAAGTCACGCTTTTTTGCTTTAAATCTAATTAAAGAAAAAATATTTTTTTTCGTGACGCGCGCGACGTGAAGGTGCAGATTTTCCCATTTAAGCGGCTGGAAGCGAAGTTGCAACGTTCGAATTCTCACATTCACCGCCAACGATAGATTCTACCTTGTATCTTATTGTTCCCACACTGATAGATGAACTGAAAGGGACGAAGAGGGACCAGGGGCTTCGGTTCTATCAGGTTTATCGTCGTGTCAACGTAGATATTCCACCATAACAGCCATGATTGATGTCCACAAAGATGCTGTCCCATCGTCTCCTCCCTCGCTCAGCGTGTCAGAGGATACTGTGCCCTCGTCTCCTCCTCCTATGAAACCAAAGAAGAAGCCTCCAGTCACTCCTCGGTCGTTTCGACGCTTCTTCACTCCTAGATCTTCTCTCAACGCTCCCAACACGCGAAGCCGTTCCATTCGCAACGCTCTGCAGGAGATTACCTCGTCACCTGCTCTGAACAGGCTAGGGCCAGCTTTTCCTAGCGTTCCTGACAGCAATGAGTGTACTTCTTCCCCGTGTCAGGACCCGTTCCGCACACCTAGCAAGAGGAGAAAGCTATCCTTCTGCGGATCCAGCTCATCCCCTCTTCAATCATCCCCATTACGAAGAGTCCGCATTGTACCTCCAAACTTTGATGATGAATCACCAAGGCGAAGCAGCCTCTTTGCCCCTGTTGAGGATGATCCTACGCAATTAGAGAGTCCGGTCGAGATACTACAGATGCCAGCTCCATTACGGCGCTCTAGAGCCCTTGCTCAAGCATCACCAAGCTTACACCTACGCAGCTTTGGTATATCCAGGAGTTCTAAGAGGACCATCCGAGCTTCAAATGGTGCCAGTACGTAGCAGTCAGTTCAATCATGCATAACTCAGTCAGACTAACTTCCCATAGACTGGCAAGATGAAACAGCAAGCTTCTACAGCCAACCAGAAGATAACCATCCTTGCTGGAAAGGCGAATATCCAGTCACTCCTTATTGTACTGCCTCGTGCAATAGTAAGTTAACCTTTTACATTTCTTTAACCTTAAATCTAAAGTCAATGATAACTAACCAATTTGAAAGCCAATTCTTTGATTGCTGTTGGAGATGAAGCTGGCGGTATAAGGCTGCTGGATACCTCACCTGATGTTGAGAAAGGGTTCTCTAATGCATATTTATCGTTTCCATCTATGCATAAGAATTCTTTAATGGATCTCGAATTCTCCAGTGATGACAAACTGTTGGCCACAGCCTCTGGAGACCAGACCTCGCACATTATTGATATGGCTACCCAGACTCCCATTTATTCCCTATCCAAACATACCTGTTCAGTAAAACGGATTCAGTTTCAACCCAGGAGCAACAACAACGTGGTTGCAACTTGCAGCCGAGATGGCAGTGTCAACATATGGGATTTGAGATATAAAGCATACGACAAGCCAGCCCTACGATTGCAATGCTCCCTTGGTGATGATGATGATGACTCTATCAGGCCACCAGCCAAGATGAAATATGCACAAACGTCCAAGACGATTGTAGGTGCGCATATGGAGAGAGCCCGCACCAAGTCTGAACAAGAATCTCAGCTACGGCGTGATGATACAACTGTCACTTCCATTTCATTTTTGAATCCAGGCCGCGAACATCTGTTCGTTACCTCTTCGGAATCAAACGCATGTGTGAGACTGTGGGATCTTCGAACGGCGTACTCCCTACGAAGAGCAGCCGTCCCGTTGGCTTCGACTAGTCAGCCAGATAGCCATTCTCGCTTCCGGCAGTTCGGCTTGACTTCCATGACCTTTAACACCGATGGAAGCAGGCTTTACACCCTGTGCAGGGATGGTACCATTTACGCATATTCAACCTCCCATTTACTGCTGGGAAACTCTCCTGAAATGTTGCAGTCTAATAACACCTCCGGACGGCGGTATCCTGCAGAGGAGGCTAAAGCCGGTCTAGGCCCCATGTACGGTTTCCGCCACCCACGTCTGATGGTTGGCTCATTTTTTGTCAAGCTCAGCCTCCGTCGAGCAGTAGACGACAAGTGCGAACTTCTCTCTGTCGGCAGCAGTGACAATTGTGCCATTCTTTTCCCTACTGACGAGCGTTACCTTACTCCCTCCCTTACACCATCCAACAGCCCACCCTATGCTACATACTCGTCTAATATACCACTATCACAAATCCAGTCCCGGGTTGGGCATTGTCTCCGCCCTTGTCTCCGGAGGACACATTCCAGCTCAAGCCTTCCCGATAGATTGGAGCATACTATCCCTATATACCAACATGGAACAGCCTTGGTTGAAGGCCATAACAAAGAAGTCACTGCCGTTTCATGGGCACATGGAGGCGAATTGGTCACCGTCAGCGATGATCTACATGCTAGATGCTGGCGCGAAGGCCCAGCAGCTCGAAAACTGCGTCGGGAGGGCGATGTCAACGGCCAAAGATGGCAGTGTGGTTGGGCAGATGTCAAGGACCCATCATATGATGATGACGAAGCGTAATTGAATTTCTCTCTTCTTTTGGCCTTTCAGCGTTATATTTATTAAATGATATTTCACAGGAGATGGTAGGATGGCCTTACCGGGGGAACGTTCGGCGTTTTTTTTCACTCTCGGTTATCAATTTCAGTTTCGTTACTATATCCATATACTACAGAGTTTTAGGGAATCATTATGATAGCTACAATATACCATATCCCCCCATATTTGTCTCTACTACTAATAAGTCAAGGTATCGTATCTATGTGAATCGAAGCTTTTATATTCTTTTCTCTTTCCAGGACATTAAATGAATGCATTATGTTGCAAAAGCTCACGACAAGCTGCCATTAACACACTAATATACGGGTTAATAAGACACCGAGCTTGAACCACGTCTGATAAATGGTTAATCTAATGGCCATGTCCGTCATCCTCACGCTTCTCGGGATCCAACTTAATCATGGTATCAATTCTCATGATAGCAATGCAGGCTTCGACCGCACTCTTGAGCTGCTTCACCTTACTCATGCTTGGCTCCAAGACGCCAGCCTTGACGGAGTCGGTTACTCGGCCCTTTAGGAGCTCGAGTCCGTAGTTTCGATAGTTCTTTTGCTTAGCAATAGCTTTATCAGCTTCATTGGCGACGCCTTCTTGGACACGGAGGGCGTGAGCGTGGCGAGAGCGCAGCTGGGCTACGAGCTCGGAGGCATCTTTGGCAGCATTGACAGCCAGAGTTTTGGGGATGATGAGTAGAGACTGGGCAAATTCGCCAATCGCGAGTTGCTCTCGGGAGCTCTATAGAAGGGGTTGATTAGAATGATGTCCTAAAGATAGATGAATCTTACTGCGCAACAGATAACTTACCACTGTGCTTGCAAACTCCTCAAGGTAGATATGAAGAGCTGTCTCAACGGCACCGCCGCCAGGGACGATGGAGCCGCTCTCGAGTGTGCGCTTGACAGCGCACAAGGAGTCATGTACGGATCGTTCCATCTCATCTAGCTGGAAGTCGTTTGATCCACGGAGGATAATCGACGCAGAGCTAAAGGCCCTTGTTCCCTTGACCAAGATACACTCGTCGTCGGATATTCTCTCTTGGACAACCTCATCCGCATAACCCAGGCTTGAGGTTTCAAACTTCTCGTCTCCGTTAAGATCAGAGAGGGTGCTGAGTAGACTAGCACCGGTAGCTTTGGCGATTCGCCGCAAGTCTTCCTTCTTGCATCGTCGAACTGCCATGGCACCCTTCTCTACAAACATCTTCAAGCACATGTCATCGATTCCCTTGGTGGTGAAGATGACATTGGCGCCAGCCTTGAGGATCATTTCTATCCTGTCAATAACGATGCCAGATTCTCGCTCACGGATCTTTTCCAGCTGAGTTGGATCATCGACGGTGATGTGAACGCCGAGTTTCATTCGCTCTTTCTGAAGATTCATATCGAGACAGGCAATCTTCGCGTCCGTTATCCTGGTAGGCATGGCCTGGGATGCAATAGTACAGTTCAGGGCGTAACCGTTAACCAATATGGACTCAGTAGCGCTCTTTCCATGTGCTTTGAGCAGGTTAACCGCCTTGACGGGGTACTTGACTTCTCCCTTTGGAGTTGTCGTCTTAACGGAGAGCATGGCATCGACGACCATCTTGGCAAAGAAATCCATATCCGACCCGATAATCTTGCTGGACATGGAGGTTTTGGCAATATTAAGCATGCTGTCCTTCTCTAAATTGTCGACCTTGATGCTGATGTTTTCGTTCATGTACTTTACGGCCTCGCGGAGGGCTAGTCTGTACCCTGTTATAATGGTGGTGGGGTGTATTCTGTTCTTCATCAATTCGTTTCCACGTCGAAGCAGTTCAGCGGCAATCAGCACAACCGAAGTCGTGCCATCTCCAACCTAGCGTATGTCAGACAATTAGTCCCTAACACTATTTATTTTCTTGAAAAACTCCGCCGTACCTCTTTATCTTGCTGTTGGGCCAAATCCACCAAGATCTTCCCAGCGGGGTGTTCGACATCGAGCAAGCTCAAGATCGTGGCTCCGTCATTGGTGACTGTGACATCCTGCACTATACATCAGCATACCGGTAGAATGATAGTTGAATGCGAGAGCATTTACCCCTATATCATCCACCATCATCTTATCGAGGCCGGAGGGGCCAAACGAGCTTTTCACGACATTGGCGATGGCTTGTGTTGCGAGAACTGGAAAAAGAATTTAGAAAACAACGGTCACGGCCTTCCACTACAGAGCTCAACGAACCATTCTGATCGCGAATATCAGAGCCACTCAGCTTGGTTCCTCCTAGGACTTCAACCGTGTCAGCTTAGCTGCCTTGCTGGATGAGAAACAAGGGGGTTCAACTCACAGAGGGTCCCGGAATTCCGCGACTGCTCAAAGATGCTTGCCATGACCTTCTCTCAAGACCTGATACGCCCTTCTACCTGTGACTTGAGTCTGTAATAAGCGTATAAACGTCGACAAGACGAAATGTTGCTCTGTCGATGTTTTTTTTTTGTTAAGAAACAAAAAGAACAAGCTCGCTTTCTGCCCAAGGCGGTGAAACCCTTTTTTTTCACCCCCTCCAGCTTTTTTATCTTTTGTGCGTGTGGGGGAAAATAATCAACGCTGGCATACGTTTTATAGATGCTCAGTTAGAATATACCAGCCTTCTGCCTCCTAGACACGTTTTAGAGGGTCGATTATAGAGGATAAGCCATGTCTGGCCAGGAATCTACCACTCCGGCTGCCGCGACCGAGCCTACCTCGCTTCCAGAGCGCAGCGCAAACCCCGCTGAAGCCCCTCCGCCAGCAGAAATATCCAAGAACGCGGCGAAGAAGGCCGCAAAGAAAGAGAAGCTTGCTCAGGGAAAATCAGGGAAGGGTGAGAAGGCAGATAAAGGGATTGGTCACAGCGGAACGAAACATGCGGCGGTGAAGCCAGCAAAGAAGAGGGCCGACGGGCCTGCGCTCATCGGTATAGATGTGGCCAAAGAAGACGATTTTGCAGCATGGTACCAGCAGGTGCTGTTAAAGGGCGAGATGCTGGATTATTACGATGTCTCCGGATGCTTCGTCCTAAAGGTATGCTCGATTTTACGTCTACAGCTTGTTCTACGGGCGGCCGCTAACGGTGCATATGTAGCCTCACTCCTTTTTTATATGGGAGCAGATTCAGAGCTGGTTCGATGCCAATATTAAGAAGATGGGTGTCAAGAACTGCTCTTTTCCCCTTTTTGTGTCTGAAGACGTTCTGAAGAAAGAAAAGGACCACATCGAAGGGTTCGCCGCTGAAGTTGCGTGGGTGACTCATGCGTAAGTATTGGTCCCGTTCAGGCGCTGCGAGAGCAACATGCTAACAATCTCAACAGTGGAAACTCCCCACTTGAGAAGAAAATAGCTATCCGCCCAACCTCCGAGACCGTTATGTATCCATACTACGCCAAATGGATTCGAAGTCATCGTGACCTGCCCCTTAAACTCAACCAGTGGAACTCGGTCGTGAGATGGGAGTTCAAGAACCCACAGCCATTTTTGCGCACCAGAGAGTTCCTGTGGCAAGAAGGGCATACGGCCCATCTAACAAAGGAGGAAGCTCACGAGGAAGTGCTCCAGATCCTCCAGCACTATGCTCACGTCTATGAACAGCTTCTCGCCGTCCCCGTCATCCAGGGCCAAAAGACTGACAAGGAAAAGTTTGCCGGCGGTCTTTATACCACAACCGTAGAAGGATACATTCCAGCTACTGGGCGTGGAATCCAGGGAGGAACTTCCCACGGCCTTGGTCAGAATTTCAGCAAGATGTTCGGCATCACCGTTGAGGATCCATCCGCTCGTCCAGACGAGAAGAAGCCGCCGCTCCATGTCTGGCAGAATTCGTGGGGTCTGTCCACCCGAACAATCGGTGTGATGGTTATGATCCACGGTGACAATCGCGGATTGGTTCTACCACCCCGTGTTGCCGATATTCAGACCGTCATCGTCCCAGTTGGCCTGGGTGCCAAGACCCCAGATGAGGAACGTGCATCAATTATGGCCGAGATAGAGGCCATAGCCACTGTGCTATCGGCAGCTGGCGTCCGTGTCGAGGTGGATAAGCGTGATGGATATACCCCCGGATGGAAGTTCAACGACTGGGAACTCAAGGGTATCCCCCTTCGCCTTGAGTTTGGCCCTGGAGAATCTGCTGGCTCCTTTGTCACAACTTCGCGTCGTGACATTGCCGGCAAAGAGGGAAAATCCTCTATTCCGATTAAAGAGCTGGGGACTGCTGTCCCTGCACTGCTTGAAACTATCCAAGCAGATCTCTACTCGCGTGCTAAGGCATCATTTGACGCCAACACTAAGCTGATCACTAACTGGGATGATTTCTGCCCCGCCCTAAACTCCAAGAATATCTGTGTGATTCCACACTGTTTGACCGAGGCGTGTGAGGACCAGATCAAAGAAATGAGTGCCAGAAAGGCTGAAGAGGAATCCGGTGAACAACAAGATGCCAAAGCACCAAGCATGGGAGCCAAAAGCTTGTGTATTCCATTCGATCAGCCTGAAGGTATTGAGCTAGGAGTAACTAAATGTGCTAACCCCAAGTGTGAGAAGACTGCTGAGAAATGGTGCATGTTCGGACGTAAGTGCTTCTACATCTTGATCATTTCTACGCTAGATCTAACTGTTTTTTATAGGATCATATTAAACGTACGTCCATTTTGATACCACCAGATTTACTTTCACTGCTGCATTGAACCATTCCTAGGAGTTACTTAGCCATTCAATCCAATAAATTTCTGTACTTTAACACATCGGCGTCATGGTGCACGTATTAATGGGTCCTGCCTTTCTCTCAGTATCATCTAATATATCCGATAAAATCAACCTTTACAATCCACGTCACCTACTATGCGACATTTGATATTAGAATACAACTGCAAAGCGAGTCCTCAATGCTTCGCCGTATCGATAAAACAACCATGGAACAGGAATGAAAGCAAGGATAATAAAACCTAACACGCTATATCCCCAGCCCAATCCCAGCTTTTCGTACAGTGGCGCAGCAACGAGATCCAAACAGGCACCAAGGGAGACCGAATGAGCAGGCAGCATATTGAGATACGAAATTCCAATAGGAGGGCCAACGACCTACATCATGAGTTAACCAGCATCATAGCCATTCTTTGGATGGATAATCACTCACAGTCCCAAGGGTTGGTCCTAAAGTGAACAACCCTTCTGACATTTCTTTTACACCGGGAGCAAACATAGTTGCTGCTAGATTTCTGTGTTTATAGATCGTTTATATACGAGTTACACCTCCCCACCTCGCCGTGGCCGTTTCTTTGCTTCTTCAACAACAACCTTCTGCCCACTTACACTTCGTACCCTCCCAAGCACCATCCAACTACAGCTAGCAATCAATATAAAATGGCTCTTCAGCAGGCAGAGAAAGACCAGTTTGGCATCCAGGTCGCAAGGGAACTGTCGCATACCCCGTACGCCATCTCTTCCCAGGCTCTCCTCAGCGGCGGAACAGCCAATTTTTTGTTTCGTGGCACTCTGGTTCAACCCCTGCCAGACGGCGCAAAAACTGTCGTCATCAAGCATTCAGAAGAATTTGTTTCCGCGAGTCGGGATTTTCCCTTAGATGTTTCGCGTTGCGTATGTTCCGCTCTCCAACAACATGTTTTTATAAGGGTTGCGAGCAGAAGCATACTGATGTCGATGATGATATAAAAATACATCAGCTCTTTGAAGAGGCAATGCTCAAGGCCTTGCAGCTTCTCCCATCCATTACTGTAGACAATATCCATCTTAGAACCCCACGTCTCTACCTATTCGATGAGAAGACAAATACCCAGGTTTTAGAAGATCTAGTCAGTACCATCGACCTAAAGACAGTGTTGGAGTCTCCCACGGCATCGACTGCCTTGCCCCATCCCTTTGCAACGGGCATCGGTCATGCGTTGGGTGCCTGGCTTCAGTCTTTTCACACATGGGTTTCAGAGCCAGCACCGGCTGCTCTATTAAAGGATCTAGGTGATAACGAACCGATGCGAAAAATAAGATACTCTATTAGCTATGGAGCGTTTACAAACATAGTTCAAAAATTCCCCAAATATGGGAGCGATGCGGAACCACGCTGGAAGAGGTCAGAGACGTGGCGACTGCCGAATACTCCCAAAAACCCCAAGACAAAGTAGAAGATGGGAGCTGGGGAATTATACATGCTGACTTCTGGTCTGGAAAGTAAGTTGCCATCCTTTACTGCTTTATTCCCGGCCTGACCTTGTTGTCGAATATAACTTTGACAATATTTTGATGTTAGTATCCTTATACCAGACAATGCGTCACTTGTGAGAGAGCATTCAACAAATCTTTTCATTATCGATTGGGAGTTTGCTCAGTTCGGCCGCAAAGAGTACGACCTCGGCCAGATAATCGGTGACCTATATGAGCGTAAACATTTCATGGGTGCTGAAGGCGCGCTCTGGATAATCCAAGGTTTTACTGCCGGCTATGGTGTTCTCAGTGATGAGAAGGCTTTTCGCATTGCTATCCACGTAGGGGTACACTTGATTTGCTGGTATATCAGGCGAAATCCAATGGCTCCATTCACAGAGCCTCCAGAGCAGATCGAGAACGCCATCCGTATCGGGACTGATTTCATCGAGAAGGGATGGAAGAGAGACCTGGCATGGTTTAAGAAGAGCGAGTTGGCATGTCTGTTCAAAAGAGAATAAAACATACCTTATTTAATGATAGGGGTCTAAGGCGTGGAGGGAGAGCCAATCCTCTGGTGTGATGCTTGTCTGAGTGTGGCTCCAAATGCACGCCAATACTAGGAAGCTGTGGAGTGTCCCCGTTTCACTACCGCCTAGCAAAGATAGCGAAGTGCAAACCTTTCCAGGTATACATAAGGAGATAGCTATTTCCGTGGGCCGTCGACACAGTAGTCATAATCCAGAGATGGGTGGGCCGCGCGGATCGTGTAGTTTTCAGGGGCCGGAGCTGGGATATATTTTAACCTCAGTGTATCGCGCGGCTATTCCAAAGCCGGGTCGGTGGAGAAAGCTTGGCTCGACGGGCCGCGACGAGCTTATATTTCTTAGTATTTATTGTTACATCTTGTAAGACGACGATGATAAAACCACACCAAACTGCAGATTAAGCGGTCAATCGACTTCGACGTTTTTGTTTCATCTGGTGCTGGGTTTCTGTCTGCGTGGTGGTGCGTCGCTGTACACCGTCAATCGGCCGTGATACATTTATTTGATAGGCCTGCGGATGGCTGTTTTGTATACATAGTAGGGCCAAGTAGAAAGTCAGGATGGAGTCATGTTTAAGAAGATTGAGATTGTCTAGGAGAGGTATATATATGAAAAACGCATTCCATCTGTTTGCAGAACTATGTGGTCACTTTAGAGACTGCTTACAGGTGGTAAGTATGCCCCCTGTCTCTGGCCAATTTACCAAGTACCTGGCTCTTGGAGTCGCGGCTCACCCTGGTCGGACATTCAGCAGTAAATGTATGAAACAAGCCCTTCTGGTTGCGGCTTACATTGGGTCTTTATTCCCATAGGGTGACAATGGAATAACCAAACTGTGAGGCCTCAAACCCACTAACTTTGACAAATTTGGCTTAAGCTCATCCTTAAGAACGTTGATTACCAGGTATATATGGCTTCAGCTTCTCTGTGCCTACTTACAGAAGGCTCAGTAACCGCAAAATTCAAGTATTCTGGTGTATGATATATACGACGTCAAGTTTAGCTGAGGACATATAAAATAGTGATAATTCCCTTGTGAATACCAAGGATACTTAGTAGGAAAATCTACATTGATCATCCTCGCAGAGTCTGTCTCTAGTACCAATAACTGTTTGAGAGCCGCGAGGCTAATATTTCTGCTATAGAGAAAGTAGCTAACTAGCAAAACGAAAGGAAATAATATATGGGGGAATCATAGAGAACGTAGGGTGAATAATTACACGAACATACGCTTAAAGAAAATGCCTGCATGATATCAAAGAGAGACAAAGTTCATCATCCAGAGTACATCACCTGGTATACAAATAGAAGAGAAAGCCAGACCGTAACATAGACTGAATATTCAATCATCCGGTTGAGCGGCGAGACGTAAAGATTAAATAACTAGCGACTCCGAAGATATAGGTAATGGTGTTTTGAATAAACCTGAGCGGTCGTCTTTAAGTTCCAATTATTCGAAATGGCATTCGCCTTCGTCCGGAAGACAGGGGGCTACTGGAAGATTTCTTCGTACTTCCAGAGGGAGGATTGACAGGAACATTGTTGGTTGTAACGTCAGAAATGACAATGGGTATATGTTTCGGGCGTGCGGGTTTGCGAGAGGGTATGAACAGATGTAGTTTAGAGTGCTTTGTAGGGGTATTGTGTTTTCCTCTGGGGGTAGTGAAAGGCTTCTCATCTTCGTCGTCAAAGATGGACAATCCTGGCGAAGAAACCCTAGAAGCGCTATCGCTGTGTATATTATTGCGGAGGGGTTGAGTGGACTGTGAATGTTTCGATGTATCGGATGAATCAAGGAGAATTGAAACTGCCTTTGAAAAGAAACCATGCGAGGCTTGTTGGCGCATATCTGAACCTGGCTGTTTTATTGGGCCTTTTATCTGGCATGCGTTTGGCAACTGGCCAGCAGCTGCGGAAGACTTTGGTCGTTTTCCTGTTGCACATCTGGCCAGTGAATGTGGGATATTGTCAGATTCAGCAATTCGCACTCGGGGAGCTGACGCCGACTGGGAATAAGTATGTCTTCTTTTGCGGGTCGCGGTGTCACAATGCTCTTTGATCGCCGGGAATGACAGCTCTCGTCTCGGAGGCTCTGGTTTTGCATGGTGTTCTAGGAGGGAGTATCCTTTAGAGGATAGGCTTCCGTCTCTGAAAGAAGAAAAACTCTTGCACCTCGATAGAGCGGTCGCAGGTCGGCTACTAGATCTTTCTGTATGCCTTCCGTCCGAGCTTAAACCAGGAGTAAGGGATGGCACGGGGGAGATAGGGCTAAGACTCTCGGGGGTAATGTGGCTAAATGCGTCGTGACTGTTAATTTCACGGATAATGGCATCCTGGAGGGATTCAAAGGTAGGGCGAGAGGTGGATGTTTGAGATGCTGCGTATGCTTGTTTAAATAGGTTCAGCATTTCTGCCGCCGTAAATCCCGTAATCCTCGGGGACGGGTTTACGGGGCTTGTTAGAGATATCGGGCTGTTTACTATCTCATCCAGGCTGGCATTTGGTGCCCGGCATGGTGGCGCCGCAACAGCTGCCACGGACGGCCTTTTTGATATTTTTGCAAACTTTTTTCCCGGAGCAGCCAGTTTCGTGTTGATGGAGAGGTCATGAACGTTCCTCCTCGAGCCTCTTCTAGCAGTATTTGGAGACAACAACCGGCTTGATTTATCATTTGCAGGATCGGAGCTATTTTCCGAATTTTGCGATTCGGGTGCTGTTTCCTTTGCCTCTGTTAAGTTCTCATGTTCCGGCCGTAAATCTGATGACTTGGTCTCAGGCTTCCGGTTGACATGGCTGCTGCCCGATTGTGTTCGCGTACGGCGGACTCTTTTGGCCTGGGGACGGCTTTTACCGGCTGAAGAGCCTGTAGCAGAGGCCTGTTCGTCCTCTCCGACAAATTGGACAGATAAGGCCGGAGCAGACTTTCTGAACCGCAAGGAGCCAGTCTGTTCAGAATCTGTGTTCAGCTTCCTTCCGCCTGATGACTTGCCATTACTTAAACAAGATGGGAGCCTGCGGATGTCTTGGTCCGAAGCAATATTTCTGAGAGTGGCCTCCTCGTCAGATGATTTTGGGTCAGACACGTCCTGGATCTTCTTCACCTTTTTGGCCATGGCACGTCTCTGGTTGTATCCAGCAGATTGGTCTTCGCCTGGCGGAGGTGAAACAACAATGGGAGGGCTGAAATGGGTCATATTCCGATCTGCTACATCTTCTTGGTATATTGCGGATATCACCTGAGAGTAACGACTAATTCCACTTCCGCATCTCTGGTAGCCACTTGCAAGGTTCCGTTCAGCAACATCTTCGTTATAAGAGCCAGACTTGGACACGGCGGTCGAGGCATAATACTGATTCTGCTTGGGAAATATGGCCTCCAGTACGTCCACGTGACGCTTGGTTCGCTGATGGTACGACATGCGATCTATATGTCTGGAGCGTTTTTGGGATGGGCGCGACTGTAACTGTTCGTATAGATGTTCGAGTTGTTTTTCAAACCCGATAAATTGCTGATCGCTTTTATTGTGTGAATGGGTTGGTTGAGCATCGGGAGAGATTGGTTCGTAAGAATGAGGGTATGTGTGCTGTTCTCGGTCCGCTATCTCGGATTGGAATAAGGCCCTGTCAGGGCTAAATAACTTCCTCAGAGCCGACATAGCTCCTTCGCCCCGAGCTTTATATATTGGTAGGGAGGAAGGAGAGGGGAAGTACGGAGCATGATCAGGACCCCATTGCAAATTTCATCGTGATGACTTGCAGCCCAACCATTCTTAGGCCCGAGTATGGCATTGGCCGAGAGTCATTGTCTGCTATGTAAAAAAGGGGTTCTGGCTTGAGAAGAGCTCCCCCTGGCCACAGGTAGGGGTGCTATATTAATTACCGCCGACACAATCCCCGATCCGTTCCAGGTTCAACCTTGGAATGAGGTAAAAATGAATACTCCGTGAGTGAGACTGGGGGACCTCATATCCGGGGCTAGAAAAATAAATATATACGAGACCTTGGCCCGGTGATCGGCAAAAGGGGTGGAGTGGTTAGGCGTTCCCTCGATCTTCTATTTTCCATTATCAATGCATGCGCTATCTCATACCGCCTCCACAGACATACATAGTTGCAGAGGCAAAAAAAAAATATCATATCGAAAAGTCTGGGCCACTTACGTAGCATAATGATATATCCAGAACCGTCGAAAGCGGATGACAGCCCATCTTCCTACCTCCAGCGATGACGAATTTCGCTGTACTCTGTGACTGTCAGCTGCATGACTAGCTCGGCAAGGTTGAAAGAGGGTGTGTATCAGGGGCACTTCTTCTGAACCCGTAGTAGTCAATCAGTCTCGGGTGGGGGAAATACGCCAATAGAGCCGGATCCACTGAGGGCGTTAGTATCTGCCGTTCCAGGGCCTTGATGAGGACGATCTTGAGGAACAAGTCGTAGTTAGTGCCTTGGCTGCGTTGGCGAGCCTCTTCACAGCGAGTGAGGGAAAGGCGTTGAAGCCATCTGCATATTCCGTTATATATATAAATACCCAGACAGCATAAGTTGACCAGCAGAAGTTGATTCGAACGCCGCCCCCAGGAGTACTGAGCGCACCCTCTTTATCCTGATATGTGAAACATATGTAGTTACTGTGGTCTATGCATAACCAAAGAATTCCCCGGAGACGACGGCTGGAACGGACCATGGGCTAAGAACAGCCTTCAGCCGAACAAGGGTCCTCCTAGCTGGCTTAGTGATGTTTTTCTTCTCGCGTGTAACTTGAGAGAGACATCTTCATCGTCGCAATCCACTCTAGAAGTTCTGATGACAGGTGCAAGTGGACACGATTGATCGGAATAAGCTACTTCGTAACCTGTTTATCCGGGCTCTAGGATCTGGGATCTGGGATCAGAAACATATCCTGAATATCCCACGAACCAACTGCCGTCCCCCTTGAAATCCTCATCTAGTTCTACGAAGACAATTAGTACGCGGATTACAAGACGGCAAATGACCAACATGGGTTCCTAGCTCTCTTCTCTCTCGCCCGGGTTCTCATCCAGACGTGTGTAGGAGAACGAAGAGGCGCGCGGTTTCAGCCACCACGGAATGACCTTCTTTGTTTACCATGAAGGTTAGGACGGCGCGTATCCTAATCCTCCAGGCCGAAGGGAAAAGGGGCAAACACCTGGACTTTTGGACTTTGTCAAGGTACACAAAAAGATAGTAATATCGGACTGAGGTTGAGGTTGAGGTTGGAGAAGTTGAAGTCTACACATCACGTAAGCTTTTGCCTCTTCAGCATTTAAGCCTCGATCTACGCAGCAAATATTGGATGGAATATCAATAGATCAATTATTGAACTCAGCATATAACTAAGCGTTGTCCATATGATGGCCTTTATAGCCATGGGGGCGATATTTGGTATTGCCTTTGGTTGTTGACTGTGCTGCCAATACGGAGTATCCCATCATACACTCCGTATATATTAGGATATATGAGAGACTGTTATAAAGGGAGAGACTCCTTTCAGCGGTAGCTCGCATAGGATGGCGGTGAAGGTCAAGGAGGACGTCTTTTGCAAGCCGTAGGCTGCCACTTATTAAGACCACTGCTGTCATGGCTCCTGAGCTGCATCCAAGTCAGCCACGGCGGGAGTTCAGCTCGACAGCCATTTAAATAGACGCTGTGACGACGAACAATGCTCTGTCTGGAGGATGCTGTTACTGGTACAACTCTCCCGTTCCGCAGAGGCGGGCGTACCCAGCACCATTCACTCGGTAACCAATCCATAATTAGTATACAGATCCCGCGTCAGGGGACTGGTTTATGTTGGATCTACTAGTCCCTCGACACCGGCTGTTGGTCCTAACGAAATAATTCATAGGATCTAGTTAATTGACGTACAGGGGCCGTGTTCGGATGACCTGCCACTCGATTAGGGGCGTCAACACGGGTCATCTTGTTATCTTGTCATCTTTATCTAGATGTATCAGCAATAGTTAAATCACTTTAGAGTGAAAACACTTACGATTCCCGCCCCTAACTCAGTCATGTCTCGTTCAGATGTGGCCTGTAGATCATCTAGAAGTATGCCAGGAGCGAGTAGGGATGTAGCTAGGCGGGGTTGGGCATCAGGTTATATATACCCTGATTGACATCATCAGACATACACCGTGGAGTCCATACATAGTGTATCCGTAACCCATGTATCCGTAATCCACATTAAACAATCATGGACGACGATTACCTCGCCGCACCCGTTTCTCCGCCAGCAATAAGATACTCCGGCTTCCATGTGCCATCATTCTGCTTCCTCGTATCCAGCGGAAGCCAACATGTCGTCTTTGACCTCGGTATCCGCCCCGACTGGCGGAAGTATGCTCCAAAGGTCGTATCCATCATTGAAGAAACGACCGTGATCACACCAGGGTCAGACGTAGCTTCGGTGCTCGAATCCGACGGCAGCGGCCTCAACATCCGCCGTGAAGAGATATCCTTTGACGATGGCCTGGAGATTGGCCGGTTCCGAGCCATGGATTTCTTTGGAGACGGGTCCTTTTATCTGCTTGATGCGCCTGGACTCGCTGAAGGGCATTTGTGTGCACTTGCGCGTACCACGGCTGATCCGTGTACTTATGGGCGCTGACGCCTGACCATCCAGGCGTCCTCCGGCCATCGAGACAGTTGGACTGTGACCTATGGACATTCCCACGCCCTGCCTGTCTTGGTAACTTAGGATGGACACAAGATCACCAGTCACGGTGCCTTGGTTCGAGAGTATGCTCGGGCGAGATACCTTAGTAGGCGATCTTCACGGTATCTTATGGTTTTCTTTTCCCAGACCGCGATGCGGCCAAGGAGACGGTAGGGAAGATCCAAGAGTTTGATGTTTTAGATAACGTCTTATAAGCCACGACGTATCTCTATCGGGCATAATTCCACTGTTCCCAAGGACGATTAATAGCTGGCGAGCAGATGGACTTAAGGGAAAATCAAGATGGTGTTTTTTGCATTAACTTCATTTTATTATAACCACTAATATTGATAGTGAATATCAAACCACTACTATAGACAGCACGTTTACTGACTTTAAACCGAGGAGTCTCGGTTTCGAGAGGTGCTGTCACTTCATATCATGAAGACTGTTGACCAGAATTGGATGATCGTCTGGGGTGGTGGTGGCGATAACCTCCAACGGTGCGCCGATATTGCGCCACGGAATATCAATGTGGAACGGCGGGGAAGAGGGCGTGGCGGACGTTTAGCGATCATCCAGAGGAGTATATCATAGATAGACTGCTAGTAGTAGGCAGTTTGCGAGGGTGGTGGACAGGTGCTATCAACAAAGCTATTGATAATGCCACTCTAGTACAGTATCTTGAAGCATTGATAAGGCGCTCTTGTAAAGTATGTGAAGCTGCCTTATGATAGCTCCGGCTTATTATTAAGGCGCCTCTGTAGGGAGGAGTCCATGGTAAGTATCTCACAATTCCATCTTGGTAGGTATGTCACAACTCCATCTCACTATCGGATGGTGTCTTTTTGGATTGGTTGGATTGGTTGGTGGCTCGTTCGGCAGACTCCCTGACTGCTTCTACGAGGACGGTGTGAGAGGCCTTCGCTGCGGCGATAGCACCGTCCATGAGGACATCGTGGTTAGGGGAAGCATAGGTCCCATCTGAGCTCGCGCTTGGTAGATCCCCCTTCAGCCATAGCTCAGTAATCTCGTCCAGAGACGGCATGTAGCCTACGACACATGCGGAGGAGATGTTCACATGCTCAGACGGGTCAGGGTCTAGCACCACCGTCTGGGCAGAGGCCGCGGCACCCTCGCGTGGACTAGGCGCTTCAACCACAGCCGCAACGCCGCCAGCAACGAGGCCCAAACAATCGATCCTCGCGTCCGCAATAGCTGCAGAAGCCACCGTGACACAGTGCGCAAGGACGTTCATCATGCCCCAGCCATCGGATCCCGTCACGGTCTCTGCGGTCGACATGTCACCCCACCACCGATCATCCTCCCCTTCCAGTATCATCACCGTGACATCTAGCCCGCTCTTGGGCCATCGATCGCCAATGATGGCTCCCCGGAGCGCGTTTTCCAGGTGGACGCCCAGGTCTCTTTCGTTCATGTCACGGATATGCGCTCTCCGCCGGCGGTTGGCAAAGGGGGCAAACTTGACGTGGGCGGATAAGAGAAGGTTAGGAGAGAAGGGAGCAGATCGAGGAAGCGGTTTTGGTCCGTTGACAGAGCATATCAGCTTGAGAGATGAAGCTGGCGGTATGAGCGAGGTGTTGGCGGAGGGATTGGAGGGGTGAAGCTCCAGATACGCCGACCCAGACGCCGAGGGTATGACTCCCGTTTTCAAGTCTAGAATGTCAGCATCAATGGACAACTGTTGGTACCCGGGTAGCCTACATATCTTCCTGAGCTCTTTGGCTCGTCTGGTACGAGAAGGGCGCTCAAAAGTTGCTGATTGCGACTTGTCTTTTGAGTCCGAACATGAGACAAACACCGGCGCCCGAGTGCCACCAGCTGGGCCGTTGATCCTCCTTCTGTCAGCCATCTCGCCGGTCAACGCTGTGTGTAGATGTTGGTATCGATGTTGATATCTTCATCTCATCGTGATATTTTTTAGGGCTCAAATTGGTCCAAGCGTCTCGGCCCGTCTCGGCCCGTCGTTTTTCCGAACCTTTTCTGCACCTCAAAAATTCTCACTTTTTTTTCTCAACACAAAAACACACAAATCGCGTTCTCTTTCTCACTCATGAAGACGACCGAGTTGATGCTCTCCGGCAGCTTCAAGTTGAGTTAGAGAGCGTCTTAGTATGATAGGTAAGCCTTTTCTTCTTCTCCAACTGCAACTTGTTATGATGCATACTTTCAACGTTCTTTGGCGACTACGATGAGCCTACAGAACATGCACTACCATCTGAATACTTCTTTATTCCTTTCTTGTTGTCTTGATCTTCTTGAAGAGATAATGATGCTAATATGAGCATAGATGTTTACTCTTCCTACCCAGTGTGGCCACCGTGAGGCCACCGTGAGGATGAAATGTAAGTAACTGAACCGCTTTTACCGCAAGAAACTCCATGATGAGAATCATTTTTCAGTTCTGCTTCTGCAACATCATTGAAGATAGCAAAATCTTACCAAACTTCCTGATCACACCTACATCTGACTTGTCATTTTTCCTGCAGCCCAGATCACTGCATATCGCTAACATGTTCAACCGGATAGTTCGAGTAAACTGCCGTTCGATTTGAAATCACCCCAATATCTGCCACCGGCTGCATGACTGTGAGTTTTGACGACTTCGCCTTCCTCGCCTCGTCCCACCACCCAACTCCTTCATGATGATACCAAGTCAATCCATTCCAAGATCCCGCCAGGGAACCCTCCATTTGGCGCCGAGGTCTCCGGGCCCTGGTTCGAAGGCCCGCTCCCCTCCCTGATACCGGACCCGTCTTCTCCCAGAGCGGACGGGGAGGATAGGTTGTGGAGGAAGGCAAGGGCACTCACTTCGATCCACGGCGTCGGCTACCGAGGTCCAAAGTCCTGTCTGGGCTGCTGTTCTTTCGGCATTTCGTTTTGGAGTGTCGATGGAGCGGTGGCCTGGACGGGGGAAGGGGATGATTTAAAACGGCTTACTGACTTACACTTGTGCCTTGCCCTTTTGTTGTATATCCTCCAGATGATGTTCGCGTGTCAGTTAAAAGACCCCTGCTGACTGTCTGAAGGTGTAAGTTAGTTTACCCTCTCGGCATCTACGAGCCGCCTCGTAAACAGTCTACCACGTAGGAACCAAGTAAGGAAACCCGGATATGTAAATTCACCCAAGCTACATACAGTTAAACGCCCGATCTCATCTTTTTCTCCATCTTTTCTTTTTGTCTTGTTCTCGTAAATGCATGCGTAATCATAGGCCGTGAGGGACGGGGATGTCGTGCATCAGGTAAGGAAGGGGTATGTAAGAATAGGAAATAGGAATATGCACAATGCCAGGGATGGGGAGGTATGGATATATTCAATTGCTCTATAAAAGGCCCAAAGCGTGTATCGTATGGATGTATATAGGGTAAGCCGCGAACTATCGGTAATGAAAGCGTGTGATTCCAGGGATGGAAGAGGGACGAGAAAAGGAACTTTGATATACTACCTTGAGTCTGTCTGCAGTTTAGAGGCTATTTCATGGCTCGGCTTCGGGAGTAGGTGTGCTCGCGCCGTTTGACTTGCGCATGCTATATGGAGCCTACATACCGTTAGCCGCTGTACAGAGAGAAAAAGGTAGCATCACATACCAATACTTTCATTGCATTGCATACCCTCCACGCCAGATTTTGTACATTCCCATCAGCACGAACGACTTCGGTAGCGAACTCGATTCCAAACCTAGTGTTCAACGTCAGTAAATGAGCAAGTAGTATCACGATATAGACATACATCTGATGCACGGCGTAGACCACTCTCTTAGCGTACTTGAGATCGCTCTCGGTCTCGCATCCAAACGGCTCCTCGGCAGTCTGCGGCGAGATCTCCGGATCTCTATCGAAGCAGTTCTGAACGATGGGTAGCAGAGCCTGCTCAACTGCCGTGGTCATGAAACCGCCGCCATTGGGGGGAAGATGGCTGGGAATATGCTCGTCGTCAAACTTGGGGATGCGGATCTCAAAGGGCCGCGAGGTAGCCATGACATTGTGCTTGCCGTTGTGGTGGTAGCGGAACTCGAACACGCCCTGGGTCCACCATAGTTTATCGCCGGAGAAGACCATCTGGCCAGATGCCACCTCGTGAGCGCTGGATTTCTTCCTTGACTTGCCGGACTTCTTGCTGTTGTTGGCGCTGGCGTTGGCCGAATCGGGTTTTGAAACGACGGTGTCGCTGGTTAGCAGGCCCTTCTCGCTGAGGACGGAGTCAAAGGAGCCTTCGTTGGTAGCTACCCACCGACCCCAGGAGGAGACTTTGGTGACCTCGCGGGACGGGTTCTGGCCAATCATGTAGAGACCGACCCAGTCCTTCTTGCTATGGTTCAGAGGTGCGGTCCAGCTGATCTTGATGGGAGAGCCGTATTCGAAGACGGGGACCTCGGATTTGTCTTCTGCGCCGTCTTTGATGGTGATGCAGTCGGCCGTGTCCACGCTGAGGGAGTAGTCGTTCATATCGTAGCCGGCAACGTCGGGCTCGATGCGGGTGATGGTGATGCGAGCAGGGTACTTGTGGAATAGCTCGCTGGTGTCCTTGACGAAGGTGGTGACGCCGGCCGCGAGCTTTGGTCGGGCGGTGTCCAGGACCTCCTCGATAAACTCGATCGACTCGTCCAGAATCCGGTCGACGCTACCGTGCAGTTGTTTGAACGAAGGGGGAAGCGAGCGTTTGATACTCCGCACCAGTCCGGCGTCCTGTCTGAGTCCGCGGCCGTATAGTTTCTGCATATGAGGGCGCTCGACGAGCTGGATGAATGCGATGCCCAAGGTATGGCTGAGCAGGGCGAGGAAGATCATGGCCCGGCTGCTGGTGATCAGAGCCGCACCCCAGACGCCGGCCAGACCGAGGACACGCTCCGGGTTGTTGAGGAACCGGTAGATGCCGCTGTAGGTCAGCTTGGGCGCCTCGTCGAAGAAGAAGTCGCCAAAGAACCAGCCGAATTCACCCAGGGATTCGTAGATGCTGACCGAAGTCCAGATCTGTAGCGCAATCAGGCCAGCGCCGAGGACGTGCTTGAGGATGGCGAGGCCGTACCCCCAGTTTTCCGGGAGGGTGTACATCTTCCAGGCGGCGGCGATGAAGCTGGCGTAGCAGAGGGTCATGCTAAGGTGGTAGGTGCCCTTCCACTGGTTCCATGCCTCCTCCTTGGTCTCTCCGAACTTGACGAAGTGCCTGGTCCATTCTCGTCTGTGGGACTGGCAGTTGAGGATGTAACCGATTCCGACAGAGTACCAGAGTCGCCAGACGGCCGCGTTCAGGACAAAGAAGAATTGGTAGATGGGGGTTGCCGGGGTGAGCATTGTAAGGGCAAAGAAGAGCAGCTGGATCAAGATGACGGACGAGTCGGTGATACGGTGGAGGTCCAGGTTCTTCACTCCCACGAGATTATGGGTGGAAGACGGCAGGGCAACGGGAGACGGAGGTGGTGCCATGTCACTGCTATCGGAGGATCTACGACTGAACTTTTCTTCGCCATTGGCGGTAACGGCGGCAGCATGGGACTCGAGGACTCTCTTCCTCGGCGGGGGCGCATTGTACGTCTTCTCGATGTGCGGGTTCTCGACCAGGACGAGAAAGGCAAACTGGGCGGCGTGGGCGAGGATGGAGATGAAGAGCACCTTGTAGCTAGCGGCCATGAGGGAGATTCCGTAGTAACCAGCGTATCCGACAGAGTACATGGGGTGGGGGGCCATCTCGAAGACTCCGTCAAAGGTCAGCTCCTGGTCGACGAGATAGAAGAAATCACCCCAATACCAGGCGAAATCCTTGACGACACGATGCGCATCCAGCTTCACCCAGAGATTGAAGAGCACGAGGCCCATGCCGACGATCCAGCGGAGGATGAGGACGAGGAAGTTCTCCTCCGCCGGCCGCGAGCCACAGGCGATGGCGAAGAGACAGTAGGAGGTGAAGTCGCACATGAGGATGAGGTCGACCACCCGCCTGAAGACCAGCCAGGTGTTGTACTCGATCGGCGCATCCTCAAAGGAGTAGTCTTCCGGTATCTTGGTCTCGAGCTCACGCTTGATGAAGCTGTACAGCTTCGGGTGGGGGTTCTTCCCCGTGGCCGGATTGACGAATATCTTTGTCTGACGGGCCCAGAGGACCATGGTAGAGTGGTTCGACTGCATGTGGAGGAGCCATCCGATCCCTATGTTGTAGGCAGCGCGCCAGGAGAGGAAGAGGACGGCAAAGATGGGGATCCGGAAGTAGGAGGGCAGCAGATAGAGCAGGACGATGTGCAGGCCTATGATGGACAGGACGAGGATGTCCGACAGGTTCTTTGGCTCGGACGGAGAGAGCAGCTGGGAGACCATGTCGCGGGTATGCGGAACAGTGAATGCTGCGTACATCAGTATTCTCTTCATCATATAGTCGTAGATAGTATATCGATGACATACCGGTCCCGTCTGGCGTCCTGCCGATGGTCTTCTTCTTCGTCTGAGCAGCACCACCGTCACCACTCGTGGCAGACGGCTTGACAGGCTCTTCTACCGTCTTCGTCTTTCTCTCTCGCAGTCCAGCGCCATCTGGCTGGTCGACTGCGGACGGTTTCGCCATGTTGTTGCTGTCGCTGTCGCTGTTGCTGTTGCTGTCGCTGTCGTCTTGGTGAAGTTATCGGGTCAATGAGTAGTCAAGACGAGCTGGAAGAGTTGAATCGTCTTGATGCGATGCTGGCCAAGTTGAATTGGCAGGTTATACACTCTGTCTCTCTCTCTCTGTGTCGAGTGACAGTGGTGGTGGTGGATGTTGGTGATATTTAAATATTTCGACTGCGGGTTTTCGACGCCCACGAGACCAACCGGAAGTTAAGCGGCTCGTTCTTGGCCACCCAAAAGTCCCTCGGAGAAGGCGAGAGAAGAAACGAAACCTGGTCGTTGTTATATTATAGGCTATAGCAGTGACTGCTATTCTATATGTGAGATCTGTGGGTTCCTTGATGATGTCAACTTGCGCTCACGCTGAGGTATAGAAGAGAGCAACGTCTACATCGACAGCAACATCTGCATCCGCTATGTGTAATCCCGGATGCATCGCATATACGAGGCCTGCAGCCCCATCAGGAACGTCAACAGGTATCAGAAAGGTCGACTTCCGCCTCTGATCGTCTTCAAGGACGGGTTCTTTGACTTTGGACGCCCTGGACTTGCGCCGTATACGTGATGCGTGGGACGGCGATGCAGACAGAGATGCCGGTGATGGCGATGATCGCGGGCCGTGAAGACGTCTGTATCTTCTATTTGTCGACCTGATATAGATGGACTCGTGGATCGTGTCTACACGATGTATACGCTGTGTATGTCCCTGTATATGTCGATGTATAAGTACAACGAGAGTACCAGAGACACTTGATGCGGGTGGACAATCCCAGGGGCGATCATGTAGGTGTCTTTACTCTTCACTCTCTACTTTACTCTCTTCTCTTCTACTTCATCGTCTCATCTTCTCATCTTCTTCTCTTCTTCTCTTCTCTTCGCTTTCGTCTGATCTTTCTGACGTAGCGGGGTATTGGCGGTACCAAAGTTACAGGCTAAAAGCGGCGTGGATATCACATGCTTGGCCATCTGTGACAATACCATACCATACACGAGAAGATTTGATTATCAATCTTTCACTCTTTTTCACCAAGAGAAAAGTTAAGACTTCGACAAAGACTTGCAGTTATACTAGATATTAGTATGTTAGCATACTAAAGCTGAGAAGAAGAGAGAAGTCAAGGACGGAAGATGGCGATGTTGGGAGAAGCACCAGATCTGGTTGCTCCAGAGCCAGGTAGGCCATCAACCTATTATATATATAACAAGAGAACTGACAGGATAGAACACTGCCCTGGACCGACGTCGTCGCAGGCTGGAAAGGGAGACGCCTGTGCGGGATGCCCGAACCAGGCCATTTGTGCCTCTGCGCCCAAGGGCCCTGACCCGGATATCCCGCTCATCACTGCCCGGCTCTCCTCGATCCGGCACAAGATACTCGTGCTGTCCGGCAAAGGAGGGGTCGGCAAGTCGACCTTCTCTACCCTGCTGGCTCACGCCTTTGCGTCGAACCCGCGCTCGACGGTGGGCATCATGGACGCTGACATCTGCGGGCCCTCAATACCCAAGATGATGGACGTCGAGTCAGAGACGATCCACGTCAGTTCGGATGGCTGGAATCCGGTCTGGGTGTCGGACAACCTGGCCGTGATGAGCATCCAGTTCATGCTACCCAACCGCGACGACGCCGTGATCTGGCGCGGCCCTAAGAAGAACGGACTGATCAAGCAGTTTCTCAAGGACGTTGAGTGGGGGGAGATGGACTACCTGATCGTCGACACGCCGCCGGGAACGTCGGACGAGCATCTGTCCGTTAATTCGCTGCTCAAGGAGTCCGGTGTCGACGGAGCAGTGCTGGTGACTACGCCGCAGGAGGTGTCACTGCTGGACGTCCGCAAGGAAGTTGACTTCTGCCGCAAGGCGGGCATACGCATCCTTGGACTGGTGGAGAACATGTCAGGCTTCGTGTGCCCCAACTGCAGACATCAGTCTGACATCTTCAAGGCCACCACGGGCGGTGGCAGGCAGCTGGCGGCTGACCTGGACGTGGCTTTCCTGGGAGCCATCCCCCTCGATCCGCGGGTGGGGATGGCCTGTGACTTTGGAGAGAGCTTCATGGACAGCTATCCGGACAGTCCGGCATCTGTGGCCCTTAAGTCGGTAGTCAGACAGGTTGGCACTCTCCTGGGTGACCCTGCTGCCCTCCCTTAAGATGTTGAACCTGTACCATAATCATCATGCATTACCAGCTGGCGTCCGGAGTAAATTCGGGGGGTTACCAAATGTGCCGCCGACATAGATGGTTGCCTTGCATAACATTTTTTAAATCCAATCATCTTCGTTTGTTATGCCAGTGCATCTGCCTCGCCCTTGGACGACATGGGGCTCTCTACATATATGGACGTCCCCACACCACCACTGCAACCTCGAACCAAGATATATCCAGTGAACCGATATAAAGAAAGCCCTAAACTGCTATAGAGCTCTACGGCCGAGCAGAAGCTGGAAATCAGCTTTATAGAGGTTACAACACCATGTCTAGGCTCGACTTAGGGAGGTGCTGGAGAATATATCGCAACGAAGATAAATTTCGAGCAACCCTAGTGGTTAGAGATTTGTGGCAGTGGAAGAACCCCCCCTAACAACCTGCATAACTAGCTTGCCCGGAAAATGCGTACCAGCATCCGATCTCTCTGTACATTTAGAATATGCAAAGTACGGAGTAAGTCTAGCTGCATGCTAGAGTGATCTTCCAATGGTTATCTGCTTTCCAGAACCGGCTAAAGGAGGCTCAGGAAGCTCTAGAGGCTCCAGACTGCGCTCGATGCATAGGTGCATAGGTGGCTATGCCACCCCCGCTTGCATTCCCAACTTCATATTCCCTGCCCTCGAATCAATTACCCTGTTATACACCTAGCTGTGTTGGAAGTGAAGCAATGAACTCGTTTAAACTCGCCCATGCGGACAATCCCCGTCAACAAGGGAGGTTGACCAGCTTCATTATGTAGACCCATGCCCCAAAGGACGCTTCTGCCTAGTCAAGGGAGAGGGAGGCTGACCAGCTTCATAGACACATGCCTCAAAGGACGCTTCTGCCTAGTCAAGGGAGAGAGGCCAGCCAGCTTCATAGACCCCAAGGGACGCTTCTGCCTAATCGAGGGAGAGGGAGGCCGAAGTGTATATATATATCCTTAAGGTCCCCCTTCGTCGAGGGAGATTCTCTTGAAATAATTTCTCCAGAGCATTCCACAAAGAAATATATAACCTATCTACCCGCACAACTATATATCAAGCGTTTCCTTCACTAGAACTGTTGATCAAAATGTCAAACCTCCGTCAGGACATCATCGCTGAGTTAGAACAGAGGAGAATGGAGCTTCAGGAGCTCATGACACGCCAGGCCCAATTATACCAATTCATAACCGACCTTCGGATGCGGATGGAAGAGTTGGAACAACTTACTACAAGTGCTCGTCAAGCCCGGAATCTTCGAGGCCGTGGCAATACTCTCTCTCTTGCAGAAGAGATTGCTCAATATGAACAGGAGCTTAATGGTATCAACATCAGAATCAGAATTCTTGAATCTGCCATCGAACTCCTCTCACAATCCTAATTGCACAAGCCTTGCTTTGGAGACTATTGGATTACGACCTCCTCCGCAGAATCACAAGGCAACAAATCGAAAGAACAGCAGCCCCGACACATTTCCAGCGAGTCGAGACATCAAGTAGTCCCACAAGGCGGTTGGCATCAACGTTGAGACGGTATGGCGGTGGGGGCGGGCTGTTTTTCACACTCTCGGGGGTTTCTTTCAAGGGCTTGTCACTTTCTTTGTCTATCCAGGCCGTTACCTCAACACCAAGTGTATCACATTCCTTTTTAAAGTCACTGAGTTCTTGAACCTTCTTTTGAACTGCCTCTAACTCAGGCTTATGTATCTCCAGGCTGAAAAAGTCATCCACCCTCTTTTGATAATTATTTATGCCCTTTCCGTAATAGTTGTACTCAAGAACAGACCAGTAGATATTACTGAAATAGCGTGGCTGCAGCATCCCGAGACCAATAAAAAGGTTTGTTCCTTCGAGGTTTTTCTCCCAAATTTTCGCAAGAGGCAGCTTACGCATATCTCGGCACTCGGGATAGTATCCCCTCTCACGCCTGCGTGTCTCCCTTTGTAAGGCAAACGCATTCATTTTGTATAGTAGTCGACCATAGTCTTTTGCGGCTCCTATCAGCTCGAGGCCGTTGAGCCAGGATGGAGGGACAAACATTTGGGCTGGAATCGTGTGACTCCACTCCCAGTCTAACACAGAGACGATGTTGAGGTCATCGTCAACAAGGATATTAGCGGATCGTAAATCCCCATGCATGAGGAAGAAAGGTCCATGGTTATATTCCGGATCTACCCATTCCATTAAGAACCGCCGGGATTCGTGCAAGCTGTATAGATATGCACGAGCATCTTTTTCACCTTGGATACTATCGCGTCCCTTATAGAAATCATCAAATAGTGCCTGATGTATCATGTAAATATAATCCATGGTAGAGTAGAAGGTCTGGTTTAGCCCAATGTGTCGGCATGGATCGAGCCCGGCCAGGGACTGTTCATTCATCAGGACTGACAACGGCCGATTATGATCAAACACCCAATTTCCATCGGAGTCCAAGGTTAGGGCACCAATCCGGTCAAACGAGTGCCGGGACAACTGGATATATATATCACCAAGTTTGGAGAAGAAACGATTTTTTTCGTCTTCGGGAAGTTTCCAAAATTCTACTCCAAAAAGGGACTTTCCCTCAACAAAATCAAGGAGCATAAAGGGAGTCCCGAGAGGATTGTTTTTATTTAGTGAGTATCCAATAAGGCGAGGAATAGGTATTGTTGTCTTTTCCGCGATAAATCTGCAATCGAGCCGTCAGCAACATTCGACAAGTGAGTTCCTAAGCTTACTTACTTCATGGTAGCAATTTCGCCGCGAAATTTCTCCTCCGGGAAGGCCAGCCGTGGGAGAAGAGGCACTCGTACCATCCATCGTTCGCCAGCCGTGCCATCTTGACCACCTGCAAACTCGACCGGAAAGCAGACATTGAAGCCGCCCTTCTTCTTCTCATCGAATATCCAACAACGTCGTTTTTCTGGGTGGTACGAGGACGCTAAATCGCAGATAGTAGCAGGATCGATAGACTCGATAAAACGTTCTGTCTCCTTGGAGACTTTGTGCCGGGTTATATCGTCCATCGATGCGAAGTCTGAAGGTCCGCGGAGCAGCAGAGCAGGGCAGAGTAAGTAAAGCAAGCAGAGAAGAGAAGAGAAGAGCAGAGCAGAACAGAGCACAACAAAGAAGTAGGGAATATATATAAGTTACTCGATGAGGTTGGAGGTCACCTGACACGGCATATTGGAATAGGGGAACCCGACGTATCCTGGACGGGACGGAGTATCTCATCTAGACTCACTATCACCTCTAGCATCCTTACGGGTGTTGGTTACATAGCATAGCGCAGATGATGGCTGTTCAGCTGTGTACCATGTAGTGCGATACTTCAGCATGCATTAAAAGTATCGCTGGATGAATATCATTTATTAACCCAAACTTAGCTTAACCTAACCTAAAGCTGACAGAGCCTCGAACAGGCACTACTATGTATATACAAGGATGCTCGCGCAGCCAGGTTACTCTGCAGGTCTCCCGCCTTGAATAGCAGATTGAATAGCAGAAGAGCAATCGAATCGACGATTTAGCTGGAGTATGTCTGCGCCAAGGCATCAGGCTGAAGCGAGGAGGGCCTCTATATCGTCGCGCGCTAGCGGGACGCCTTCCCCGATCTGGAAGTTATACTGGATCAGAGAATTCGGTCAGCATGGAGTTATAGAAGGTTGAGGTTAGAGCTTGTTATAAATCACCTATATAACCTGGTTATACGGACCCATATATAACCTAGTTATATGGCCTCTTGGCGAGTATAAAGTTAAGCTTATAACTTTAATAAGGGAACTCAGCCAATAAGAGTGTTTTTTTTTATTATATCAGATACGATATATCGCCCTCTTCTACTCTGTCTCTGCTCTGCCTTTTGTATACTCCGTACTTTTAGACCCCATTCAAATCTCTGGTTCGATATTGGCGACGATTGAGCAGCCTGCCTTTGAATAGAAATAATGGAGGGTAGTTCGATCTTCTCCTTCCTCAGACGACCGGACCCAAAACATTTCTTTAGTCGGCCTGCGTCAACTTTTTCGAAATCCTCGATGCCCTTCCAGAGCCCCTACGTTTTTACCAGAAAAATTTCCCAAGAAAGAATGCTGGGAGAAAAACCACCGGAGTGTAAGTTCTGATCTAAACTTTGGACGGTAATATACATATTCTGACCAGAAAATAGCAATGTTTGCGTACACGGCTGGTCGGTGGTTGCATCTTGACAAACTGCAACGCGATGCCCGGTTTGTCAAATTTAACTACGACCGCTTGTGTGAAAAAGTACTTTCACTCTGTCCCTCTGCTGCTTCTATCAGAAGCTTTCAGAAGCTAGAGGGTGGGTTCAGCAAAGCATTCATCCTCGAAACAGATAGTGGCAGGAAATTAGTTGTCAAATTCCCTACCTCTGTTGCTGGATCAGCCAAGCATATAACAAACTCCGAGGTTGCAACGATTACTTACCGTAAGAATGAGTTATAACTCATGAAAGGTTCCGGTACTGGCTGACACATGTGGGTATAGTGCAACAAAACACAAAAATCCCGATCCCAGACATCTTAGACTGGAGTGATGACCCTGCCAATCCAATTGGCTCAGCCTACATCATTATGGAACATGCCGGTGGTATCCTACTTCAAGAGGCATGGGCAAACATACCATCAGATAAGAAGGTAAAGTGTATCGGAGCAATATGCACAAGTATTCTCCCAATAACTAAACTTGATTTCTCAGCCTATGGTAGCCTTTACTTTGCCAATGCTTCATTTCTTGACAAGTCTAAACAAAAATTAAGTAGCAATGATGAATATTGCATCGGACCTCATTGCAGGAGTAGCACCTACTGGAATAACAATGTTGGTGAGCAAAGGTACTACAGGTTCAAACCGCCAAATAGAGGACCATGTAAGTAACTAATATCCGCTTCATTTACCACAATCGCTAGCTAACTACGGATTTTTTTCAGGGCACGACCTCCCCTCATACGCCTCTGCTTTAATCGACTCTGGATTTGCACGGTTGCCACCTGCCAACCAGCCTCTTTCCCTCCAACAGCAGGCCTCATACCAAGGTTCCATTGACCGACACGTGGAGCTTCTCAAAACAGCCCAAGATGTTTTCCCCCATCTTGTACAACATCCAGAGATCCAAGCTAATTCATCACCTACCCTGTTCCACCCAGACCTTCACAAGAGGAATATTTTTGTCTCCCAAGATGATCCTACAATTGTCACTGGGATCATCGACTGGCAAGGCGCAAGTATTGAGCCAGCGTTCTATTATGCAGATGAGATACCCGATTTTGCCAAAATTCCTGCTGAAGGGTTACCAGACTCGGCAGAAGAGTCTCTTTGCTACCAGGCATATGAGGTAGGGTTAGCCTTGCTAGCACCTCGTCTCGGGGCAACCAGGAAGATTGACGAGACGCTCCTCCGGCCATTCCGTTATTGTCATCGCACATGGCGGGACGGGTTTACCCCATTTACTCACGAACTGATGAGGTTAAAGGACTCATGGGGAAAGCTTGGCTTTCAGAGAGATTGTCCCATTCCAACCATGGGTGCAGAAGAGAAGAGCTTCTATGAAGAACAACTTGGTATATATGATGGAATGTTGGAGTTTAGACGAGATATGATTGAGATATTGGGGATTGAGGAAGACGGTTGGGTGTCTGCAGAGCGCTGGGAGGAGGTAAAGAAAGCACACCAAGGTTTCAATGAGACTCTTATGGATCGAATGGAAAATGATGAGAGTCGTCAGGAACTTCGAACCATATGGCCGTTTGATCAATGCCAGCCTCGGGCTCAGTTACACAGGGAAACATTAATACATGAGGAGTATAGGTGATGGGATGAAAGATAGTTTGTGAACTGATCAATACAAGCACACTATCCGATATGACATCAAGCCTCATACCAGACTGATACCTGACCAGTGTACTACTTCGTTGTGACAAGGAACTTACTCAGTTAGGAGTGAGCCAGAGCTATTACCTTGAAGCCGGATACTGAAGTGTCTCCCTTCGACTGAGGAGTATTCGATAACACTTTGACCTAACCCATCCACAAGGCCCCTGTACCCTTTGAGCTCTGACCTCATAGGCCGGCAACCTTGTAGCGGCTCTTGTGTGAGAACAGCAGTTTATACCCGAAGTAACAAGCATCGCATATTCGTCGAGTCAGTTCTTCGCCATCTCGATATTTATTTCTATCCAGTGAGTTACCTAGGTCCACTGAGTACCTAGGTACCTAATAGTGACTGCTGTGACTTTCACCAAAGCCCCTTCACTGCCCTATTTCACCATTTGCTCTTTGGGAACTGCCTCTGCTTCTTCTTCTACTTCTACTTCTTCTTGTTCTTCTGTCAAATATAACAAGTCTCTCTGCCTCCAATCAGTGCAGGCTCGCCTTTTTGGCCGAATGGCAGATTCTGACACATAATTATCCAGGCATCCCTTTTAATTTATTCCCTTTGTATTTCTTAGCAGCTTCTAGACTCGCACGGTGACCCAATGTCAGACTGGTTTTTCGAGAACGGTGTTGTTCCATCAGCTCAAGGCGTTACTCTTAGAGAACGCGATAAGGGAGCTTTTTACTTTGCAACAGCCCCGGGTAACACTCACTTGTATGTCGCAAAGAAGGATGAGATTGTACACCAGCTTCCAGTAGTTTAGTTTCTTGCAAATACATGGTTTACACATGAATTATAATCCGTTATACGTAACGTCTTCTATATTCTTGACTAGTAACCGTGCACGGCCGATATGATATTTCCATAGGATGCTATATAACGTGACTCACCACTAAATGCCCACCACCACTAAATGCCCAGCCTTTTGTAAATCTCTGTACCCCTCTACTACTTACTCGAAATACCTATAAAATGGCTAATAAGGTAGTAATTACTACTATAATTAAAGAATTAAAGTCGTAAGAGGTTCCTAATTACTTATAAACTATAAAAAAGTAGAATATCGATTAAAGAACCCTTATATACTATTATTAAGGCTAAATAGTATTCTATTCCGAAGTAGTATTAAAATATCGTAAGACTCTTATAGATAAGTAAGAAGAAGTCCTCCTATAGTATATTAATCGATTAGTAGTAAGAGGCCTATCTCCTATATCTTAAACTATTCGAAATCTTATATACGAGCTTATAAAAGAGTCTATAGAAGTAAATTAAGTAGCTAAATTCTATAAGAGATATAAGGATTAAATATAATATCTCTGTTAACGGCCGAAGAGAGTTCTATTTAACTAACTAAGGGTATCTGTAAGTCGAAGACAAAATATATAGGGAAGAAGAAGAAAGGGGAAAAGGAAGGAAGTTAGTAATAGGGGATAGAGCTATAGCTTTAGACGTTAAGGTTATATAACTATATTAAAGATTACGTGCGTAAGAGTAAAAAGGGGAAGTCTAGTAATAATATCTCTAGATAGGCCTTACTACCTCGTTAATTACGAAGCGCGCGATAACTTAAGAAGGGAATAGAGGTCTAACCCCTTATATTATACCCCTCTTCTAGTTCTCGCTTTAAAAGTGTCGAGGGTAGTAGTCTTCTATAGTACTAAGGCTAGTTCCTAGATTAGCTTATCCTAGTTTATCTACTTTACTAATAGCTACTATTATCTCTTTCTAGTCTATTCCTTTACTATCTAATCGACCTCGAATTCTTCGAGCTCCCTATCCTTACTAATTATTCTAGGTAGTCGCTAGGCCTATACTCGCTACGAAGATAGTAGATTTAAGACTATAGAACGGAGTAGATTTATATAGAATATATTATATATTGTCCTAGGGGTATCTAGGTAATAAATATAGCTTCTAATTCTCTTTAAGACTCTAAACTTTCCGTATTTTGTATTAAGCTTCTTAAAGGGTTAGTTTATCTTAATATTCTATAAATCTAACTATATATAATCCTCTACTTCGTACTACGTATCTAGATCCCTAAATCTATTTATAAAATTCTATTACTCCTATTAGGCGGCTACTATTAAAGCCTATACCTATTTACTAGTTAACTTTAGCTTATATAAGATAGTATCCGCTTATTAAATAGAGCTCTTTAAGTTAGAAGCTTCTACTATTAGGTCTTCCGGAAAATCTACTATATCTAAATAGTACCTATACTTTAGGAAGAAGAAGGATACGCCTATAGCCGCCGTATCTTAATTATTAATCGCGAGCTCTACTAAGGGGAACTAGTCGTACTAGTTATTCTATAGATAGTTCACGTACTTCTATAAGTAGGCCTCTACTATTTAGTTTATCCTTTTAGTAGAACTATCTATCTCTAGGTACTACGTAGTCGATAGGCGCCTCTTTATCTCTAGAACTTAATAGATTCGAGTCTAAAGTACTTCGATAAACTATATTCTACGATCTATAACTATAGTCTATAGTAGTCTATACCGCCTATATATCGTTCTAATAAAAATCTTAGCGACGGTATCGGCGTCTATCTTCTTATAAGGTTCTAGTATAACCCCTTTACTTAATCTATCTATTATTACTAATAGAGTAGTATAGTACTAGCTCTTTAAAAGGTTAGTAATAAAGTCTATAGAGAGTTTACTCTATAATCTATCCGGTATAAGTAGAGGCTTAAGTAATCTTTATCTTCGGTCCTTCTAAGAGTTTAAGACTCTATAGATTATATAGTTCTATAGGAACTATCTAATATCTCTCACGTAGCCTAGCTAGTAGAATTATCTATCTACTAGGGCGATTATAACCTCTCTTCTTAGGTAGTTACTAAGTATAGAGTCGTAGGTATTTTATACTATTCTTATTTGTAGTAGTTTACTATTAGATACCTACCTCCTCCCTCTCTAGAGTAGTTCGCTATTTAGTATTAAAGAGTACTCCGTTATTAATACCTTTACCTTAAGGTAGACGAAGAATCTTACTCTCTTCTCCCGTACTACTTATTCTAGTACTAGTATAATAGGATTATTTCTTTATATATTCTTCTAAATACTCTATAGTTCGTCGGTCTTAAGGCTAGTCTAGTAATAGCCTCTAGTTCTAAAGGGTATAATACTATTACTAGGATACCTTAATAGTCTACTATTAGGCGCTATAGGTAGTATATATACTTTAGGCTTCGTAAAGAGCTTAATACTAATATTAGGGAGGTCCTCTTTACTACTATTACTTATATTAATCTATTTATCCTTTAGTAGTTTTATCTCTCTATAGGCTAACTATTTATCTAATATATCTTTAGGTATATTCTACTCCCTCTATAAGAGCGCGTCTATTATCGAGTTTAGAATCTCTAGCCGATAGATTATCTTAAAGTTAAACTAGTTTAGAAATTCTATTTATCTTATCTATCGCTCTATTAGCTATTAGACTATTATAAAGTACTCTAAATTCTTATAATTTATTAGAATTCTAAAAAAGCTAACTACTAGAAGTTCTACTTTTTATTCTTCTAAGTACTAGATAACTATAAGTAGTTCTTTATTATAGATCTCGTAGTTATACTCGGCCGGGGAGTTCCTTTTTAAATAGAAGGCGCAAGGGCGAAGAAGGCTCTTATTATTATACTATATTAAGGTACCTCCTACTATATATCTAGAAGAGTTAGTTTCTAGTATAGTCTCCTATTCTAGATTAAATTATAAAAGGGTAGGCTCGGCTATAAATTTCTTCTTAAGTTTATTAAAGGCCGTATTAGCCTCTAATATCTACTTAAACTTAGTATCCTTCTTAGTAAGTTCTATTAAGGGGGTCGCTATCCTTAAGAAGTCCTTTATAAATCTCTAATAAAAGTTTATAAACTCTAGGAACCCTCGTACCTCTTTTACTAATTATAGTACTTACTAGTCTAGAATAGCGTTAACCTTTACGGGGTCTATCTTAATTCCTTCTTTAGTATCGATAATAAACTCGAGATACTTAGTAGAAGTAACTTTAAATTTACTCTTATTAATATTAATAAGTAGTTCTACCTTTCTTAGTTTCTAGAGTACTCTCTTTATCTATATTCTATATTCCTCGAGGGGCCCTTCTATAAAAATTAAGATATCGTTAATATAGGCTAATATAAATTTATCTAGGAAGTCCTATAGTACCTAGTTAATATATTATTAGAATATACTTGATATATTAACTAGACTAAATAGAGTTACGAGCCATTCGTATAGGCTATATTATATTTTAAACGCCGTTATCTATTCTAATCCTTTCGCTATCTAAAGCTAGTAAAAGATAGTAATTATATTAAGTTTAGTAAACTATTTCGCCTTCGAAATCCGCTATAGTATCTTATTTATTAGAGGAAGGGGGTATCTATCCTTCTAAGTAATCTTATTTAGGCCCCTATAGTTAACGTAGAACCTTAGTCCTCCTCCTAGCTTCTTAGTAAATAGTATAGGGGTAGCCGTAGATAAGTTACTTACGCGAATAAACCCTTTCTCTAGTAGTTCTATAAGGGTTTTCTAAAGTACTAATAGCTCACCTCTAGATATATTATAGAGGGGGCCCTAGAGGATCTTTAGCTTATTTCCCCGTTCGTCCTATTCGACTAGCTCGATCTTGTGATCGATATCTAATCTATATAGGGATAGCGTTTCTACTACCTTCTAGTTAAATACATCTAGGTACTTGTAATACTACGGCGGTAGCTTTATTCTAGAATTCGTCCGTAGCTTTACCTTTAGAGCCTTCTCGATATCCGCTATACTCGCTACGAATATTTCGATAGAAGCTATCTAGTAAAGACTTCTATAGATAGACTCTATTATTATCTATACGCACAGCGTACTCTATATAATAGGCTCGATAGGGGCTATCTGGTGATAGTATCGCTAGATTAGCCTTATTAGTGCTTA